TGAGAATCTATAGCACTGATTAATATAAGGATACAAAGTTGGTACAAGTTCGTGAACGGATGAAAGCAATTTCCCTCTATCTACCATATTAAATGCATTCTTAAAATCGATTTTAAGGAAGGCTGTAGGTGATTGATGTGGAAAGGAAAAGAATCTACGGGCAGCGTGTGCTCCGGCTTCAGCACCATTTTTTACGTTGAAACCTACTTGGACTGGACTAAAATAATCCTGAAAGTCATGATTCATGACCTTCACACAAATCTTTGAAACTATTCTACGATAAGTGCAACCTACCGCTATAGGTCTAATACCACCTGATTTCTTTTTAAGGGCCGTAAGACTTGCACCGTAAATGAAAGGACAAATATCTAAAGGAACTTTTCCTGCTAACATAAAATTGCAAAATTTTGTAAGAGATTCTAACAATTGAGTTCCTACGTCACCAGTATGTTGTGAAACTAGATCTTTCAGAATTTGTGGTCGTAATGCATCTAAACCCCCTGCTGAACCACTAGGAAATGAGAATATTGCTGAGATAACCTGCTCTGTTGTCGTAGTAAATGGTGGAATGTTAGGCTCATCTAAAACAGTAAAATTGTCTAAAGATTGTTGTGGGTGGTTTTCTACAAGTGTGTCCAAAGTCGCTGAAGAATTGGGAGCGACAACATCAGCCGTGTGCTACGAAATTCAACCAACCGTAGTTAGAACAGTGATATTGATATTGTAAGTCCGATATACATCATTGAGCTGGATAAACAAATAGTGAGTATTCGAGCAGGATTAGTCTAGAAGTTTCGGAGCAAGGTTCGAAAGTGTGCATTGGGCGTCCTTTCGACGGTTTTAAAATTAAGCAGCACATAAACATGTGCTTTCGCACCAGCATAATCCTTTTGACGATATTCGCTTACTAGTAGCTTAGAAGATATTTTCTTCACAGTCTTGGTATGAATACAAAAAGAACCGTTACACTGATCCTTCTCCCGGCAATTTTTTAAAATATTGAAAAATCTTTAAAATAATCGAATGTTCGTTTGAGGTGTTCAGTTTTCTTATAAAACAAGTAGTCTCCGAAGCCCGCATTGCGGGCTTATAGCATCATATACAAATTGGTCAATCCAGAGTTAAGGATTGAGATTAGGATTGGGGATTAATTAGTCCTTAATCTCAATCTCGAATCCCAAGTTTTAGAAATTTAATGCTTAACCTTTAGTCCGACATCGAGTTTAAAATGTTTACATTTATTGAAAAGTTGAAAATCTAAGTTCTGTTGAGATCCCTCCCCGTTCGAAGTTGATTGCATTTTGTTCATTTTTCGTTTATTCTTTAGCAGAAATTTAAAAAACTGGGAACAATTTTGCAAAGCTACTCGGAACATGATAGCCATGTAGGCGAAATAAGCATTGGTGTGACCTTAAAACAAATGTGAGCGGTCGAGAGTAAACTGACGACTATAGGGGGGTTCCCAGGCCCGAGTCAACTGCCCATTATAAGGGGTGTTCACGAATCCCGCTCAACTTCTGACAATAGATTAAATTTCTAGGTCGCGGATCAACTGCTCAGTATAAGTGTTCCGAGGTCATGGATCAACTGCCGAGTTTAGGGTGTGTGCCCAGACCCCGCCCAACTGCCGACGACTATAGGGGGAGCTCCTAAATCTCTGGTCAACTGCCGACTATAGGTGTACCAGGTCACGGGTCAAAAGTCGATTATAGGGGGCATGCCCATGTGACAGATTGAGTCTCGAATCTAATCGATGTGCAAAGGGTCAAGCCGTGTTCAATTTGGGATGTGTTGAGTTATTCCGGTGGTAAAGTTTTCTCAACGTTTTGACACTTAGCGTAGAACGCACTCTACCGGCGAAGAATACAACATAGTTCATGAAAACGCCGATAGGTGGCGCTGTTCGTTTGCCAATTCTTAGTATTGATGACCTTTGACCTCCTTTTATGACATTTGAGAATTACTTTGCAGGAGAAAATAATTTTTTGTGATGTCAGGCTAGAGGAAACGATTTTGGTATGAATTTAAAATAAGCGCGAATGTCACGTGATAAATGACATCCAATAGAGGGCGCATAATGCGTGAATATGAAAAATCGATAATCTCATAATGCCCCAATCATTAAAAATCAAGGTGGGGCGCTTATGTTTTTTATTAAATTTACAATAACATTGAGTTGTGTCTCATTTTGCCCCATGTTCAATCAAGTTCAGCGCACACGCTCAAATTGGACAGACAAACACAGTGAGTCACGGCTATTCTTAATATTGAAAAGTAAAATACATAGCGCGGCAACATTTCGTCACACTAAGCTCAAGTTATGATGCTGTACACAAGTATTGTGATATTTATGCATAAAAACTTCAAGTTTTTGTTTACCTTCGACATGCTGCTTTTCGCATTACAAAGGTCATATTTAGATATAATTTGCATCAAACAAATTGTTTGAGGCTGGTATTCATAATTATATACGATTTTAAGGTGATTTGCAACAAATTCGAAAAAGGTCAAAATCAAGGTCATAAAGGTCACGGATCAGTACCATCTCCCGGTTCACCCAAGAGGAAGTATGTGTGATCATTTTAAGCCCCAGTTTGACCAAATCGGTCCAGTGGTTATCTCAGAAAACAGGGAGATGTCAACCCCCTTTACTGACTTGCTATCGTCCATTTGCACCAAATGAAAATTTTTTGAGACCCAAAATTGGTCTAAACCCACTAATTCAATTATGCTGAACACGATTTTCGAGGTTTCATTCAAATTAAAAAATAAAGTCCAAAAGGGGGTCCCAGGCGGAAAAAAATAGTCAATTATTACTGATTAAGATGAAAACCTGACCAAGTGTACTACAAAACTCGTTTCCATATTTAGCAAAAAGCAGAATGAGACTCGGACTCTGGTGCGTATCCACCACCACCGCTGGCTTTCGTTGCGACAGTGCCGTATGGTGGTCTGTCTCACTTCCCACTCTTGCAAATTGTTGACGGGGATTATAAATTCAAAAAAACTTCAGTTTTAAATTTGGGGCGAATAAGTAATTCAGATATCACAAATTTTAATAATTTCAATTATATGTCTCATTTTCTCATTAGTGATAATAGTTTGTTACGGCTCTTACAAAAATAAGCCCCTCCCCCAGAAACTTTGACCCCAAAAAACTCATGGTAGCGGCCATTTTGAGTCGGACAACCAAAGCTGAAAATGTAGCTCTTCTCATGAAGAAAAATCTGGCATCAGGTTGCCAGACTCAAAATGGCCGCTACCATGAGTTTTTTAATCATTTATGTGTACGCAAAAAAACGCCAATTTTCGAATTTTGAAACTCTTGATGCATCAAAATGTTCGTATTCAAGGGGGAAGTCAAAAGTCAAATGCAACTTGGGGTCTAATTCTTTTTGTACCGAGTGTTCATTTACTTTCTCATTTTTCCCAATTTTCTTCCCCAATTTTTGAAGGGGGTGTGGTTGAATATAATTCAAAAATGGCTATGCTATCTTAATCCTTCTACCCAGAAATAAACTTGAGATTTTTTGTTTGAAATTCGGTGACATCGACGCGAAAAGGGGTTGCACTTTTGGCTCATTTTGTACCATGTACCACAAGCTCAAATTAAAAAAATAAGAAGATTGTTTCTCATAATTCGAGTTGAAGGCAAAAATGTTGATTTTTACCTGTCGACAGTCAATATTCGGCGAGTTCAGAACGTTCACATAACCTTGCAGACATTTACAATAACTCATGACCGCTCCCTCTTCTCGGATACAGCCGGTGAACTCCTTGTAAGCCCAACACTGTTCGCTATGGGTGCAGAGAAGGTTATCATGCTCAATACAAATCTAGCATTTATTTTCTACTTCAAACCCATCATTTTCATCGCATTTCGTAGTTGCATTAAAGTCGGGACAAACCGGAGTTAGGTCGCCTTGCAATTTTCTACACTGTTGTGGAACGAGACAGGGACCCCCTAAGTTGTCCGTAAGTGTGTAACATCTACCTTCAATGTCGTAATAACTTTCATCCACCCCACCGATGCAGTCACACTGTTCCGCTCGGTTTGTTGGTCAAAGGTGCATTCAGCGTCCCCCAAACCGTTGCTCGATTCACCTCGTACTAAAACAATGGACCCCGTTTACCCCCATAAACGGTTATCAGCTTTCTAAGTTCGGGACCATTGCCTTCAAAAATAAAGACCAAAACGAACGAAATTTACTTTGTTAGATTCGTATTTACCAAAATCGACACTATCGACAGGCACATGCAGCATGACCAAAAAAGTTGAGTCAAACTACTTGTGACTGTATCAACAAACGTTTGTTGAAAATGTCGGGTCTTTTAGGGCTGAAATTAGGAAGTTATTTTTGCGAGGGTATGATGCATACCTCTCATGCATCTTATGCAACAAATTCATACATATGTAAACTTTGCTTAAAACGGAGGCATTTTGAGACCTTCTCGACTTTTATACTTTTCTCTTGTCAAGCACTTCTGATAATTTATCTCTGAAGTAAAAAAAATCTAATAATCTCCTCCACCCAATCAAACTAAATAAATTATTTATTTAGAAACATTGATAAATTCTCGGAAATTTTCACTTCGGCGAATATACATATGTACATACGCTTACATAAGTAAATACATACGTTATACAATGTGAATTAATTAATTTCACATCTATGTAAAACTTCAAGTTTGATTTTGAAACTGAATTCTAACCCGGAGAATATTGACGACCAGGTGATTCGTGCAAAAAAAACTCGTCTCAAAGTTTGAGACTCCAACTTAGGCTGTCAGCTTTGTCCCACGCTAAAAATTTAACGTCCAGAAAGAATATTATAGGATCCCTTGACTGAACGAACTGAAAGAACTGAATTAGTGTCTTCTTGCCAATTGTAAAGTGTCACAATTGTAAAAGAATATTTTTACAACTTAAATTTATAAAGTATCCGACATTTTTATTTATTTCTGATTATTGATTTTTTTAAATTCTTATTCAAGTTTATTTATTTTGACGATATGATTTTCACAACAGTCAAAGCCTCCTCAGCGGTAGGTCTTTCTTCCGGCTTGCGGTTCAGCATGGTCCTCAAGAGGTCATAAATTCGTGGCTGTGTGATCAGAAAGCCTTGTAAGATGCGACTGCAGCCATGCCTAACGTCGTCCAATCCCATCTTCAACTCCTCATTGCTGCAGAACGGGTGCAACATGACGAGAACGATAAGCCCCAAGGAAAAAATGTCCGTTTTGAAAGTGTAATCTCTATCGCCTCGTTCGATCTCCGGGCTGGTGAAATAAACTCCCCCAACGTGTCCGCTAAGGGCCGAGTCGTCAGTTGGAATTTCTCTGGACAATCCGAAATCAGCAATTTTGACAATAATTTCATCCCCACGAACGTTGAGTAGGATGTTGTTGGGGTTTAGGTCGCGATGAATTATACCCTCCGCGTGAATTGTAGCCAAACTGGCTAACATTGGCTTCGTGATTTTCACGGTGGTTTCAAAATTTCCAATTTTATCGAGATTTTGGTTATACCATGCGGCAAGGTTGATGTCCTTGTCCATTAGTTCCATTCTGATACACATGTAGGTATTTACCTCTTCCTCGGAAACGGAGGTTGGTAGTCTCTGAAAGTGTTACATTAATTTGTGAATGCTGAATAATGATAATAAATATAAATGTGACAGAACAATTGTCGCTGGGTTCTTGACGTTTGCAATAAATCAAATCGCCCGTATGCAGTAACTTTCCAAGACTTACTTCGTTGGGAGTTGGGGGTGACTTATTCGCTATAAAAAATATATTACCTTAATAAAATGCTATATATATATATATGTAAGTACATATATTAAATGTACTATTAGCAGGGAATTAATAAGCCTTATTAATTTTAGGACTGATATTACGACTCCCAAAAATTACTAGTGAAAAATAAACAATAAATCGAATTTACAAACAATTTTATCCTTAGTTAGTTAATTGAGCTGAATAAATAGCGAGTTCTAATTAATTGTATTTAAGTATAATTGAAAAATAATGCAAATTGCCTTACATTTCAATAGTTTTAACCATTCGGAATTAAACTTTTTTTTCAAAGGGCCTTCAAACCAGGCCTCGTGACAAGCGACAATGTTTTCGTGTTGATACAATTTTTCCATGATGACGACTTCTCTGACAAGTTTATAGAAGGCGTCCTCAGCACCTGAAGTTTTGGTGAGGAGGAGAAATCGACCCACACAAATCCGTTTGACTGCATATTCCTAGTTATCAATGACGTCGCGGACTTTCAAAACTTCACCGAATGAGCCGGCATCGAGATGTGCAAGCTCATGAAATTTTCGGTGCGGCTGCTTTCCCTCAAATAGTATTGGCTTAGTTCGGGTCATTTGGATAGGTGTTCAGAAGATGTATTAATTGTATAAACGGGTAATAAGGTTTTATGTTGAATGGTGCAAATTTAGAAAGGAAACTCGAATTAAAAATTTTCAAACATCGCATTGTCATTCAAATTTGACAACAAACTAAAAAAATCCATGGTTGCAAATTTGTTATCCTGGGAGCTAGACTTCATTTTAAAGCAATGTATGCCGAGTATTTTTTTAAATTCAGTGCAAAATTGTATAGGTCAATTCTGATTAAAAGGTTTCACTCCACAGGCAGATTGTGCATAAATTTAGAAAATTTAAGCTGGCGTAATAATGGAGCTGGGAGGTATGTAAGTAAATAGATTAATTTTTTGCGCATAATTATTATCCCCAGCATTTTGCTCCCTCACCCTCCTCCATTCATCCATTCAGCGAATAACGTCCTCATTAAATTGACCATGGCAAGTTGGACTGTTACTGGGACTCGAAGGGGCTAATAATTCGCACAAAGTGGCCATTTTTATACATTTTACGCCATCAAATTCCCTATGTTTGGCGATAACTTGGAAACAGAGTTCTCTGTGCTTTCTAAAGCACAGATTGTGGACCATCTAAAATTGTCCCTGTACATATAAATATGTATATACATATGTACATACATACATACATGCGTATTCTTATATGTTTGGTTAGGTTAAAGGGCTACTAATACATATGTAGGTAATATGACCAAATGACAAGTTGAACCTTGAATCAAAAGCACATAAACTCACAAAAATCATAAATACGCAATAAACTATACATTTGTACATATGTACATTTGTACATACGCAGCTCAATGCGTTAAACCCTAGGCCCTAGGGTAAAGGGTAGTACACCCTTTTCTAAGAAGTTTGCCTAATTTTGTCGGGTCTGTACAAACTATGCACATATTCACTAAATATACTTAAACATTTAACTCAATACATCATTTCTACACAGCCATTCTCATCCTTGTCGCCTTATCTACGCCCACGTGCTTACTCCGTAGAAGTAAATCTTTTTAAATACAAAACTTAAACCAATTAAACCACTTTGAATATGGAATTCGCCTTAAGAAATCCACTGGTAAAAATTTGTATACTTATTCCCAACAAGCATAAATACACCTTTGCATGAGTTGTATAATTCTTAGAAATTTATCTCATGTCATAATTAACTTAAATTTATGCAGATTCTCTCCAATATATTCTCCCGTTTGGATTTCGCATCTCTAAAGACGACTCGGTCCGTCTGTTCTTTATGGGCGGACGAGGCGGCGCATCCCCTCGGGTTAAAATCTGTCCTCAAGGTGCACAAAGTATTCCCCCATTGCTGCACCGCCACCGGGCTGCCGTCCCATTTCGATCCCAAGCTGGCCGTCCATGTCGACATTAATTTAAATTGTGGCGGCGTCGTTACCGGAAATTACTCCCACTCGGCGAAGAGAGAAAGTCGTGCAGCTGCAGTGAATATTTCGACTTTCTTATCAGCCTCCCATCAAAATATAGAGACGATCAAGGTCACGAACAACTTCGCCTTTCCCGTGTTCAGATCTCTGACAAAATTAGGATTTCCCAAGCTGAAATGTTTCCAAATAATCGGAAGTGACTTTTGTGAGGAAAATTATACCCCAAAAATTGACGCCGAATTGCTATATTGCGTCACCAAGAGTTTGAAACGCGTGGAGTTCACGCTTCCAAAAGAATTTGGCAATGCTATGAGCGATTTGTACGACATATTTCAAGATCTGATCGATTGCGCGGAAAATCTGGAGGTTTTAAAAATTCAAGAGTTTTACGTTCCGAATTTGGATAATTGTAAAAAGTTGAAGGTTTTGGAGTACACGGGATTTCCCAAGGGCGCTTTGTTATATCGGGGTCCATGCGTGCAAAATGGAGGTTTCGATGTGGAACCGTTACACGACATGTTGGAGGGGGTGAAGGATTCATTGGAGGTGTTGACTATCGCGTGCAGACACGATTTGCTATGTCGACATGTCCAAGTTGAGGTATTTAGATATTGATAACTCGAAATTAATTGACTTTTGACCAATTTGTCATCAAGTTAAGGTTTTTTGGTATTTGAAATTCGTATTTTTTTAGTTGGAGGACTTCCAAACCCCGGTGATGACCAAGCTGGAAAAACTGTGCATCAACGGCTTCGCTATGTACGGATTTGCAACCAGTATTACGAAAAATCAATTTCCAAAGTTGAAAATGCTTGCAGTTTCCGGCGAGTATATTGAAGCGAAGGACATGTTTGAGGCACCGTTTCCATGCGAGGTGTCGAAGGATGGGGTAAAAATTTTCGATTACGATATGCATTTATCATAATTTAAGATTTTATTGTGTATCTACATAATGTAAAATCACTAACTTTTGTATTTTGCTCGCTTACTGTTCAAATGAACCTGATGAGATTCATAGTCTGACATTTCATTGCATCGTTAAAAAATTTTACTAAAATGTTCTTAAAATTTGCCCTGAAAATTGATTTGTAAACACTTCCATTTCCCCTAGTGTTTAAACAGTTGGCAAAAAATGCTTAAAAAGTTTTCAGAAATAAATATAAAAAAGTTAAAATGCGAAATGTGTAAATTGGGCATAAAAAGGTCTCGAGAATGTATTACGCTGAAATAATGCAGCGTCTAATTTCTTTAAATAACTTACTTTATAAAAAGGATGTACTGATTTATTCAACTCGAATTGATGTAATTTGACACTTGATTGATTTTTAAATAAAGTTGTACGTACAGAAAGATTTTCATTTTTTGTAGAAGTTAGCTTCACATTTAAATTTAAGTTTTTATTAAAACTTGCACCCATCAAAAGTTTAACAGAAGATAAATTTATGTATATAATTCGAAATTATTAGGTAATTCTGCAAATGCAAATATTACTGTACATATGTTAATTAATTTCCATAAATTTCTGAAATATACAGCATTTATTCGAACATTTCATTAAGAGCGAGTCAAATACAATTTGTATGTACTGATTTTCCTAATTTCTTATCAATTTTAAGAAGTCACATTGTCATTTATTTTGCCGCTGCTTCCGTTGTGGCGTCGTCGGCTGGCGCTTCAGTGGTGGTGGCGTCGTCTGCTGGCGTTTCAGGGGTGGTGGCGTCGTCACTCGGCGTTTCTGTCGTAGTCTCCTCGGCACCAGCTTCTGTAGTGACTTCTTCGGTTGTGGCTTCATCAGCAGCTACAGTGGTTTCCTCAGTGGGCGCAGTCTCTCCAACAATATTGCTATAATCACCTAAAAATAGTATTATAAATTAAAATTGAGTCGAGTGTTCAATTTTGTATCCTAATTTTTGCATAGGTCAGAGTACGACGGTGCGAAATCCACTCGATGCGGCCTTAGATTTTAATACATTTTCATACTAAGGCTACAAACTGTATATAGCCTACAGTGTGTCAATTTCATGGGAAAAACATGTTGCAGAGACAACCCTATCTTGCAAATCAAGTAATGATTACGGTAAAAATGTCATTTTATCGTAAACCCTGCATGGCTAAACTTAAATCTGAACTTTGGGGATTTGCACATTGAATTGCACCTTGATTTGTACCTTTGTCACTTAACTTCTCAAATTCAGAGACTTACATTTCGCTGCTAAACATTATACATAAATACATAAATCGCGAAAAAAACTAGTCGAAGCGTTGTTCAAGATTCGAAAAATTTGTGACAGAGTAATATCGGAATTTAGTGATTTACATACACGCACTCACCTTGAATCCCTTTCATCACCCCACCCAAAAAGCTCCCTGCAGCGCTCGTAGCAGCGGATGTAATAGTGTCTGCATTAATCAAAGCCTGAAATTATTTACCTTCCATTTTGAAAATTTATGGTTGTGAAAAGTTGCATTATTGTGATATTCACCATATAAACCGGAAAAGAATCCCCGACCCTGCGGAACTACAGAGAAAAAATTATTCCTTGCAGGTTACATACATATGTACATATTGTATATCTACATAAATATACATATATGGACATGACAAATATGTATGTAAAGATGCTGAGCGTACGCGTACTAGACCTCTTCACTACACAATTAGCAAATACATTTCGGAAAAAATCTTATGACATACACACAAATATATGAATTGTTGCCAAAAATTTGTTGAGCAAATTTTGCAAAGCAAACTCTCTTAATTTTCGAGAACTGTCCTTGTTCCCAAAATTTGCAAGTTATATTACGCTCAACTTGCGAGCTTTGCGAACTTGTCCGCAGATCGTCATATGATAAGTTACGATTAAGTATAGTGGGTAATTTAGTACCTTCGTGAGGTGGAGAATCATCCTCGGAACTGCTGGTCTCCAAACTTTCATGATTATAATCATCACCGTCCAACGAGCTAAGCCCGTCGTATGATGAATATGCTTCCTCGTCATCGTTCTGCCCTTCATCCTCCCCGGAAACTACTTCCGTTCCATCACTTTCCTTCTCTGGGTGCGAATCTTGATCAATCTCGTTATTTTCGACTTCTTCATCGACGTGATTTTCGACAGGGTCTGACTCGTCGTCGTCTTCTCGTCGAGTTCGGAATTCGGAATTCTCATTTATTCCAAAATTCTCTAAATGCGGAAATACTGATCTTTGGAATTTTGAGGGATGATAAGAACTGCTGCTGCGGGGGTAAGCATCTAGACAGAAATGAAGATCACATTGCGAATAAAAATCTTGGAAAACCTCATTTCAAAATATGAATACTATTTAGAAATTATTTCAGTTTTTGACATTAGATAATAAGTTTATCGTAGTATTTGCGACTTATTAAATGGTTTTGTTTTACCAGAAGGAGCAAAAATAACCACCACCACCACAACTGTTGACAATAGGTGAATAAGTAGGTGATACTTCAACGGTTTGACCCGCATAACGATAATCTGGTTAATAGGTAATTATGTCGACTTGATTAGCCACAGCGTCTTATCGTTATCTGACGAATAAATGGTAACGAAAGGTCATGAGTTTACTTCCTGGCTGTAGAATATGGTTTAAATGCCTATGCAAAATAAACATGGAGGTTTAATTAATTCATTGTGCAACGGGTGACAATGGAAATTGCATATGTGTCATTAAATATTTAGACTAACCAATATTAAATGGGTATAGAATAGTGCAATCATATCGTAGACATATGTTGCATAATTGACTTCATGGTAGGTGGTTTAACTTGAGTTGTAAATATATGTAATTTCTAGGGCATGCAAATAAATGAGGAACTTTTGGCATGGTATTTAGAAAGTGAAAATTCAGACTTGGTAAATATTTATGTAAATCGGAGTTATATATTTATATAATAAGTAAGCTCAGTTTCATTTTCATGGAACATAAAATGCTATCCGTTTATTTTTTTAGAGAGAGCAAAGCGCATTAAACATAAAGAGCTGGACCTTGAGTCCTACCAAATCTCCAATGCAATGCGAGCAGACATTTTTTGCGACTCCAATCAATCTTCGAATCCACAAGAGGACCAAAATCACAACGAGTTTCTACTTATAATATTATTTCTGAATAATATTTACCCTTCGAGAACTGGAAAGGCGAAAAATTCCAGAAATGTGTGTTCTGGTATCAACGACCGGTTGAGTTGCTTGCGCCTTAGGAAACCAGTGGAATATTTTTCCTTATATATCCTCCAGAATAGTAAGTACGTTCTTGAAATATTAATCCCAATTTACCAAGAAACTTATTTCCGTACCTGCAACGAAGAAAACTAACCCTTCCTCAGGTATCGCTGTTACCCAATTCAGCGAACAAGCGACCCTTAACTCTGCATACCTCAACCTGCTATGCATTTAACTGGTTACTTGCTTCCTACATATGTACATACCTCGAGTGTATGGATTTCATTGCGACGTTTGTAATCACAAGAGGGCCAATCACATTTGCGCCTCAATAGGCTCACCAATCCGGGCGGACGACCCCATGCTTGCGACTCTTGTAAAATATGTACGTTCACTAAGGAATCCCAGGTCACGATTCATAGGATATCCTATACGGGCGAAGTTTAAATGTAATTAAGCAATTGACTAATTAGTTAATTTAATTATCTAACTAAATTATGATAAGAATGTACTAATTTTATGCCTCTGTGTTGTTAGACCATGTTCCTACGGAACTTTGCGATAAAACATTTACCAACTCGAACGGATAAATTGCGCCGTTATTAAATCATCTGATCTCTCAAGTTAAGCCTCACATCTGCAAATTTTGCGATCAAGGAGTTTCTCAGATGACCAATCTTAACTCTCATGTCAAATCTACTCACCACAAAATAACCGAGAAAATTGAGAAGGCTTCGGTCAAGAAAGACGATGAAACTTACCACAATCCAAGCTGGTCATATAGTTGAACACTCTCGATCTTTACAAGATAACCCCGACCAGACCGTTTTTCACCAATCTCAAGTCTTTAGAATTCACGAGTCTCAAAATTTTACAAATATTCCGATTCAGTTCCAAGTCGTGTGGAAGGCCGGGCTAGAGGGGGATGGGTCAATCAAATTTTACATTGAAACAGTTGCATGTTTTTATTAATTTAATGAATAGAAATAATTATTCATATTATATCATAATGTCGAAACTTTTGATCGTATTTAAATCCATTCTAGACAAGTTGATATTGATTTGTATCATATTTTCCATAAAATTTGAGGAATAAATTCGTCAAATTTTGCATTCATAAGTATTCTCTACTTGTTTACAATAAATGTTATTTCTGAATAATACATATCTTTCAAGAATTAGAAAGGCAAAAACTTCCAGATATGTGGTCCGGTATGAATGACCGGTTAAAAATATTACTTGCCTTATGACAGCATTGGAATATTTTTCCTCCAATATTCCTCACAATAGAATATTCTGGAAGTTCTCGAAATATTAATCCTTTTTTACCAAGCAACTTATTTCAGTACATGCCACGAGGAAAACTAACCCTTCCTCAGGTAGCGAATCGGCGAAATGCTACCCGAATCGGCGAAAAAGTGACCCTTCACTTTGCATGGCCTGCACTACTTGCTTCCTACCACATTTAACTAATCCTTAACTGCTTCCAGTAAATAAAAAGCCCAGCATTCGACAATCAGTCCTCATTCGCAATTTTGTCCTCGTTCAGTAAGCATTTAGCTGAAAAATCAATCCACATTCCAATCAAGACGTAAAACCTGCCAACAAATCTGTCCCCCATTCAAGTGAGCAACTGAAGAAGTGCAAGAACAGTAAAATCCTAGTGATCCCTGATAAGAAGAGAACTTTTAAGTGTCCATGATGGAGATCGGAAACGAAATTGCCCCCAGACGCAGCATTCACGCCAAGAAGAACAGCCAAGCAACAAGTTTCAACGACTACTATCGACCATCCTCCTCCCAAAAGATGGAGAAGAGTTCGCCCCAAATCCAACAACCCCTCGTCGTCGCGGCGGAGAAGGAGACAGGTCACCGACAGACTAACCCTTTCCTGATTGCGGAGGTGAGTAATTCAATCGTGGTTTTAGTAATTAATTTGCATATGCAAATGCACAGTTGAGATTTTATCGTACAAAAAATATTCCGTGAGATTATATTATTTACGCCGTCTCATATTCCCTGAGTTTTAACTTTAACCATTAATTATGCATACTGTTAGAAATCTGGTATAGTTACGTAGGTATTGATTTCTCGGTATTAAAGTTGTTACCGGTTGGTATTAAAATTGTATTAAATTAAAATTTGCTACCAATGCCGATCTATTTACTACGGGGTAGTACTCTCATCAATACCCTTTTGGTAGAGTCACATTTGTATGAATACCACTTGGTATTAATTTAATACAAGATTTCTAAGGGTGCATTTGTAATAATAATTGCTGAAAATGAGTCAGATATGTTGCCACATTTGGCAGTAAATACATTTTTAATTTATCAAATTAGAAAGGTTTTGCATGTACTTGCATGTTGCGTCTATATTTAAGTGATTCATTTAATCCTACCATACGATGACTAATTGTTTCGGTGGACTATCAACTGGCACAGTATAAGATTCAAGTTGTTATATTTAATATTTGCATGCTTTGTTTGTATTGGGTTACAAAATTTGATAATTGAATCGAATTGGTTGTCTAAATATACGAAATTTTGATGGGATTATAATAATCCTATCAAAATTTGGTATATTTAGCATATTGGATGATTGCATGAAAATTACCATTGGATGTCTCAATCTGCCTCACATTTACTCTTTACACAGATTTGTGATTCATCTCCTTAAGCACTACTCAACTGTTAACAAATGATAAACGGCTGCTTACTCATACCACCAAGAAAAGAGTCATGAAACTTTTTGAATTGAATAATCGGATTATTCAATTCAAAAAGTTTCATGACTGTTTTCTTGACTGTATGCGTAAGAAGCTGTTTATGATTTGTTAACAGTTGAGTAGTGCTTAAGGAGATGAATCACAAATCTGGGTAAAGAGTAAATGTGAGGCAGATTGAGACATCCAATGGTAATTTTCATGCAATCAGTAAATACGTAACCAAATGTAAATAAGAGGTGTATTGAGACAACTACTTATGTACACATTAAATATATGTAACAATTAAGCTTTCTATAATATTTAATTTTACTTTAATGGAATCAGTTTACCAATATTTTTATGAAATACTCGTGCTCCCAATATTTTGCGAGTTTTATGAATAATTAGGTAATGATCCTGTAATTATGAAGTAACTAATACCCTCCAATTTATCTGCGCAGGTCCTCGAAACGATTTTCCCCCACCTGGACCACGCCTCCCTAAAGACCTGCTGCGAAGTGTCCTCCCTCTGGTGCGTCATGGCCACCCCTCTGCTCCGATCTCGCTCCCAGATCCACCTCGAAGGCCCCCTCCACGACGACCGAAGTGACGCCTTCCTCTCAACGCTCACCCCCACCGAAACCCTGCCCATGTCCAGCCTCACCTACAACCTCCACCACACCTCGGCCCCCTTCCTGTCCGAAAGAGCGTCCAGTTTCTTCTCCACCTTCGGTCATTCCCTCACCTCCCTCACCCTGCAAGCCTACGCCCTCCAAGACCCGGCCAATTCCCTAGGCACGAACCACTTTTTCTCCGTCGTGTCCCACCTTGTGAGTCGTGACTGCCCCTCCTTGACCCACTTGACCTTGACCCACCTCCAACATCTCGACTACGAAGACTCCCTCGACCCTGAAATTGAATCCCGACTGAGCTTCACATCCCCTTCCATCCGTCACTTGACCATTTCCTTCGAAGGGAAATCCTCCCTCGTCCGACCGAGACGCGCCTTGAACTGCATGGCCGTTTTGAAATCGCTCCTCACCATCGCCCCCAACGCTACCACCCTGGACACCGACTTCTCCCTTTGTGGGGGTGAAACCTTCACCTACCTCCTCATGACGCTGAGAGACGCCAAGATTTCGCCCAAACTGACCAGCTTCTCTCTCACCGGGGGCCCACTCGACAAGGTGGCGATGAGCGTGCTGAACTCCATGACCTTCTCGAAACTCACCTCTTTCAATATGAACGCCCAAATCACGACCCAAGTGCAGACCGAATTTTTCCAGTTTTTAGCCAAGTTGAGCCCAACGCTGCAAAAGTTTGAAATGGTTGGCGATAAGTGGGGGAGATTTGGGTTCCAGGGAAGATTGGCGAGACATGGGGAAGGATTTGCACTGGATTTCCCCCTCATGCCGAAACTCAAAGTGTTTCAGTATCAAAATTATGAAGGCTTGCGACTTGGGAGTGAAGACTTTTTGCAAAGATTGCCAAATTTGGGGGAGCTGGTGATTCGCGACTTTCAGTCCTCGTTGGGAGATATGATGCTGTGTCCGCAGCGCACCGTGTTCGGGGCTATGTTCGGTCCAAGGAGTTACAGAAGGGGGGAAGTCACGGCGAAAACTCCTAACGTTCATGTCAAGAAGGTCGTTCTTGATGTGGTCTTTGTTCCCTCGTTTGAGAATCAGGGCTCGATGGAAAAGCTGTTAAAAATGTTCCCAAACGTGGAAGAGTTGGAGCTGACTGTTAGTTTCGCATACCAAAACGTGTACGTGGGTCAAGTTTTAGACACTTTGGCCAGGTCGAAGATCAAGAAGCTCAAAATCAAGTTTTTGCAGTGTGCTGAACTCAGATCTGAGAGGGTGGAGGCGTCATTCCATTCCGCCTTGATGAATTGCTTGCCAAGATTTTCTCGTAAGTTAATTTCTATTATTTAGAAATATGTATTAAAATTGTTGAATTGAATGGAAAAATTTAAAAAAAATACCGGAATTAATTTTTAATGAAAACATTTATTTTTCTAAATTACAGAACTGCAACGGGTAGACTTTATCCTGGACGACATGCCCCCAATGTCCAGATTCACCTTGGCACTTTACACTGTCAAAGGGATGTTATGTACCGGGTTGTTGAGCGTCCTTAATCTGACCGGATTTTGCATTGGGGTAAGCATTTTGATTATTTTGAGTATCTAAATTCCTGAGATTATTTCTCATCAGTAAAGAAGTTTGTAACGAGTCTAAATCTAAATTTTATATATTTTTATCTGGCTGATTTCAGGAGGACCTCGACGAGACGGAAATGTGTCGCCAGCTCTTAGACGACAAATTGGCCCAGTGGAAAATTAGTGAGAGTGTAATGCCGCATTCAAATTTTAGTCATTTCGAATATTAATTACTTGGTTATTCGATTTTTGTCGTTTGCAATGAGAAATCATGATGTTAATTTTATTTTGGGCTGAAAAGTTGTGCAGATTTTCATAATCGAGGAGTTTCTTATTTGAGTTACATAAGCAGTTGGAAGTTTAGATTAATCTTTTCGTATTTGTTTTTATTTCATTTTTACTCGTCACACTATAATAATTGAATTATTAAACCTTATTTTTATAGGTTAGGAATTTTGTATGCATTTTGTATATCTGTTTTGACACCTTTCAAAGATGTCAAAACAGATATACAAAATACATACAAAGATGATCTTTGTATGCATATATTTAGCGAAAATCGTATTAATTTTTTCGTATTTGTTTTATTTATTATTTACACTGTAATTCAGTTATTAAACGTATTATTTAGTTTCATAGGTTAAGAATTTTGTACATACTTTATATACATATGTACCTATTTTGACATTTTGTAAATATTTAGCGAAAATCACCCAAGAATAAACTTATAAGGTTTCTAACCATTAAAAACTTTTACCTTGCACATATCCAGGTGGATTGCATAATTTCCATTATATTTACTTACAAATAAATATGTAAATCTCATGCATTAACTACTCAAATGCATAAAATTACGAAAATATGAAGTTCATATACAAGCTGATCTACCTAAATACATAAACACCATTACATGGGTCAACAGTGCTGCTCCATAACCCATAAAATACATAAGTATAGTCAATTCAATTGGATACGGCCAAGTCTGCATAAAATTACTTAAGAAAATATGTGTATATTAAGGTGCTTAGAATTTTGAAATGAAAATACAGTTCCAATCCAATGGCAGGAGCATTACATGCATGAGCTCTCTTATACATACATATGTATATTTAAATACAGTTTCATATCTATTGAGCAACTTAAATAATTAATTAGTCTTCTCTAACCTGTGCATCTCCATGAAGCATATGTACAAGCCATTTATTTTCATAATGAACAACTAGGTATGTACATATGCACAGTGGAACCAAAAAATAATGGTCACATATATAACTAATCGCCCCCTGACCAAAATAATTCCTTAAGTGGTGTTTATGCTTCGCGTCACTGTCACGTCCTCCTCCAAATCCGATTTTTTGATTGGTTAAAATTTTTAATTGTCGTAGTGACAATTTCGCTCAGCCAATCAAAAAATCGGATTTAGAGGAGGACATAACGATAACGTGAAGCATAAACGCACCTTTAGTATGTACTTACTTAGCTTTCAGGTGAATTAATGAAAAAGTTACGTGAACACGAATTTATAGGACTTACTTAGGAGTCACGAATGTAAATGTACATGCAATGTAATACGACACTAAAAATGCATGAATGTTCGACATTATTCTTTCCAGTGTTTGCTTAACCGGAAGCATACGTACATATGTAGCTAATTATTCCATTTCGAAACTTGTATTTCCTATATCCTTAACTCTTCCTGACTTACGAATAAAACGCCACCAAAGATGGTTTCGTTCCTACCAAAGTGTGCCCCACATTATTTTCTTTATCTAAACATTGCTATATTAATCACTTTTTTCTCATCATTACAAGTTCAGGCATCCCATAACTACAATTTTAATAATAATTTCAAGTTGCCCATCTCACACAAAACGCGAGATTTGCACATTGCTACTGACTCCTCAAGGCATGAGAAATTATACGAAACCTTATCAAACTCGTATTTCATACCGGCAACAATTCATGCATTTCCACCCAATATTCAGCAAGAAAACTGGAAGTCTTTGAACATTTTCGAAACGAAACATCACAATGTGGGGACGGTATGTGGGATAGTCCTTGTAAGCGCTCAAAATCTGGATAGCGCTGTTAAATCAGTGCTCTTCTTCTCAATGGATACCCTCGAGCAGAAAATCCTTTACAAGAATAGACTCCAAATCGTTCATTTGGCCGCAGATCGTAGTGAAGTTGAAGCAATGCTTTCAATCTTCAAATCTGTGCAAAGTTCGATGTATGAAACACTCAAATATGGTGGGATCGTTCGCATGATGCTGTACAAATATTCGCATACATTCATCCTAATTTTGAGCCAAACTGCAATAATCAAAGCATTTTACATATGTGCTCATTGTGGAATGACGTTGCTCGAAATGGATTCTGATTTTCAAAATTCTGGAATTTACTCTAAATATGTGTGCATAGAGGGATACAAAGTGGCCACAATACGAGTTATGGATAAGGTCCATTCAGTCCCTTCTTTATGCGATGAAAGTAATGAGAGGATCAGTTTTGCGGAGAGTGTGGCCTGGGATGTCTTCTGTCTTAAGAATATTACGCTAAAGTCGACACAAAACGCATTGTTGGATCCGTTCCTGCCAACAATGTTCAGTGAGCATGTCATGTAAGTCATATCCTACATATAGATAAATATGTATGTAGGTACAGTGGAATTAGTTGTGCTAGTCAATTAATTTGTGTATTTTGATGCATTAACGAGACACATTGCTACTGACGACATATGTATCGCCAAAAATAGGGAGAGTGAATGATTTATGCAAATGAGGTGACACAACAATACTTCCACTCTGCAGTATCTATTTGTGTTAACTGCAAATTCACCCAAACATCCAATTCCACTAACATTTATAAATATTGGTGAAATAGCGATTTGAATATAAATAGCAAATAAGCTTTTTTACCAGTTATCTTAATTCACAATTTTTATGCAGTAAAGAATATGCGAGGTTAATTTGCAGATGATTTGCTTTCCATAATTGTGTTTAAAAATACATTATTTTCCAACTTTCACTTGATTACCATTGAAAAACGGACTAGTAAAGATGCAGAGTTTATGTAAAACTTTTGATAAACTTTGAGCTCTTTACTGCATATTGATTTTGGTATTTAACTACAAGATTGAATAAGAGTTAATGTCACATAATGATGTTGAATATTACATATTTTCCAGGGAACTTAACAGCATGATGTTCGCTGACAAATTTAGTCTTACCGGCGAGCTCTCCAGTAAATTCTTGACATGCTGGGCGGAACAGCCGTACACTTTAAAAATGTATTTAAAACCCTTTTCCACCAAACTTTGGGCGTACTTATCAACATTCTGGTTGGGATTAACCACCGGATTCTGTGTCCTGATTAAGGTAAAACTTCAGCAAGAAATATTTCAAATGACGCCTGCGGGCGACGGAACCCTGACATTTCTTGCCGCGCTGTTCGAAAAATCGGCAAATATACCCAACAACATTGATAAGATGGCAACATTTCGGTTAATATTTGGTCTTTGGATTCTCCAATCTATCCTCTTCACCCAATTGTACACCAGCGTGTTGATATCATCCTTGATAATCCCCCTACCCAAAAAGTCGATAAGTCGGTTTGACGATCTTGTCCCTAAGTTGGACACCCATAAATACTTGTCCTCGGCCTTGATTCAATATCGCGACATGACAAATCATAAGGAAGACGACTCCTTCAAAATCAGCTCAAATCCATCGATCGGGATGTACACAACATACACGGCAGAATTTATAAAAAATTATTACACCCAGTCCGCCGAATATCACAGGGACTTACAATTCAATTACTTCAGTTTGATAATACACAGCATTCAAGGTTGGTTAATCCACAGTTCGAAGGGGTATGAACAGGTGCTTTTTTTGTCATCAAGAGAACAACTGTCTGCTTGGATGGCTGAGTTGCAATCTGGTCGTGATGTTGAGTTGAATTCAGAAATGTCACGATGGTTCAGTTTGCTCGTGAGAGGTCAAGTTTGGATTCCGAGGCTGGACAACAAGATGCTGAACGTGACCTTAATGGATTCGTCTCAAGATTCCCCAGGAGGCCGACTAGTTCCTCCCACGCAATCCTTCATGGAAGCAGAGCTGGTCCAATGTGGACGAATGGTACATGTCGAACCGTCACATAATCTTGACACGGAAATCGCCTATTTAAAAAGGAAGTACCACTGGCTGGATTTTTTCAAAAGCGATGAAGCCATCACGAGTCATGTGGCAGGATGGCACTTTTTGAACGCGGGAGAATCAAACTTTTCGAAGTGGCTGGACTGGTTCTTCGAGTCAGGGGGCTATAACTTTTTGAGGTGGAGGGTACAAATTAAGCAGTACATGGTAAGGAATGTGTTTACTAAGGAAATAATCAAGAGTCATAAAGTGCCGGATAATGTAAAACCACTAGATTTGAGTACTGGGATTAAGACTTTGTTTCATATCTGGGGGATTTTGATCGGAGCTACGGCACTTGTTGGATTTGCGGAAGTGTGCGTTGGATTTGTAGTTCTGATTTTAAAGGGAAAAGAGACATTGGTTTTTAAATTTTTACCGTAGGTTGAGATCAAATAGGATAGTTTTTTGGATAGTAATAGGATAGTATATAATACAGTGACTGCGAAAGCTGTGGGGACATATAGACACATTTAATATTGTAGTATCGGGGAGGGAGGGGTTTATTTATATAGCATGGACAGATACTGAGGAAATCGAATAGTGGGAACATTGTCCTTCTGTCCCCACGCTTTTCCGGCCACTTGTGTAATAGTCGTATTTAGTTTTGTGTAATTAATAATAATGCATGTTGTACGTACATATATACATATGTATCTCAATCACGACAATTAAAGAAATTAACGATCAACTATTGCTCAAAATGCGTATTATTCTCAATTCATTTATTAATTTGTCACTCGCATTCCACAGATATGAATTCATGTACTGATTTTGATCTAACCTTCCCACTATGGTGCCAGACGTTCAAAGACCCAGCCATTCTCGCCCGCATGTAAAACCACGCCATCCACGCGGTCATCGAGCCTCCGCTTTCGAAACTGAATCCTGTCATGCATCCGGTTTGTTTGTCCCTGCCAGAATTCCATTCTTTCCGGAATTACGAGATAACCGCCCCTAATAAATAAATCCCTAATGTGAAAATATGTAGATATTTTTAAACCATTCATAAAATCAGAATTTCTACCAATTTTCTGGCCTAGCGACACAAGCTTTGTCTCCAATCTTGTCTCTCAACTGGGCTTCTTTCTCGAGTAAAAAGTTGCGGCCCGGAATTGCCTGACTTTGTGGACTTATCGCTGCACTTATCTGACTCCCCAAAGGTCTTGCGTGAAAAAGTTGGGTACTTTCAGTACTACCCAGCTTCTCGATACGCCCTTCAATTCGGATCTAATCCAATTTCAATCAATCTTCAGAACGTAATTTGTATAGTAGAGGGTGTTCCGGAAGTAATGCAACTTTGGTAAAATGCATATATGCAAGGGTATCAATTTGCCCCAAATTCGAAATTGGGTGAATATTGTAGTCCACACATTTATCTAGTAGAATCCGAAAACCAGAAGTCGATATCTCTATCCGTTCCAAAATGAGGTCAAATACCACCAAGCAACTCGCAACCATCGTCTGCCACTACCTCGAAAAAGTGGTTACGCGTAGGAATGGGTAATCCGATCCGAAGAAATCCGATCCGATCCTAATCCGTCGGATTATGTCGGATCGGATTAAGGTTTTTTCTGATCCGAAGCCGATCCGGTCGGATCGGATTGGCTCAAAAATCCGATCGGATCAATCCGAGGCTTTCCATCGGATTTCGGATCGGATTTCGGATTAGATTATTTGGGTCACTCCAGCTTGCTTCCTCTATTCACCCCACAGTTTTTCACCCACAAATTTGACAAATTACGACAGATCTCAAAAACAATATCTCTCTTTCTCTCTCTCCTACCTCTAACATAATTTGTCAACACATGCGTCTAAAATTGATTGGACAAAGTCAAAAATTCTTGTTAAGCTAGTATTAATGGTCGCAATTTCTTGATAAATTTCCTAAGAGGTTATTTGGTCGTTCGAATACACTACGAAATAATCTGTCATGAAGCATTTTAGATTTTTTCAAGCTTATAATATTGGGTGAACGGAAACGAATTATTAATTAAATTGAAGAAAATTAAAGTGTAGGATGGATAAACTGTTGTATCTCAAACGATGGCCACGATCATAGCTTGAAAATTGCGTGCAATCTCAGAAATAATGTGATTGGATCACGTCCCTATTTTTGAAAAATTTCAAAAAGCGTAAGGGTCACTATTCTTTACTAAAAAGCGCGCTTCTCAACTCTCGCAGTGACTTGCTTTCCTTTGGCAAATTTGTCTTTATTTGTTGACAAATATAGCTCAACTGGATGCGAACATATTGATATCTTTCACATTTCCGGACAATTTTTTAAGTAGTGAATTTTTTAATAAGGCAAATTTTAACAATTTGTCAAAACTCGCCTTATCAACAAATTCGCTACTTCGTTCAAAAAATCGCACGGAAGTGTACAATATATCAAAAGCGTTCAAATTTCACTGCGCTATAGATAAAAATAAAGCCTGTAAAGAAACATATTGTCATGAAACTTGACCTTGTGGGTCAAAAATTGTGACCTTTGTTTTCAAATTCGCGAACGGCATCCAACCCCAATATTTCTGATCTACCACCCTGCAAATTTTCAAGCTGTTATCGTGGCCATTGTGTGAGACAGAAAAGTTTATCCATTATGCAATTTAATTTGCCCCACTATTAACTATTGCCTATTCAATATGTAGGGTGAAATTTGGATTGCTTTGTCGGTTTTTAGTAACCATATACTAATAATTAATTGTTGAACCTTGTGTATATATGTATATATATGTTGACCTTGTATATATGTATTGCATATTGGTGAGCATTATTATCCTCTCTTGAGTAGGTATACATAATATGTATTACATATGTATGAAATTATTGCAAGTATTGGATTTTATATCGATATAACCGGTTTAGTAATCCGATCCGATCCGAAATCCGTCGGATTGATCCGAATCGGATCGGATTGGTCGGTCAATCCGCCTCGGATCAATCCGATACCCGGCATAATCCGAGTCGGATTGATCCGAAGACCCCAAAATCCGATCCGATCCGATCCGAACCCATTCCTAGTTACGCGCTCCAAGAAATTGAGCTGTGTTCACTTTAAAAAATAAGAAATTCCAAAAGTGACGATTTGTTGTGTTATACTAAGGTATGAGCTGCAAAAAACGACTAATCGCAAAAAATATCTGGTCGGTACATTCGTGTGGCAGCCCCGAAAGTAATAAACTTCGTGTAGATAGAAATTTGTTATGTCGGAGCGAAATTCGCTGAAGTACTTGAAGTTCTCACCGAACACCATACATTATTTGAAAGCTTAGAAGTTGGACATCAAATCCTAGAAGGTTCTAGAAGCTTATAAATATAGTCAAGAGTAAAATAAAAGTAGCAAGCAGGAGGGCAGAAAAAATCCTTGACCTGAAGTAATTAAAATTAACCAAAATTGATCGTCCTGTACAAGACGATTTACTGCTCAGATTATCAAAATGCTTTTATTTGCACATAGTACAACTCTCCCACCTTCAAGAAAACCATTTATGCAAAACTGGAAATTAAATATAAGCCAAAGTATCACGCTCCGCCTTAAAACGGATCAAATGCAATTAACATGGGATAGGTGAACAACGTTCCCAAATTTGCCAAATACAAGACCTATTGAAAAATTTTAGTTCCTATCCTAGAAAAAATATTGTAATCGAAAAACTTCAGTCAAAAATTTGAACTTATTTCAACACATGTGGTCAAAAATCTCAAAAAAGGTGACCAAAAACAGTGGCGAAGCACTAATTGTGAGCGCCCAACAAAAACGTCTCCAAATTTGGCGGAAGGGGTGTACGGACCATTGGAAGCAAAACTTAATTAGCTTTAACCTTTGTCCCTTTCTGACCAAAATTTCGCTTTAAAAAATTCATTCGTTGAGTTTATATGTGCATTTGACCAAAGTTGCATTACTTCCGGAACACCCTCTAAAAGTAATTTTCTACTCTTCATAAATGTCACAGTTTCCTGATATAAATAAATGTCACAAAACATTCATGCGACAGATTTCAATCAGGCATTGCATTTTGAAAGTTTTTGAAAATTTTCAATTCTACAAATCTTGATATATGTAGGTATTAACTTTTACGTTGGGACCCTGCCAAGTGCCATTTATCTCAATCCCATAATTATAATAAAATAATTCCATACACATCGATGCAACGGAGCCCAATAAAAGTTCAGTGCAACGTTCGGATTTTCCTCCTGAATTCAAAATATTTTTCAACTTTAGCATGACCACGTAAACACATGGATAATTTCAAATTATTACCATTTCGCCACCTTTTCGACTCTCATAATTTGTGCAAAATTTAAAACCCTCCGTTCCCCAAGACTTCATCAACACCATGCGGCAAGATGGACACCCATCTCTGAAAAAAACATTCCGAAAATGGCTACTTGATTAATATTGTGTGTATTCGATATCTGTTTGGAACCATATTTCCAAAAGCCACAAAATCAACTAAATAGTTTGTAATAATATAGTTAAGTAATTAAATTTTTACCTTGTCGCCGTAGCTAGAGACATAGCAGTCGGTTCTTGAATCCCTTCAGTTTTCGCTGCTGTATCGAACCAATTTCCGAACAAGGTGATAGGCTCCCTCGCAATTAGATCATCCTCAAGAAATGCTTCCCCCGGTCCGCGAAATGTAAGCTGGGCTGACCCTACACAAATTAAAATATCAACGCATTTGTACATTGAACTGCACAGGCAGGTTTTCACAAATTGGACACAGTTGACAGTTAGTTATATTGGAAAGGTCGGTAACATTTCAAGCCACAATGACTCGGGTATTGGTTATAAGCCTGCATCTCTATGCACTAAACACTACACTTATCAACAAAACATATATTGCGAAAAAAATGCAGCTCATAAAAATTAACTTATTTAAATGAGTTACGAACTTGTATATAATCTCCGCGTGTACTGTTCAGCTAAATTAAGAGTCTCAATTCCTTGACAAATATTCTGAGATGTTATTCGGTTGCGATTATTATTTGTCAGGAAACGTTTTTTTGTGACTATTAATATTGGCTGGACAATAGGCGTAAAAAAGCATTTTATAATCTTCCGCTTAGGAAGTTTATAAACTTTTTTCAGCCTCCTTAAAGTTCACTTATGCCTGCAGCCATTAATTTTTTTACCTGGCAAACTGGCACCGGCCATCTCTTCAATTCTTGTAAGATTGGAAATTTTGGCAATCAATTACAAGTAAGACAGCATTGAATAATGTGGAGGATACTGTGTCAGCTGCGGCCACTTGACTTGTAGTTATCTTGTACATAAAATACCTATGTACATATTTATGTATGATTTGTAACCAACGCTGGTCAGTGAAGTAAAGGATTATGCATGAAGAATGTGGTCTGCTTTTGGGAAGTGTATGTCAGGCACATTATACATTCCATTATGTCAATTATTTCATGAGTCAGGAGTAAGTGAGCGGGTCAAGGTTCTCTGAAAATATTTGGATGACACGCTAATTGATGCTCTACTTGTGTGTATAAGTATTTATATTTACATACACGTGTATTTATGACATATGCAAAGATTACCCACTCATCTCGGATCATTATTAAGCCCACATAACCTTGACCATTATTCATTCTTACACTATAAATTTTTCTAACTTATTATATTGATAGGTTTAGAGTGTCACATTTTTAATGTATTTGTAAGTCAACTGGTGACATGTTAATTTCTAGTTTTCTTTTTTTTCCATGTTCCATTTTTCTCCAGGATGTTGGATGTGAATGGCATTAATCCAGTAATAAAGTGTCAATAGTGACAACTGTCCTCGTGGCCCTGAAATTGTGTCCACTGCTGTCTCCGTGCATATCAGAAATGTACATAATAATTTTTTTAAGGCTATTTGCACACTCTTCAATTATTATTTGTCTCAACTCAATATTTCGAGGGGAATGTCTACCCTTCGAATAAGAAGGTTTTATTCTGAATGTTGTGTGAATTATGTAATGGATTACATCCGAAATTTTATGAAACAACATCCAGAGACTGTCGGATTAAGATATTGGGATTAAGGATTGAGGATTAAATTTTAGTATATTGGGATTGAGATTGGGATTAAGGATTAATTTTTAAAATTTTGGGATTAAGAATTGGGATTAGAAATTAAATTTAATCTGGGATTAGGATTGACACGGGATTAAATTTTGGGTAGTCGGAATTAATTTAGTCGTGAATTAATTGTTTGCATTAAAGTTCATTATTATGTCAGACTTCTAAATTAGTTATACAAATGTCTGAACTTCTGAAAATGAAATATTTTGAACATTTTACATGCAAAATTAGATCGCTCATGAATACAATTTATAAGTCGCAATTGAATATTTTTTGCGCTAAAAATTATATAGGGGAAAAAATCTAGGTTGCTCTTGGTACTATTTTAACGAACAGCTTTTATCATAGTTTGATCATAGTCAGAGTACTCATATTCTTTTTATAAGCTCATACAGATGTTGAAAATTGTGCATTGAGGATACCGCGTTATGAGTAGTTTTGCAAAATATTGTGGAGTATTTTTAAATGTTTGATAAAAATGAACAAAATGCAATCAATTTTCGAAAGGGGAGCGATTTTGCTTTTCGAGTTTTTAGTCAATGAAAATTTAATCCCACTTTAATCCACTTTTAGATTAAAGTTGGTTTGGGGATTAAGGATTAAAATTCCAAAACTCGGGATTAAGGATTGAGATTAAGGATTAATTAATCCCCAATCCCAATCTCAATCCCCAATCCTTAATCCTAGATTGACCAGTTTCTGACAACATCCCCCTTGACTTCGGTCCCAGTTTCCTCGGGTTTAGTTGCCTCAGCCTTGGCAGCGCTACCTAAAAGTTGTAAGTACAAATTTATTATTTGTGTTTCTGAATGTATGTATTATTCGAATTTCAGTATCCGAATTCAATACAAATTTTCCAGAAGTCGATTTTTGTACAATTTAGATGCCAACTCTTGAATACATAGATCGGTGCACGGAGCCTACTTACGCAACATGCACATAGATATTTATGTTTTATGTACATACATACACGTCCGAATTCCGATTTACATATTTACGTGCATACCTGTAGATTTGAATACTCATTTGGATGTAAAGTCTTCAGTTTATTAATTCCATAATCGAGGGACTCGACTCGACTGACTGTGTTGCAAGTTAATTCATGATTTTGATAGAAAGTTTCTCCAATAAATTAAAACCATCCCTTAATGGCTAGATTTACATAAAAATGAGCTTGGCAGTTTGCGTCTCACATCTACAAATTGATAAATCTCTTCTTAATTCACTCTACTGTGGGATTGGTTAAGGTCGTGGAAAAATCTGGTTGTCAGAATGTTGACAACACTGATGTGTTGTTCAAGAATTCAATAAATTTGAGGTAGAAAAATTGAAATTTAATGATTTACCCACTCGCCACGAATCCCCTTCATCACTCCACCCAAGAAGCTTGAGGCAGCGCCCGATGCAGCAGATGAGACGGTATCTGAATTATTGGGAATCTTGAATAATTTGGTTTTCATAAAGATTTGTAAAATTTACACTCTTGCAATATTCACCATATAAGCCGTTCAATATCCCTCGACCCTGCGGCACTATAAATGGAGGGCAAGATTTTATTATTTAAGAAAAAAAATAAAGGGTACTCACGTCAACGACTTCTGTACATATTTCGCACTGCAACTCATTTAGCATATACATATTACGAAACAAAAGGATGTCCATTTGCTGTTAATTTCGAGCAAAAATACTACGGTTTTCTACCTCATAAAATGGTTAGCGAAATTTCACAAATTTCAGAAAACTTGGCAAGTTGGCCTGATGCTCAATTTGTGAACTTTGCGCACGTTGTCGTGAGTACATATGTATGTATACCTACATTTAAGTAATTTAGCTTCGTACAGTTCCTGTTCTGCAAAGGACTACAAAACCAATTGGAAACATAGGATGATGAAACTTTGATTCTTCAAAGTTAGGTTCCCGTCATAAACTTTGCATACAAAAATGCTACGGCTTTAATAAATGAACCGTAAGACACCGAGGGGTGATAACTGGTTTCTCAACCGACAATGGACAGCGACGATACAGATTATATATATAAATATTGCAAACCTTCATGTGAACCTTCACTAGAATCGTTCTGCTCATCGTCGTTGTCGTTATCGTCATGTTCCGAACTACCAGCTTCCAAACTTTCATATTTATAGTAGTCAATCTCCAGTAAATCATCTTGTAAGGATGAAGACGCTTCATCGCTATTTTGTAGCGACGGGTGTGCTTCATCTTCTATAGATGAACTTTCTGGTTCTTCTGTAGCCGACGGCGACCCAATATCGTTGTTCTCAAGTTCTTCATCGACGTGATCTTCGACAGAATCTGAGTCTTCCCGTCGCGTTCGGAATTCTCGTTTCTCATTTATTTTAAAGTTATCCAAGTATGATGATACGGATCTTTGGAATTTTGAGGGATCGTAAAAACTGCTGCTGCTGGGGTAAGCATCTAGACACGAATATTAACACCGAAAAATGCATTTTAATAATTTATGTAAATGCTGGGAAATATATTTTACAAAGTTAAATAAACAGGTAGAAATTTGTTTATTTGTGACTTAAATAACTTAAATTTGTGACTTCATTGTTTTATTTTACCAACAGTAGCCACCAACACCACTGTTGACAATAGGTGACTAATTAGGTAATGCTTGGATGGTTTGAACCGCATTACGATAATCTGGTTAACTAAGCACTAAATAATTATGCCGACTTGAATAGCCGAGATGGTAAATCAAAATCTTCAAACAGGGACGAATATGTAAATGATTGCAATACGATGAGGCGACGTGCAATATATTGACGGGTCAAGGAATCACTTCCTGACGTAAAATATTATTTAGGTGTCTAAGCAAAATAAGAATACCTACATGTGTATGTAAATTTGCTTCATTGTAAATGTTTTTAATTTATTATACAAGGTGACAATGGAAATACGTATGTAGTTAAGTATGGACAATGATACGTGTTACACGACAAGCCCCTGTGGGTAGGAACAAACGAACATGACACTTTCGTCATGTGCACTATGCAGTGATCGAGCTTATGTACATATGTACCATCCTCTTTGCGTAGGTGTCACCTAATTTGCATACATCTCACTATGTCCATTTTCGGCGATATGGGCTTTCCATCAGTCTGTCTCTCGAGAATGCTTCAAAATATGCAAATGAGGTGACTAGCACAAATAATTTGACTATAGCTATGCATATGCAAAAACGAACTACATATTATTATTATTTATGTACATATTTGTAATCTGCATGCGTAAAACATTTTAATCATAAAAATTAAGCAATTTACGGAGGCGTTGCAGATAATGTGATCGAGTGATACGAAATTATATAATGATGGACAAGTATGTACCAGCGCAACTGACAAGGAAACAAATAAATTTTTGTATTATACAAGAATCATTCCGGATAAGTAAACGAATTCATTTTTAATCGTAAATTACACAACTCCAAAACACCACAGTAAAATGTTTGACATGATTAAATATATTCCAAGTAATCTATTTAGATCATACCCATTACATACATACAAACGCACAAACAAATAAATTTTAGGATATCAAAACTTGATAAACTTCTGACATATTGTCCGACAACCTGGATCGCGATTCAGTATGTTAGTAAAATCCGTGAGTACTGATATGTACATATCTCCGAGTTCTTGAACTATGATACTTAAGGTTCAAATTTATAACTTCAACATACCCGATTAACAAGATCCACCAGAGAAAGTACAATCTTAAGGTTTCACTTTAATCAAGAGATATATTGTATTTTTATGCAAAATGAAAGACAATAATAAGTCCCTCCTTATCTATGAATTTAGTTAGACAATTTAGTAATAAGAATTTCTTATCCTATTTTAATGACGATCAGATAAGTAGGAAAAATATTCCATTAGTAGCTTCACTTTGTCGTTGAAAACCATTTGTCAAACCTGACACAAATTAAAATACGAATTAGCCACATCTGCATATGTCTATCAACCTATTGCACTGGATACTGGATGAGGTTTTGTGAATTCGGCCCCTGAATTGCAAGTGTTATATAATTTGTATGCATTTTCTCCATAACCCAATTGTTGCGCAATTATTATATATGTACATAAACCAGATAATAATTATAAAATATGCGTCCTACTTGACGAATCTATTGCATATCAGCTTATGTAAATTAGGTACATAAATGAACACCTGGAAATATTTTCATCTTATCGAAGCATATAAATAGAGGGGATCTTTGGTCATCTTGAATTACCCAGCAGCAAGCAATCATCCAGTTCGAAAAAGACTCCTCCAGTCAGTAACTCTACTAATCGAAATGATGAAGCTGACCATACTTTTCCTGTCAACGTTACTTGTCGCATCCCAAGCTCGACAATGGAGTCGTTGCGAAATTGCGTAAGAATTGAATCGGCATGGCTTCGCCAATTTGGGGGATTGTAAGATAATTTTTATTATAAATGAAGTCAGGTATGGAAGAAATATAGACACATTTTTGAAGGAAATATGTTTTTTCTTTGAAGGGGTGTGCACTGCCGAAGCTGAAAGTAGTAGAAGGACAGAGGCCCTTGGCGGTCCAAATAGTGATGGAACTTATGATCACGGCATGTTCCAGGTAGTTCTTAAACGCTAGAATTTAAGTGGTTTTTACCACTATGTTCTTGCAGGTTACCACGAAATCCTATAGCTAAAATCCAACTGCAAGACGTTTCAAAATCATGAGCCCAAAATTCACGTTTTAAGGTCCAAATAATTTTAAAATTTTGTCGTATTAAATATTGTTTCCTAATTAAAGGTGAATGACAACTATTGGTGTTCCACCTCCTCCGTGCCTGGAAAGGATTGCAACGTGCGGTGTGACAGTAAGTTTGCACAATAAGTTGTCTGTTCTATAGAACGATATTCATTAATTTATTTCATAGGCCTCCGAGATGACAATTTGACCGACGATGTTGCCTGTATTAGACTTATTTATAATCGACACGGGTTCGATGCCTGGTATGGTTGGCAGGCTAGATGTCGAGGACAAGACGTCAGTCAGTACCTGATTGGATGCGGGGTTTAAAAGGGCTGGCGTGACAGTGAAGACTTTACGATGAGAATATATACATAATTTGTGAAACGAAATTCAAACTAAATTTCAAAATTTACATATCTAGCAATCTATTTCTAATAATGATTGTTGATATAATTAATATGACAAAACGGATTAGACTTAAAATTTTGATATATCGATTTCCACCTAAAGATTGTCTACATGTTAGTGAAACGAATTAATTACGACGTCATCTACCGCACGAATTTTATCACGGCAAATATTCAAATTTGAACACTCTCGCTTCCCTTATTTTCGCAACTAGCCTCAATAGCTCCGAAATATAGCAAATTATCCCTATTAACCCTCCTGCTACATATAATATCAGACACAGTTTTAAATTTTCCATCTCCACTGCGGCAAAGCAGCGTCATACTCTTTTGAGCTTGCCGTATCCATCCCGCTCATTACAAATAGGCTAAAGTAGTTTAAACTCGTCAAGTTATTTGTTTTATCACCTTTCGTTAGAAGAAACATCTTAAAAAAGAGTTCGAAATTTGTGTCCCACTTTGAATAAATCCCGCTCTCGAAGAGCTGTGCTAATCCCCAAGATATCATGTCTGTATACTCATTCCTCTGCAGGAGTACCAGGGTATCGTAATCATCAAAGGATTGTGTGTCTTGGCCTTCTTTTCTTGGATAAAATAATTAGTGAACCTACTAACTAGCAGTTCCATCTTATCAGAATCCCTTTTTCTGCTAATTGTCGCAAATATCTGGGGCAACGTGATCAATCCGGCGTCTGTAAGAACGGGTTTGTTCTGACTTCAAGTAATTACGACGTTGTACACTGGCCATTTGAGAAGCCTGGCTTTCTCACTAAATCTGGCATAAAATAATGTCGTGATGCAGTACGGATGTTTCTTGTACGCGTTATGGAGTGCATTTACGGGCCAAGATGTCTGAATAATTACGAAGCGTGGGTTCAGATTTGCATATGCGACACCATGGAGTAAACTGGGGATATCTGGTATCGCGGATGGGTAGATGAGAAAGACAAGACAGGATTTCGAATTTCGAGCTGAAATCAGAATTTTGTCGGATTTATTGAAAATTCGCTGAAATCTGTGTTGTGTTCCGTTGCCCAGTATGAAGGAGACGTCTCTTAAATTGAGAAGGGTTATGAAATTGAACGTTTCGAAATTTGCTAAAATATTAAAAACGCAGCCATCGAAGATTTTTAGAGGGGCAATGTCGAAGAATTGCTTGCCTGAAGTTAGGGTCAGTATGGGTAAGGTGATGTGAAGATACAAATTTTGCATGGTTTCAAGTTTAAAATTTTACGTGGCGAGTACATTCCTTAGAAATGTGATGAATACCAATGACACGTATTGGCAAGTTCGATACTAATTACCCTTTAAATCTTACTTACCTACTTGTGCCTACTTTACGAGTACTTATGGTCCAATTATTTTCACATTATACACAAATGTATGTACATAATTATTTCGAGAGAAACTTGTTCGTAATTTTTCAAGTTTTAGGTAAGAAAGTAGCCCACATTCATATGAATCATATCGGGGAAAATGGAGAACGTAATGGATAATTTAGAATTCTAGAAGCCATTATTATTTTATTAGCTACATATTTTTTTGTGTATCCGAGCACATACTATTTATTTATGTATGTACAAATAAGTACGTTGTAAAGTATAAACTATAGAAAAACTTGAGAAAGGATGGGTTGAACATAGTAGAAAAAAACTTTAAAAAGTTTTGTTGCGTAGAGTACTTATTAAAAATTTGCTTACCAACAATTACTGCATATATATGTATGTACATACATATGCACATACATACATACATACATATTAATGTATGTATATGCATTATTTTGATGAGAAATGGAGTTTTGGAGACTTTTCATGTTACGGCTATTCTATTTCCTTGGACAGTTATGTATACCAATATTATTATACGAGTAATAAGCCAGGTTAAAACTCTAATGTGTAATTCGAGTCAATTTTATGCAAAGTAAAATATTGTTGCAAGGTACGAATTATTTATTTGGTTTTCAATACTGGAGATTATAATGCAAATGGTCATAAAATAATAGAAATTATATTCATGACAAGCTCGGTAGATACATAAGCAAGAAAATAAAGTTCTCAAAAAAGTTTGAAAATTTATGTGCGAACCTGCACATCTAGATATTTATTTCGCAAAATTATTTTCAAAATTATGTTGCGAATTTGAAGATACGAAATCATAATGAACATGCATGATCATTGTAATCAGATGAAATCATTCAAATCATGAAATTATGCACAGCATAATGATAAAAGATCAATTTGTGCATGGAATTTTAAACTTGACACAGTCAAATTCTAAATCCCCACAACTTTCTCCCAGTGTTCCAGCACTGCGTCCAAAATCCGTTGAAAAACGGAAACATCTGTCCGATCAGCCATCAAGGTGAGGGACCCCACCATCGCCCGCCCCAGGATGTGGCCCTCAGAAATGGCACGAGTTTTTCTCCCGAGCTCAATAAGCTCAATGTACCCATTAATACCCCGCTGTCTAATGTCCTCTACGTCGACCATCCCGTTGTCGACAGCATCCCGCAGCAATTCCCAAATGCAGTTTACCACCTGAGAACATTTGGCGACGATTTCATACCCAAATTTATCTCCGGCCAAGAGAACAATTAAATCTCCCCAAAATCCTTTCATTTCCAAAGCAGAATTTAGATGGATACGCTCCTTAACAAATTCCCGAACCTAAAAAAAATGATCAATTTTTCAAGAAATTTTTCCTAAATCAATCTAAACGTTGTAAAATTACCTCTTTTTCGACAAGATCTCTCCGATCTCGGTGGGCACACCGGTTGAGCAGCCAAGTCCCAATAATCTGACAGTGCTGACACTCACCGAACCCTGAATAATTCGGGATATTGACCAAGTCATAGAGCGGTTTCCAATCGTCGTCATGAAGAGAGGCGACGTTACTGTGAAAAGTGGCCATCCTCCCAGAAGTGAAGGCAGCATGGTTGTACGAATCTGTAAGATTTTTGTACTTTTGGACGGTAAAGTGTCTCATTTCCGCCATTTGAGTTACGCCCATGTAACGATGTTTCAACATGAAGAAAACCAAGATGCCCTGAACCATATCGGATGTCCAGTCATGCGCAACATCTCCGGCACTACAGACGCAGCTGGCGCAATCGTCTATGCAAGTGGCGCATGCTTCAGCGTACCCAATGACGTTGAGTCCGCCATATCTGGAAATTAAGTTTGAAAATTTTAATAGAGACAAATTTTGAAAATCTATTACCTTGCAGCGAGAACAATAGAATTCGTTGTTTCGCCATGATCAATGTCGCTGTTTAGGTCGATGATGTCGTTGGACATGACGAATAAATCGAGCGCCCTTCGCATAGCGGAACAAGTCCGTTCACCCTCCCATTCGTGAGACATTTCGCTATTTTTGGAGATTTCTTGAAATTTTTGGGCGTACATGGGTAATTGTCGGAGGTGTTTTCAATTTATAATTAAGGTTCTTAGCTACTAAGATGATGCGAGGGGGGATGATAAGACGATCGATAAAGAAACAGGGGAGCTCGTTTGTTAATTCGTTGTTTTGGAGGGTGTCGGCTTATAAATAGCCTTCTTTGTACATAGACAATTGAAGGTGGGGTGAGTAGGTCAGGACCAGCCTAGACAAACATCGTCTACTCGATCACTGTTCGAGAGTAGACAGACATTATATAGGAAACTTTTATTTAAAAAAATCGACTATGGTAAATATGTAGTTACATTGTTTATACTTTTATATATTTATAAACCTGTTCTTAGTGATTTATAGCATTTCCCTGATTTTTACAGACTCTGCATTAAGTACATCCAGTATGTAAATTTTGCCAGAGTCGTATTACATTTTTGTGATAAGGTGAATTACCGAGGGGTAAATCCGGCATAATGCGGACAGTGGTGTGATTTTAAATGACGAAATCGTTATGTGGAAATAAATCGTCTGTTGTTTGTGTATAAATAAACATATGTAAACTCTGTGCAGCGCCCTTAATAATGGCGTTGCATACAAAGTTTATTAAGTAGTTTAATTAATAAACTTGGTAAACTTTTTTGGTAATAAATATTCCAGTTGCGCTTTTGGGATTAAGAAAATCTGGTCATATCTACATGCACACAGAAAAATGCAGTAGTAGGGACGAACATCTTTGATTTGCATTTATTAGTGCAAGAATATGCATGTAAATCATGTATATTTTTGGCTACTGTTATACATGCATCTTATCTTATGTACCCTGCATACTGTTAGTGTTAAATGTTAATAAAAAAAAGAAAACGAGTTCTTAAGTAATTTAACGAGCTCATTTGCTGCAATACAAGTTGATCGAATTAATGATCTTGCAGTGTGGAAAAATGCGTGATAAAGTAGACACTTGTCGGAAATTCCAGTTTGGATGTCTGAAATTTTTGCTAACTTTAACCCATTATAATTGGGGACGGATAACCGTATTCTGCATATAGCGGATGCATAATATATACTATTTATATGCATGTATGTAATTCTTGCATATATATCAGAGTGTAGTCGGATCGCTGGTTTTTAAAATCTAATCCAATCCGACTTGGTCGAATCCGAAAATAATCCGACCCTGTCAGATTAGGATTGGATTGGATTAATCCGGTGAAATCGGATATCCTGCTACCCTTTGATATGCATGCATAAAGGCTTGCTATTTAGGATTAGCTGTATGTATTTATGTATGTATGTATAGATCAAATACAACATCGCTAAAGGCAACATAGCTAAAGGGCGAAACCCATCTGTCGCTCTCAGTGCTCGCAACGGGTCGGGTCCCAGGTTGGACCCGACCCGGACCCGGACCCGAATTTAGAAACGGGTCTTCGGACCCGGGTCCCATAACTACTGACCCGGACCCGACGGGTCCGGGTCCGGGTCTTGAAATTTCTAGACCCGGGTCTGGACCCGGACCCGAGACCCGGGTCTTCCGTTCTCATATTACATCTAAGCTTCAAAGTTCCCTGCTTTGATTCCTTTAAGATATGCAGCAGTACTAGATAGTTCTAAAGTGTGCACGAAAACTGAAGGAGGATTGTACTCCATTGCCCCATTTCCGCCCACGACATGCCACATCCCCTCAATAGCATTACATCCGCTAGAACTTCCGCATTTAAACTTTTACCAAAAATTCAATTTTCGCTCCCTTTTAGTAATTTTCCTAATTTTCGTGATTCGTGCATTATTGTTTTATCACATCCAAATTGAACTAATTTTTTATAAAAAAAGTATTTTCTAAAATTTCCTAACCAGGGATATGTTTTCCAAAAAATCAAAATTTCTAAAAGTTGAGCTTGATCTTGGAAATTAAAAAGTAACTATACACTTGCGATCAAGACAGTAAAAAAATCAAGGATTGAAATTAGATTTTTGGTGATGAAACGGTGATAATTTTTTCGCATTTTTTTTGCTCTTGCGTTGGTGTGCTGGCGCAAATTGGGTCATGAAGTAAAATCCTTCTTCGCTTTTCGTACACTCACTTACGAGGACGGGTGACTGAGTAAAGTTACAAAATTAACGATTTTTCAAATCGCTGGCATTTCAACAATTTTGGATGAATTTTTTTCATTTTTCTTGAAAAATGATCTCAATGAGTTGTATTTTCAGATTCATTAAGAATTTTGAATTTTTTCGAAGGTCAAAAAATCGAATGTACTAAGGCCAGAGGTCACAAGGTCAAGGCTCACAGTCCCATAAATGGGGTACCATTGGAAAGGTCTTGATGAGAGGATTCAAAATATATATACTTTGTGGGGTCTGGGACCACCCCCTGATTATTTTGAGGCCAGTGAACATTTTTGAGTTTTGGTTTTGGAGGTATACAGGCGTTAACACAGGAGCAGATTGAGAGCTAACATGGCACTAGATCGAGGAAAACTCAATAATTCTCATCGGTCCCTAAATAATCAAGGGGTGGTCCCAGACCCCACAAAGTATATATATTCTTAATCCTCTCATCAGGACCTTTCCAATGATACCCCATTTATGGGGCTATGTGGGATTTGACCTTGTGACCTTTGCCGTTTGCGCGTGAAATTTTTTTAACTTCAAAACAATTAAAAATTTGAAAATATAACTCATTCAGATCATTTTTAAAAAACAATGAATAAAATCCATCCACAATGGTTGAAATGCCAGCTGTTTAAAAAATAAAAACTAGGAACTAGGTCACAAGAAAATCTTGTGCGTCACACCCACTGGCTCTGCAGACTTGGTTTTGGTCTCAAAATAAGCTTCAGAATATTCTTCTTCTAATCCCGGACATAAAACTTTTTTTTAATTGTTGGAAATGCAAATTATTTTTTTTGAAAACTTTGATACATTATCTCAAACATTTTCAGCAACTTTTTTAAATGTTTATATCCGGTAGTAGACGAAGAACATTCTGGAGCTTTTTTTGAGACCAAAACCAAGTCTGTAGAGCCAGTGGGTGTGGCGCACAAGATTTTCTTGTGAACACGTAGAATAACATGCAACGGTATGGACGGATAGGTGGCGTCGCATATTTCACCTGTGGGCTTAAATGTTAAATGTTAAAGGTTTTAAATTCTTCTATGATTAAACATATTGATTAAACATAGAATTCTGTCTCTCATCACCCCTGATTTGAAGTAGTCATAAGGACCCGGTGTTCGGGTCCGGGTCGGGTCCGGTTCCGGCTCCGGTTCCAACCGTCGGACCCGGACCTGAACCCGACCCGAGACCCGTTTGAATACCATATAAAATCGGTGACCCGGACCCGGCGGGTCCGGGTCCGGGTCTTCTACATTTTTGATCCGGACCCGACCCGGACCCGGACCCGGCAAAAACGGGTCTTGGGACCCGGACCCGTTGCGAGCACTGGTCGCTCTCGACCGTTTTCTATAAGATCTCGTTTTCCCCCAAGATTTTCGAAATTTCATAACCACACTCCATGTACCGACGAGGGTGTGTGCCCTACAACGCCCATCTTCAAACTAATGTAACTTCTTCCCGAAACTTAAAGATTCGTTAGTGACGTTAATGCGTCGAAATTCGAATCTGTCGGAAAGTTGTAAGAGTGAGCACGCATTGTGTAGGTAGTCTTTCAGGTCAACAATATTGTAGGACTGGGGTAGGGTTGGGTTCTGACTGAAGGTCAGACAAGGTACTAATAAAGTTGTGTAGTAGTGTGTAACTGGAGTTAAACTCCAGTTTAGAAAAATTTGCATACTAAAAAAACGTAATAATTCCTAACAAACTCGTCTTGTTGTTACATGTTTTGCAAGAAACAAACCGAGCGAGTGGCTAAAAAGGACTATAGCCTGGCAATGAACGATTTACATAAATTAAATCATTCATCTCCTATGAATACGTACCTATGAACCTTAGTATTAACATAGTGAATTATATTTTTTTAATAGTTGTTTCCATCCTCGTATTATTATTGAAGTAATTTCATCCGCATCTGAGGACAGATATAGTAAATTATACTAAATTATAATTTTATTAAAATTAAATAACGCATTTTGTTTTCATAAAACATTTAAACTCATTAAGTAGTATGCATAACATGTACATAAATATGTAGGTATTTACATAGATCTATGTTTTTGTAGACTGCCTTCTCTTCCCATTTGTTTTAAAACCATGCAAAACATATTTTTAAAAAAATGTATAAGATGTATTCACAGATAATTTGTGATGCATTTAAATACAAAGAAAATTGCATTGTGCAATACAATTTTAAACACGGCAATTTCCGTGATTCGATGGAGTACACAATATTGACGTGAATCTCACCGAGCCTCACAAACCCGGGCCACGATCGATTTGCAAACTGCGTAAAATAAGAGTAAACACAAAATAAATAAAAATTTCATCCTTTGAGTAATCAATTAATTTCAGTTAATTAATTACGTAGAATTAGAAATTATTGATGGTTAAGAACTTCACAACAAAAACTAATTCAAACTCTTGTAATTTTACATATTATTCTAGGTGTAATAACTAATTGAAGAGGTGAATTATTAAATAATTTGCTGATAAAACTACGTTTTGGTTTTAAACACCATTAAATAGGCTCAACATGGTTCGCAATTACATTCGGAAGACGAAACCTCGTTATTCCAGGAAACAGTTGGCAAGTACAATTAAAAAGATAAAGGACAACGAGTTAACATTGAAGAAAGCTTTGAAAACGACAAAAATTAGTCGAGCCACGTTGTACCGGTATCTTAACAGAAGGGTACAAGCTATAAAATATTGAGATAATCAGAATTAATCAGTAATTAATTTAAATGTAATTCATTAAATATTTTCCTTTAGGATTTCGCCGATTACCGGAAACTGCCGTTGGATTCGGAGAAAAGAAAGGAGGCGAGAAGAATGGCCAAATATCGAGAACGACATCCCGACCGGATGAGTGATAGTTCGTCCGATTCAGAAATAACGGGGAGTGAAAATGTGCGTGTTACTTGTGTAAGGAGGAGGCACCCTCCTTACGTGAAATGCCCCACCGTGATATTCGGCTCAATTTTTGATATGTTGTACATCTCGATTTGCTGAACAAAAAATGTATGGGGCCCTAAGTGACCTGGTTCGACCGGAAACAGAGGTCAAAGGTCAGTGCACTTTTTTCGCTCGAAACCCCACAAACAGTATATTTTTGGAAAGCTACGGACGTCACACGTCCAAATATACACCATACTTGGGTCAAAGGTCAACCCTTGACCCTTCGAGGTCAATCCTTGATCTGTGGAGGTCAAATACGTCATTGAGGCAAGGTAAGATTTTTGGGGAAAAGTGGCCAAAGTACATTTCTGATAGGATGACTGCACCCTTGCTGGAAAAGGTCATTATTACATAGTTTGTTAACACTACATAATCAAGATCAATAAACCCAAATGTTACTTTTAACAAACTATGTAATAATGACCTTTTCCAGCAAGGGTGCAGTCATCCTATCAGAAATATACTTGGCCCAAAAATATTACCTTGCCTTAATGACATATTTGAACTTGACTGGTCAAAGGGTTGACCTCTACAGATCAAGGATTGACCTCGAAGGGTCAAGGGTTGACCTTTGACCCAAGTATGGTGTATATTTGGACGTGTGACGTCCGTAGCTTTCCAAAAATATACTGTTTGTGGGGTTTCGAGCGAAAAAAGTGCACTGACCTTTGACCTCTGTTTCCGGTCGAACCAGGTCACTTATAGCTTAGGGACCAATACATTTTTTGTTCAGCACATTGAGATGTACAACATATCAAAAATTGAGCCGAATATCACGGTGGGGCATTTCACGTAAGGAGGGTGCCTCCTCCTTTTTAACAATTAACCAGCAATAATTAATAGTTAACGATAGTGTATTTATCATTTTTGTTCAATAATTTAGATTAGGGTCTAATTTGCAATGCATTTAATTTATTTCAGAGCGAAGATGAAAATGATGATGTTGATGACGATGATGATGAAGCTCCAAGAAAAATCCGCTTCGTACCGTTAAAGGTGACGAAGACGGTGGAGAAGGCGAGGTCAAAATTACGAAAGCGAGAAATCGCCACGGACGACACGGAGGAAAAGGATTGGAAACTTGTTGTGAAAGTGGAACGACTTCCCGATTCGGAAATCGAAGCAAAAAGGAAACGGTCCAGAAAATAAGTATGTATGCAGATATGTCAAGGTTGAAGTTTTGTAGACAGTTTCCAGGAATTTTATTAGTTATTTAGCTCTTTTGAATTTATTTTGAAGTTATGGAATAATCTTGATGTTTTCTATTTATGTGGGAGGCAATAGTTTAGTTTTAGAAAGTTTTGGTGACATATTATTTCACAAAGTGAGACAAAATTGGATTCATTTCCGTATTTGTTATAGATATATGCCTGCATTGCATTGTATATGTATTTAAGCTGCATTCTAAGTAGCTTAATTTTCCTAGTTAAAAATGTTTGATTCTTAAACATTCATAAATACTTCGCAATGTAGCCTAATTTAATGTGCAATGATTATTTTTGTAAGCTTATCCTTGTAAGTCTAAATATTTTCATTATAACGTTTCCTAAAAATATCTATTAATGTAAAGACGAAAAATGCAGGACACGCAATAGGAACAAAAGGTCTATCCATAATTAGCATGGATATACAATATACATATACCTATCTTTATGCACGTATTACATCATTAACTGTTTGGGTTTGATATTTAAAAAGCACCCGTCTGAAAATTAATTCAATTTCACATTCACGGAATGAATTATGTATTTATTTTTGTGCCTAATTTTATGTCACAAAGAAATTATTAAAGTTAAAGTAAAGTTTTCGTAATTATAGAACTCTTGTTTATTCCTTAATTACGTAATCTTGTTCTATTTTATTACTAAACTCAGAAACAAGCATAACTCAAGCATTTCACTAAATCGCCTTATTTACAATCTTGCGAATCCGGGTTGGAGATTAGCATAACGTGCGTAATGGTTACTCCCACGGTATCAGCTTTTTCAACAAGACAGGGCGAAACACTAGGTCCGATGACCATCTGTAATAAATCCATATTTACTTTAGAAATGAGCTCCAAGGTCAAATGCATATTTTTAAATCCTATGTACCTTAAACACGGCACCCTTGTGATGTTCGTATCTTGGTGAGTTGAAATTTCCTACAGCCATCCACCCAAATCCGACCAATTTGTTGTCCTTGCCATACAAAAGATAAACCGGGTGCATCTTGTCGCATTTGGTGTCTTGGAACTTTTCCTGCTGATACCAGTCGTGGAATCCCATGCCAGGAAAGCAGGCAGAGTTACTCCATCCAGCCGAAATGGCGACGGACCTTTCTAGAGGGGCTTTAATTGTGCGGGAAGGGTTTGGTCCATGCTGAAAGGAAACGGTTGTCGCAGTCCCGTCGGAATTCAGGTCGGTCATGTAGCGTCCTTTGGTGCAGATGATGGCTAAATTAGGGGATAAGGTGAGATTTACATAAGTATTGATAAAGTTTAGGGTTTGGGATATCCGGATTTTAATGTGGCTTGTCATTCATTGTCTTTTCAGACTGATAAAAAAAATCATGAGAAAAAAATCTAACAAAGTTTCAAGCAGCATTTCACCATGTAATTTACCTGGATCCACAAAGTAAGACGTCAACGTGTACACATTTTTTCCATCAATCGTGTTTCTCATGAACATGGGGATCTCATCAAATTTGTACGTGTTAGTTGGATCAGCTTTGGCTTCACTGGCTAAAAACTGAGTAAATATTCAATAAAAATGCATTATGTCTTAAAATTACGTATGTAAATAAATTCTGGTCTCACATTTGCCTGAATTCCTGCAATCACGCCGTTCACATCGTACAAAGGAACGATGGAGGATTCGGTAAAGGATGCGTTGGGTTTGTGGATGTAACGAAATCCGTTAAATTTTCCACCATTGTTGCAATTCGTACTTGCCAGCGTCCAACCTTGGGAAAGGGCTTCCTTCGTTGTGCGGGGGACTGGGGCGTAATGTGGGAATGTGGCTAAAATTTGGAAACAAAAAAGTTTTTTACGCTAGTTAATTAAATATTTAGTTGCATAAATTAACAAACTTCGCAATCCGTCCCAGAAGCGTCCAGGGGCCAAGGAGGTCACATTCGTGATAGAAATGCAAACCAGGAGCGAATAAATAAATGTATATCTTAGCAAATGAAGAGATGCCATCTTAGAGGGTAGAATCTCGTGGGACGATAAATCGCAAACGTAAAATGATATTTTCTGCATCAAATGTTGGACGCTTAATATACTAAATTTTGATGCAAAAATTCAAATTTTTCAGTCTGGCAAATTAAAATTTAGGTAGTTAAAAATATTCGACATGGTTTCCAACAATAGATTGGACATCCGTTTCAAATACCTACGCGATTTTAATTATAATCTATGAATGTAATTGATTAAATGTGTTACGCACAAAGTCAAAAAGAGGGGTCTAAAATTACAAGCGGTGAGCTATTAAGCGAGTTATGTAAGCATGTTCGTGTCGCCGACACCTATAATTATCAAAGTATAAAACGTAAAATTTTAATTCGGAATTAAGTAAAGAAAAGTAAAATAATTGCAGTTGTAATTAAGGCTTTTAAACGATTCATGCCAAGGTCTCTGCACTTGGGGGTTGCTTTGGAGATGAATTCGAATCTATCAGTCTTACGCCGCACAATGCGTTGTGGTCTCGAGCCTGTGTATTCATGTAAACCGTGGTACGCTCAGGTTCATACAAAATTTACCACCATTTACATAAGTACACAGATCATAGTGGTATTTACATAAATAGGTATATATGTGGGTTGAAGTGCTTGGCGCACGTGTTGTGGATTAAGGCAAATTATTTGAAGTGTAATTATCCGAAATGTTTAATATTTAGGATAAAAATCTACATACTTAAGCCCTGACCATGAAAATTCAACTAGAGTTGTGGGGGTGTTTAGCGTTTTATCCACCTATGGACACACATACATGCGTTGATTATATGTAAATTTGCTGCTATGATTTTCATGATGATACTGCAAATATTTATTAATAGAAAACAATTTATAAAAGGTTTTATATTATATATGCATTAAACAAAAGGATATGCAAATATGTAAACGAATATAAATGAACGTCCATACTTACGGATACGTCAACCAACTATGGCATATATCGCATGTATTTAAATTGAGCATGTCAGCATAAATATCTTGCGAAATTTCACAAAACTCTTGCTGGAAAATCATAGAATTTTTTCGTTTATGCTGTGGGAATTTATTCGGTAAATGTTCTTTGGAAATTGTAAGTAATCCGCAGAAGCCACATTAAAATAGGACAACAGAATTCCATGTACAGATTAGCGAAATCATATTTTGCGATTGTGAAGCTTCGCATCGCAAGTTTGCTAAGTTAATTGCGATGTTTAATAAGACGTCCTGAGTATGTATGTATTTATTAAGTATGTACTTATACATAAATAAGCCAATGAATTCTTAAATTTTTTCAATCGTATTAGTTTTGTCAAACATATATACATATGTACACATTTATCAAGGTCAGAGTTCATTGATAGATCACGCCGCCGTGACAATAATGATCGTAATCAAGATAATTGTTGTCCGATTGTGTGATAAGATATTGATAAGTTATATAAACTCCGTACAATTAAAGATATTATTGTAAATACCTACTTAAAACTCTCCTCTTAAATTTAATTGCTTCATTTAAGTACTACTTAACACAAAAATGCGACGGCAATAACTTCATACAATAGTAATTTTTCATTGTTATACAAATCTGGCAAATTATAAAATTATTTACTTAATTTACACTACAGATCTGAGAAAAAGTTGTTATCACGCTAGTGAAATTTAAAAATGTTACGTTTCTGTACAATTCATCCTCACCTAATTTTAATATTTGCTACAATAATACCTCACAGCAATTCAACAACTTTGGATCGTCAGAGTTCGATAAGTTTTTCAAATCGGGAACAGCTCGACCCTTCTGAGCGGGTGTGGTTAGGGTGGGAATATGTCGCTACAAAGGCTACCATAATATTTGAGCTGGAAGTGTTCAGCAATGGGTTCGTTGGGCTGGGAATTTCGCCCGATGGTGGGATGACAGGTGCGGATATTTTCCTCGCCGGAGTGTATCCCGATGGGCGAATTTATTCTTCGGTAAGAATTAAGTTAGAATATAACCATTTATGTATGCAGATCACAATTTTATGACATGTGCATAAACATAAAAGGACCGCTTCGGAGTGGGACACACCGTACCGAGGAACGATTCCAGGCAGGATTGGGTTTTAATTGACGCCCAGGAATCCGCTGGAAGGACATTTGTCAAGTTTTCGAGACTGCTTGACACTGGGGATGACGAGGAGGATGTGTCGATTGGGGTGATTTAGAAATTAATTGGAGGATAAGATGATGCACATAAATCCAGTGATCGCGGAAGCGTGGCGACGGAGCGGTAATTAAATGCACCCATGGTTGTTTAATAATCGAATCTTGTTGTCACACTTTCTACCCATGGTACATAAACCCATGTTAATCCCCAGATGTCCCCATGGCTTCCGCGCCCACTGTGTATGTAGTATTGTACTTATACTGATACTCTGTACGTATGTATTTGTACTCTGCCTGGCAGGTGGGTCCTGTTCACGTCCTGTATGCATATGCATATACGGATGATCTGCAATATCATGGACGAGCTCAGAGAGGTTCCAAAGTGATTGTATTTATTGAAGATGGAACAACTACGACTGAAGCGACAACGACGTCAACTTCAACGCCAACTACGCCGGTAGTATCAACTTCATCTACGGTAACAACAACTTCGACTACAGTGACGACAACTACAAAGAGCACGACGGATGAAACTAGCACTCAGGCAGCAACTACTCCAACAACCACACCCACACCCACCCCCACGACTCAAGAGAGTACTATTATAACCACAGAATTTAGCCACACCACGACCCACCACCCGACCACAACCATGCAACTAACGACTCATTATCCGACGACTGAAACCACTGCTTCTTCCAAATCAGGTGGATACGTGATATGGGTGGTGATTGGTGTCTTTGGTGTGTTACTGGTTTTCTTGGCAATTGGCGTTGCATACGGTCTCATTTCTCGGAGAAAGTTTATAAAAGGTGATAATAAAGTCGTGTAACGATCAATTTGGCCAACTATGTATTTGCGTATTTATTCAGTTTAAACCCATAACTGACATTTCTAATCAACTGGGGAAGCAGATTAGAATTGCCGTACATCATTTGTTACCAAAGCACGAGAATGCACATTTCTGACCACACCTCACATAAATGTATACAATCATTGTAGGTCGAAATGATAATGATTTCTTAAATCCTCGCCATAAATGACGCCTAAAACTATCAAAATTAAAATTTTCACTCCGTACATAACTCCACCCCGTCTAAATTGAAGTCTAAAAACGTTGTTCTTATTCCCAAAAATTGTAAAAAAAATTCTGACGCAGTTTAGAATCGAAAGTTAGAATAAATTGCTTTATCAAAACATTCATTTCTTCCGACAACGTATCTTTAAAAACCTTGTAAAAAACAAATCAGAATTGTTTTGTGACGAATTATGCCTTCCCGACCCTAATTACGACACTTTTCTGCGTATCCAACGCACTTCCGGGTTCTTACTGCTTTTAGTATTAATTATTATGATGGTGAAATAGCTCAACAAAGCTGTTGGGGATGTTGGCTCCCAACGAGCAATTGTGTGAAAGTTAGTGTTTCGAAATTTGTGGATGGTTTGTGAAGGTAGAAACTGAACGGCAGAGTTTCTGTGCGGATAGCGAGACTGCACAGAAGTGTGTATGAATGGAGTTTCTGTGCGGATGGCGAGATTGCACAGAAGTGTGTATTTGACAACTCCCAAGATATCTTAAAATGAGTTCGACGCAACGACACTTTTACAATTACTAAACTCCTTATTTATTCCCACTCAAACCCCCAATTAACGTGACGAAGTGCTTTGGAGGAGACAAGATCTGACGAGCCCTGCTTTGACTACTGAGAATAATGACTTGATAAGTTTGACCAGAACTACTACTAGAAATCTTGCCTCAGCTGAGAAAAGTAAACAAACCTGCCCTTTTCTGATATAATTTCCAAAAGGACGAGAAAAACCCCCCCCACTCTAATATACTACCTATCTGTATTGAGGGTGGACAACCAACCAACAACACACAACCAAGATCGGACAGCCAAATCTTGTACTGCTACGACTTACGTTACTACTGGATGACTCCTTCTGCTGCTGCTGCTGACCGCTGCTTCACCTTGGCAACCTCGAGCTGGACGCAACGCACTACTCGCAGCGAATTCCCAACTCCTGGCTACTCTTTTGTAACACCCCGAGCCTAACTAATTACAACTTTACACATAAAATTACTAGCTATCCTATTAATTAACCATACAATCTTTTTAGTACACTTTGCTATTACTATTTACTCACTAATTATGCATTAACATCCTTCAAAATGTAACTTGAAAGCACACACGGAGGCGTCAACTTATATACATATATCACAGTTTCTTACCTAGGTATTTATTCCGATTAAAATATTTGTTTTATATTAAAATCATCAACTTAGTACAGAGCCTGACCAGACAAGTTTTTTCACATAGCATAGACCGAACGAGCAATTGCTATTTTTTTAGGGTCATGCATGCAATCTTTATGAAAAATTGAAAGTATTTTATAAAATCACTTAAGGGGAGAGAAAACTGGTAGTTTTTTTTGGTACCTTTCAAAAGAAATTTTACCACAAAAATTAATCGTAATATGATCGAAAATATAGAAATACCAAGGGAGAAATAAATAATATTATAAAACTTGAATTAATAATTACACACAATTACATATTCACAATTAGTTATCGGTGAAGAATTCGATCCCAAATTTTTTCAACTTCTCCGGAATAGTTGGATGGGCATAATCCAAAGTGCCGGCATAAAGAAGGCAATGCTTCCTTAGTTCGTCCACCCATTTTGTCAGTACTGCCTTTTCTTTGTTCAATTCCATACAACAAACCAAAATGCTTGCGACAAGAGCAGGATGCTGATGACTGGGGGCGACGTTCTCGAGGACGGCGTAAGCTTTCTCCAAGATGGGCAGACACACCGAATGATGACCTTGGTCCAACAACTCGACAGCGACAAGTGAATGAATTCGAGAATCCACCAAAGCCAAATTCAGGTCGGGCGATGCCGAATGAAGACTTTCGAGTTCGGCGATTGCTACTGCTACAAAGTCCTCAGCGACCACTTGGGAATGGCCTGGGTAGGAAGTCGGGATGCCGAAAGATACCAGATCATTGAGGATTTCCTCTCTCCTCATAATCACATCAGGGCTTTCAGATCTTTCCAGTTCGCATAGGCGACATTTGCAGATAACATCTGCCAAAAATATGAAAATTGAAAGTCTTTACATGACAACATTCGAGGAAACATGTTTTGAATATTTTCGAGAAAATACATAATTACTAATATTGAAGAAACAAAAGTTCAAAGTAAAGGTAAAGGAATTTTGTGTGGTGAAATTATGTTAATAATTACAAATTCATTTTTTTGTACTAGAATGTGTTAACAAGTTTTTGTCTTAAATTTCATTTAGATAATAATAAGATTACCAAGAACTTACCAAGACTTTCCAGACAATTTTTTCTAGCCAACGGCTCCAATGGGTTAAGATAGCTCGTAAGAATTTCTTCTCCTTTTTTCACCTTTTTGAAAGTAGTGATCATCATGACAAGACTGGAATAATGATGATGATACATAACGTTGGCATCAATGCAGCTGTGCATTATTTTCGACAAGGGGATCCACAAACCGCAAGAAATGAAAGTTTCTAAATTCTCCTCAAAGTAGTGTCCGCTGAAGTTTATGTTACAAATATTTCGGATTCGAGCAATGTCCACCTTTTTTAAGGGGTCCTCCTCATTATCCGTTAAAGATTTGAGGTCAGGTCCAGCCCAGAGGGTGTATAGGTCACGGCCAAGATCGGGATCCAGACGGATCTTGTTTGCCATAACGCCGACAAAATACTGGTGGGGGGTACTGGTTAATGAAAATGTTATCCTCTCCCGTGACTCAACAAACACCCCGGCGAAGGGTTTACCAACAAAGAGAATGGTTCCAGATTCGAGATCTTGCGTGGCAAAGACTCCTCCCTCGCCAATGCTACTCTTCCTGAATTCAATTGGTCCCCAAAATTCGGAGATGTGGTCAACCATCCCGGCCGGTAAATCTGGTTTAGGCTGTTTTAGTGTTGCCACGAGCCCATGGATGGGAAAAATCCTATCCCTTCAATGGGCTTGTGGCAACACTATCTAGGCTGTTTATATGTCGGCCGCCGAGGGTTACGAAGAGCACGGATAACATCTTTTCCCGGTGGTTTTCCCAGTTCAGCGACTATTGATCTACATAATTATAAATTAGGTTACGTTCTCACAACCATTAGAGAAATATTTAAATTTATAATTTTTCGTATTTTTTTTCCTTCAAACGGCACCTCAATTTGAGAATATCATTATTCTCTTCTCCTCCGAGCTGATTGATCTTTTCGTCCAGAAATTCGCCACATTCAGGATACCGTCCAAGTCCAATGAGAGCTTTGGCGTGGCGGTAGATCGCCTTGACATGAGCATTGTTGATCTCAAGGACTTTTCCAGTGCAAATTAGAGCTGGATTAAAACACTCTAGTTTGATCAAAGCGGCCGCCTTGTTGGACAAGATGTCCACCAAGAGTGTGGACATTGCTGGAGTCGTCTCCTCGTTCTCCTCCAAAGGTAAGTATTCAAGAGCAAGGTCGTAAAATCGGATCGCGTCGGTTGTCCTATTCTCGACGAAAGCCTTGTTTCCCACATTCTTCAATTTTGTAGCAATCTCAAGGTCGCTTTGATCCGGAGAAAATTCCCAGACGAGTGGAGAGTTGAACAGGGCTCGAGATTCCTGGGGCAGATCTGACTTCCAGTGAACACCTGGACAAAAAGCGGATTAATTATTGTTAAGTTATCCAAACCTGAATAAATCATTTCCAAGTCCAAATATTACCTGGAAATAGTGCTTCCATTTTCTTTGGACTTAGAATCTCCACATCGGCCGGATTCTCAACAATCAGTCCGAAGATAGGCAGTAGGATTGTAGGCTTTTTAAACACGGGATTCTTTACAATCAACACCGTCCCCAAGGGGAGGACCGTCTCGAAATCAGACTTGCCCATATGAGCGTTCAGAGAGTAATTGAATAAGCCAAGTCGCATGGCTTTCTCTCCTTTGACATCCTCCACACCAGCGTCCACCCCGACCATCTTGCTCGACGGGGTTATCGTTCGACACAGTAAAAACTTCCCCTTCAACACCTTCATTAAAATAAAAACAAAATAAAAATTAAATTATGACGTGCATTACTTTTGACTAATTCACCCCGCAATTATTTATTACCTGTCCCGCATTCTTCACCAGTGTGTCGATACAGACACAATTTTCCATTTTCAGTTCCACCTCCATGCTCTCGTCGTAGGTGGAGTGGATCGTTGGATATGGTAAGACCATAAAGTCATTTATTTCCAAATGTTCAAGGACTATTTTAACGTCAAGGCAGTCCCGGTGGATGCAATTCATGACGGAAATCACGTTCTCTCTTGACGTTGAGTAGGAGATAGATTCGTCTTCGGTGAATTTAAAAATGTCCTGGGCGATGACCTTCGTCGGTTGGATTTTTTTAGGACCCATATCCTGAATCTTACTAGTCGTGGTCTTATTTTCTGCAGTGGGAGTATATTTATCAACTTGGAAGTGTTTTCTATTTTTTTTTTTTGTTCTATGCACTGTGTTTATTTATTGTATTGAGTTTAAAATTCCTTCGTTCATTAATTCTTCGTGCCCCACACTCGGCTTGAAAGAAAAGTTCATGAATTAAGAAATTAAATTCCTTTATTTCGCTCTATTTTTTATGTTAATATTTAATCTGAAATGTGCAGCTTTGCGTACAATCGTACCGAATTAAGTAGTCAGATATGGGCTCTCTAAAGAGAGTCAGAACAAACTGAATACTGAACCCTTGAGCATATTTACTTAAAAAACTGCATAAATACGTGGGTGAATTTTTTAGCAGGTTGCCAAGTTACTTTTGCCTCACTCAAGGAAAACAAAGTATTTTAGGGAACCATTTTTATCCACGATTACTTGACATTTAGTATCTAGGTAACGTTAGTCTCCCTTAACGGTTGCGACAAATGGCTGAGTTATAAATAAAATAATTAATTTTAAAAATAGTTGTTTCTTCTCGATGGTCGAAAAAAACAACTCTTTGACCTTTAATAACTTTTGAATGGGAAGACAGAGATTTGATTCCGAAAGTTGAAATCATCGTAATTTTTAGCTTGATTTTTTAAGCTGAAAATCTCGAGGGTACTATTTCGAATAATAAACTTGAAATCTAAAGTGGGCAGCCTTTATGAGCCCGAGTCAGACTCTGTGGTTGTCGTTCAAACCCACCATTTGACTGATCTGTATGACAGATCTGTATGGATTAAGCCCTATGGTCTCACCCGTAGGGCTTAATCTCTAAATTTCAACTTACTACGACAAATTTGGGACTTTTCTATGACATTTAATATTTTTTCTGTCAACCCTAACCACTTAAAAGATCCCCACCGACCCAACCGATCATGTCTATCTTCGAACATATCCTTACTTTTGACCCGAAAATGAACTTGGCAAAATTTCAGGTCGCTACCTTGTGTTTAAAGGGAGGTATCGTGCGCACAGACATCTTGACAAATCTATAAGCCCATCTGAATAGGCCTAAAAATTAGGTTTCCCATTGTAATAATATTAACCACCCACACTGACTTTGATAGTATACATACTACCATCCATGACATATTTTCAACAGCTTTTATTTTTTGAAACCTACAGCGCGCTGTAGGTTTCAAAAAATAAAAAATGCTAAAAAATAAAAATGCTAAATGAAGTCTGCGCTGCAGCGCAGACTTCATTTAGCACGAGTCAGGGATTCTGTCCCTGGCTCGGTGAGTCCGGGCTCACTTCTATTTTTTTGGAAACCGACATTAATAATATTACCAACCTCCGTGGTGCGGATAGTTAAATGTTTATTAGATATTCTCTATTATTTGGCATTTTAACTTCATATTCTTTCATGAGTAGCTATTAAGTATCACGGTGCCGGATTTCATATTTTTAAAGCAATTTCTAAAAATCGGTGTGGGTCACCCCATAGGGTCTATCAAGATGAAAATTTTTCCAACTTGAAATCATTTTTATCTATTGGAAGTCATTAGCTACCTCTGTACCAAATTTCAGCTTTCTACGACAATTTCGAAATTTTATTCCAACTACTCACATGACCCCCACCGGTCCACAACTTGACCGATTTCGCCCATCTTCGAACCCGTTTCCTAACTTTGTCCAATATGTACACGGTAAAAATTTCAAGTCAATCGGTTCAGCCATTTTTACTAACGTGTTTACGGACGGACATGACGGTTCCATAAGCCCTGATTCGGGCTAATAAAAATGAAAATTTATTTTGTAACTCGGCCATTTGTCGTAACCTTATAGACTGATAAAGTGTCAAATAATCTTGATTTTTATCTTTATTATTTTACCCTCGACGTGACCAAAGGTAAGCAAGCTCGCTCGCTCCATTATCGATAAGCCAAAACATAACTCTTCTGTTTTTGATCTCGCGTTGGATGAATATTTCTCAAACTTTTAATTCAATTCCGTAAAATTGTTTCCACTGACCGAAATAACCAATGGACAAATCAGCCCTACCTGCTGATGGTGTGCTTGAGTTCAAACGAGCAAATCATTGTAATCTGCGCTCGGTTATCCTGCCTTATCGGGACCGTGAAAAGGTAAGTTTTTTATTTAGTTTTGCCACATGCTATTGAATGTCACATGTTGCAAATTAATTAACAATGTGTTATTGTACACAGTACACAATCGGCGATAAGTTCACCTCGTGGGAGGCACAAGGCCAATTCATCTTTCTAGATACGTGGGGCCATCCTAACTGGAACTTCCTTCCCACTTCGCTCGTGGAGATCTCGTGCGAGTTTGACCATTTCTGGGTCAAACCTCTCGAGGTGAGCGACCCTTTGCTCATTTATTACTCATTATATATTATTATATCAGAGGATCCAAATTATTACTGATTAAAAAATTTGAATCTTTAGGGAAACTTGGTTTTAAAAAATGGAGTAAATCTTGATGACAAGGTTAGGACACGGCTGAACTTTGGCGATGAACTGGCCTTCACCAAACACCGTAAGGCGCTGTTCGTAAACTTCGTAACGCTGGCTAACCATGGGAAGATAGGGAAAAATCTCTATCTTCCTATGGTTAGCCAGCGTTACGAAGTTTACGAACAGCGCCTAACAACGTTGACCACGACCTTGCTATATGCACTTTTAAAGTACATATCCATAACCATAAAATAATACAATGAATGAGTAGTGTGATAACTAGTTTTGTGCTTACTTTAGCAACGGGAGTACGTTAGTAATTGGGACAAATGCGATAAGGCTTCGATTCAGGGTGTGCCAGAGGATGTGGCTAACTTGGATTTAGATTTCACACCAGATCGCAATCAATTGGTATGCATTTTTAAAACTGTGGAATGTTTTCTATTTCTATATTATGCATTTGACATTAAAAATTCCACTACACTTCTAGGTATTCTCTCACATTCTATCCTATCTCCCCCTCGGAACCCTGAAAAACGCTCGACTGGTTTGTAAACACTGGGACGAACAAGTGTTTCCAATCTTGCGAATGAAATCCGCCATTGGTTTCGAAACTCGATTCCATCGTGATGATGTGACCACTCCATCCCACCAGTTATTCCAATACGTCCATGAAATGAGGAATGTCGCACCATGGCCAAATTGGAAGATTTGGTATCCACTATTACCAACCGGAAATGAATGGAACGACGTCGAGAGGAAATGGACCGTAAAATACATCGAGGACTTGGACTGGTTTCTTCATCCCAGTAGAGGACACAATGTCAAGAGTTTATCGTTGTCGTCTGTATTCGTTATTTCCGAGCGGGGTTACTGGATATTTCTCAAATCCGTTACTCAGTTGAAGGACACCTTGGAAGAATTGCATCTCGACTTGGATAATATACGAATCTTGGATCAGGATGGCAACGAGATTAAATATGACTTGGATCCTATTAGTTTCAAAATGCTGAAGAAATTTTCACTAAACCTCACGTCCCGTGAATCTGCCCGTGGATTGGATAATAAACAATTGACTGCCCCCTGGATAAAATATTGGGCGGATGCGATTAAACGTGTGGAGTCCATCTATTCGCGCGGTTGTGATTTTCTGGGGTCACGATTTGCACAGGAGTTACAAATCAATGGGAAGTGTTATCAAAATTTGAAGGATATTCAGTTAACATGCAAGCCATCGGTTGCAATCAATTTTCTCACCGAGTTGGCCCAAACCGTGACGAATTTGACGCTCACCATGCCAATGAATCACAATGAATTTCATTTCGTTACACCCCCAAAGTTCCCAAAGTGAATTTTGATTTGGTTACGCCCCCAATGTTTCCAAAAATGAATTTTTACTTGGTTACACCCCCAAAGTTCCCAAGAATGAATTTTGATTTGGTTCACGCTCACCATTCCTCTGGAAATACGAGACCTGAGAGACTTTGAAAATTTGATCAATAAATTCGCCCCATCTTTGGAATTACTGTCTTTTATAATCTCCACTAAAGGCCTTGAAGAAAAGTCTCGCTTCGTCCTCAATCTTCCATGTCTCCCGAGGCTGAAAAAGTTGGATATTTATTTTGGTTTCTTTCAATACATCCGCAGTTCCGAAATCCGTGCACGTGAGGGTCATACAATCAAAGATGTGGCCCGATTCCGGCTCTCTCGTTTTGGTGGCGATGACCTCAGTATCGACTATGAACGTCACCTTCCCTCGATCCGTAGCATCGTCGTGAAACCAAAATTTGACGTCAGTCCGGCTGAATTTTGGGACACGTATAGCGACCTGTTTGACAGTCTCCTACCCAAAGAAGAAGGACAGAGTTGCCAGACTCTGCAACGCTTGAAAATTCCCACCTGGGATGGCAAGATTGGGGAAGGATATCTTCAAGCTGGCCGACTGCCGAAAGTCTTTCCAAGTGTTCGGAACGAATGGATGCACGATTTACGAGAGATGATTAACGAATGAAGAACTTGATACAAAGTAGATAAATGCACATTCATGAGTTAATATGTACCAGTGTAGAATTGAAGATCATGAATTGTTAAATTGGGTATGAATCCTTTGAAAATTTTTTTTGATTAGCGATAAAAAAATCGGGGAACGATCATGACCCGAACTAAACTTATAAAATTTAAATGTACCACAAGCTCACATTAAAAAAAATAAAAAGATTGTTTCTCATAATTCGAGTTGAAGGCAAAAAGGTTGATTTTTACCTGTCGACAGTCAATATTCGGCGAGTTCAGAACGTTCACGTAACCTTGCACACATTTACAATAACTCAGGACCTCTTCTCGGATACAGTCGGTGAACCCCTTGTAAGCCCAACACTGTTCCTCATGGGTGCAGAGAATGTTATCATGCTTTTTTAAATTAAGAAGTTATTTTTTTAATGCGAGGGTATGATGCATACCTCACATGCATCCTATGCAACAAATTCATATATAAACTTATATATAAACTTTGCTCAAAACGGAGGCATTTTCAGGGCCCGTGAGAGGGGCGGGCAAGCCGGGCGCTTGCCCGGGGCGCTGAGGCGCCAAGGGGCGCCGAAGGGCGCCAGCAATTATATGATATGGTGCTTAGTAATTTATTAGCAATTTATAAGCGCAGCAAATAAATTTTTGGACCTGACTGTTGTAAAATTCATCTTTTGAATATTCTCTACAGCAATGAGTGATATTTTTCAGTTGCCATTGAGTAAGCCATAACTGGTTTTTGTGGCTTAGATTTATGTGGTTCTTGTTATCAAATCTCTGAGTACATACCTCCATAGCTTATTCCGGATTTTGCATACATGAAAAATGTACACAAATCCCATGGGATTTTTGTACCTTTTGAGGCAAATTGAAATAAACTTCTTTAAACTATTACTTTAATATTAACCAGTGATAATTAAATGTTCGGACTCAGCACGGAATTTTGAACATTTTCGTGCGTGACTTTTTGATACCATTACAAACATGTTCTCAAATTCTAGATTCTTGAATAAATTAAGTTTATTAGCCCAGGAGTAGTGGGTTTTAGAAAAACCCCGGTTCTTTTCGAAATTTGCCTTTGAGTTTAATATAGAAATACGCTCGACACCTTTCTGCGAAAGCACGTGTGCGAAAATTCAAATTCTTTTTCCCACTCACAATGCGAATTTTAATAATGTAAAATTAAGATTTACATTGGATGAATTTTATTTTATCGAGGTGCGAATTTTAAAAGGTTTTCCAGTCAAAACCTCGGGGCTTTCAAAAATTTTGAACTTTTCGAATTTTTCTGCGTGTTAAAAAGTTCGAAAACATGTTTCTGTAGAAGGAAATGAATTTTTTGATTAATGAAAATCCAACTTTATGGAAATCTTAAATTAAAGATTTTTTTTGTAAGTTTATGAGATCACTCAAAGCAAACTCTGGTGAACTCTTAAATTTCCAAAAAATATTGCGGACGAATTTCCAATACCAGAGTCAAGTAACCAATGAACATTTTTCGAAATTTTCAAGTTGGAAACGTTGCAAAATTTAAGAAGCCACATGTGTTGGCCAGGAAGCAATTTAAACTGAAAGTATATATCTCAGATTAGCGAAATCTGGTAGGCAAAAAATGGCAATGCTTATTTTTCTGGTGAAAAAAGTAAAATTGGTCCCGTGTGCATCTGAATTTTAAATGTAAAAGACCTACATTTTGATTCCTCTAGCTGTGCTCATTAATAAATCGAATTATTAGTTCTTGGACGATTCTAAAACAACAGCTTTTTACGCATAGGAAAAAGTATTTGCATAAAATATAAGAACCATGTGAGAAAAATATGACAAAAAATATGAGAAAAATTAGGGGCGCTCAAATATATTTTGCGCTGGTAAATATTTGGGGTCGCACGGGCACTGGGCATTTTGAGACCTTCTCGACTTTTATACTTTTCTCTTGCTATTAATTAAATATGTTCATAACAAGCACTTCTGATAATTTATCCCTGAAGTAAAAAAATCTAATAATCTCCTCCACCCAATCAAACTAAATAAATTATTTATTTTGAAACATTGATAAATTCTCGCAAATTTTCACTTCGGTGAAAATACATATGTACATACGCTTACATAAGTAAATACATACGCTATATACAATGTGAATTAATTAATTTCACATCTATGTAAAACTTCAAGTTTGATTTGAAACTGAATTCTAAGCCGGAGAATATTATTGACGACCAGGTAATTCGTGCCAAAAAACTCGTCTCAAAATTTGAGACTCCAACTTAGGCTGTCAGCTTTGTCCCACGCTAAAAAATTAACGTCCAGAAAGAATATTATAGGATCCCTTGACTGAACGAACTGAAAGAACTGAATTAGTGTCTTCTTGCCAATTTTAAAGTGTCACAATTGTAAAAGAATATTTTTACAACTTAAATTTATAAAGTATCCGACATTTTTATTCATTTCTGATTATTGATTTTTTTTAATTCTCATTCAAGTTTATTTTAACGATATGATTTTCACAACAGTCAAAGCCTCCTCAGCGGTAGGTCTTTCTTCCGGCTTGCGGTTCAGCATGGTCCTCAAGAGGTCATAAATTCGTGGCTGTGTGATCAGAAAGCCTTGTAAGATGCGACTGCAGCCATGCCTAACGTCGTCCAATCCCATCTTCAACTCCTCATTGCTGCAGAACGGGTGCAACATGACGAGAACGATAAGCCCCAAGGAAAAAATGTCCGTTTTGAAAGTGTAATCTCTATCGCCTCGTTCGATCTCCGGGCTGGTGAAATAAACTCCCCCAACGTGTCCGCTAAGGGCCGAGTCGTCAGTTGGAATTTCTCTGGACAATCCGAAATCAGCAATTTTGACAATAATTTCATCCCCACGAACGTTGAGTAGGATGTTGTTGGGGTTTAGGTCGCGATGAATTATACCCTCCGCGTGAATTGTAGCCAAACTGGCTAACATTGGCTTCGTGATTTTCACGGTGGTTTCAAAATTTCCAATTTTATCGAGATTTTGGTTATACCATGCGGCAAGGTTGATGTCCTTGTCCATTAGTTCCATTCTGATACACATGTAGGTATTTACCTCTTCCTCGGAAACGGAGGTTGGTAGTCTCTGAAAGTGTTACATTAATTTGTGAATGCTGAATAATGATAATAAATATAAATGTGACAGAACAATTGTCGCTGGGTTCTTGACGTTTGCAATAAATCAAATCGCCCGTATGCAGTAACTTTCCAAGACTTACTTCGTTGGGAGTTGGGGGTGACTTATTCGCTATAAAAAATATATTACCTTAATAAAATGCTATATATATATATATGTAAGTACATATATTAAATGTACTATTAGCAGGGAATTAATAAGCCTTATTAATTTTAGGACTGATATTACGACTCCCAAAAATTACTAGTGAAAAATAAACAATAAATCGAATTTACAAACAATTTTATCCTTAGTTAGTTAATTGAGCTGAATAAATAGCGAGTTCTAATTAATTGTATTTAAGTATAATTGAAAAATAATGCAAATTGCCTTACATTTCAATAGTTTTAACCATTCGGAATTAAACTTTTTTTTCAAAGGGCCTTCAAACCAGGCCTCGTGACAAGCGACAATGTTTTCGTGTTGATACAATTTTTCCATGATGACGACTTCTCTGACAAGTTTATAGAAGGCGTCCTCAGCACCTGAAGTTTTGGTGAGGAGGAGAAATCGACCCACACAAATCCGTTTGACTGCATATTCCTAGTTATCAATGACGTCGCGGACTTTCAAAACTTCACCGAATGAGCCGGCATCGAGATGTGCAAGCTCATGAAATTTTCGGTGCGGCTGCTTTCCCTCAAATAGTATTGGCTTAGTTCGGGTCATTTGGATAGGTGTTCAGAAGATGTATTAATTGTATAAACGGGTAATAAGGTTTTATGTTGAATGGTGCAAATTTAGAAAGGAAACTCGAATTAAAAATTTTCAAACATCGCATTGTCATTCAAATTTGACAACAAACTAAAAAAATCCATGGTTGCAAATTTGTTATTCTGGGAATTTAAGCTAGCGGAATAATGGAGCTGGGAGGTATGTAAATAGATTAGTTTTTTGTGCATAATTATTATCATACGTCGAATATGAATGAAAAATGCCTTTTTCCATTTACTAACCTACAGTCGCGAAACTTTATGAGAATGCTTAATAGAGTTGCCGGTGAGATGAAGTGAGACACCCCTCTCATTCTCTGGTGAGATGAGATGAGAACTAAATTCTCCAGGATTCGTAGATTTTGCAGTATGCGTAATGAAGCACGCCGCGAGTTAGCATCCTGAATAGGATTAAGATTAATTTTTGTAAATACTGAATTGTTTTGCAAGTAATAAAAGTTGTTTATTAGTATTTTATTAATTACTCTTGGCACCCGAGGTACATTCCGTGGGATAATGAAGTGATCCCATCGTTGAGGCGTGCTCTCCTCTTGCCTTTCCACCATGAGTTCGTGAAAACCCTGGCTCGTCTCATCTCATCTCATCTCATGCTCAGATGAGATGAGATGAGATGGCTCATTTAGCGCTTCGTACGTAATATTTTGCCTAAAATTCTTTTAGAAAAGTGCTGATGTAGTGACAAGGGCATGTAATCTCGATATTTCAATATCAAATTTTCGAAATTGTAATATCGAAATTTCGATATCAGAATATGAATTTTGATTTGGTCACAAAATACACCCCAAAGTTTCTATAGTTGACTTTTAACCTAGTTACATATACCCCACAAGTTCCCAAAAAATAATTCTGACTTATATAAACCCCGATAGTTCCCAAAAATGAATTTTGATTTGGTTACACCCCCAAAGTTCCCAAAAATGAATTATGATTTGGTTACACCCCCAAAGTTTCCCAAAATGAATTTCATTTCGTTACACCCCCAAAGTTCCCAAAGTGAATTTTGATTTGGCTACGCCCCCAAAGTTTCCAAAAATGAATTTTTATTTCGTTACACCCCAAGGTTGCCAAAGTGAATTTTGATTTGGTTACGCCCCCAATGTTTCCAAAAATGAATTTTTACTTGGTTACACCCCCAAAGTTCCCAAAAATGAATTTTGATTTGGTTCACGCTCACCATTCCTCTGGAAATACGAGACCTGAGAGACTTTGAAAATTTGATCAATAAATTCGCCCCATCTTTGGAATTACTGTCTTTTATAATCTCCACGAAAGGCCTTGAAGAAAAGTTTCGCTTCGTCCTCAATCTTCCACGTCTCCCAAGGCTGAAAAAGTTGGATATTTATTTTGGTTTCTTTCAATACATCCGCAGTTCCGAAATCCGTGTACATCAGAGTCAATACAGTCAGTACAATCAAAGATGTGGCCCGATTCCGGCTCTCGTTCCCACCATCTCGTTTTGGTGGCGATCACATCAGCATCGACTATGAACGTGACCTTCCCTTGATCCGTGACATCGTCGTGAAACCAAAATTTAACGTTAGTCCGGCTGAATTCTGGGATACGTATAGCGACCTGTTTGACAGTCTCCTACCCAAAGAAGAAGGACAAAGTTGCCAAACTCTGCAACGCTTGGAAATTCCGACCTGGGATGGCAAGATTGGGGAAGGATATCTTCAAGCTGCCCGACTACCAAAAGTCTTTCCAAATGTTCGGAACGAATGGATGAACGATGAACGATTTACGAGAGATGATTGAAGAACCTGATACAAAGTAGATAAATGCACATTCATGAGTTAATTATGTACCCGTGTGGAAGTGAAGATGATGAATAATTGTTAAACTGGGTATAAATCCTTTCCTAAATTTGCAGCGATAAATATGAAAAGTTAGTTACCATTGTTGCCCCTGTGAGATTATATGTACATAATCATTTCAGCCAAATATTATTAAATAAACACAAAGTTACCATATTAAATTCGTACACATATCATGTCTCCGAACTTCTGTCTTATATTTCCTCGCAAACGTGCCATTTCATATTTGCATTAGCATGTTCGGAGTCAAACAATTTAATCGCGAGGCAATTGGTCGCTTTGATTGTATTGTTAATTTTCGAAATTGATCATCTTCATGAGATCACTGCAAAACCGGAAATACATGCAATTTTTTGCTAACAATCAACTTGTACATACTTTTGAATTCACATCTTTGTTGGTGACTTTGATGTATGTAAAATGAGATTTCATGAAATTTTTCAGTTGAACATGTATCTACATAGATTTTTAATGCTTTCATTTCCCAGCTATTTTTAGGATTGGAGCTAATCTTATGGTCAATTCTTGAAGGAAGTTTGTTGTGAAATTTTAGAAACTACTTAACGTACTTAATAAATTCATAAATAGTAAATCACGACGTATTTACATATATAAATAATGAAGAAATTTTTAAATAGGAAATAGTTTTGGAAATTAAACGGAAAACGAGTCATTTATTTTGTCATTTTTCAAATTTTTAGGGCAAATTCGGACTATTTAAGTGCTAAACATACCATTTACCAGTAGGGATCAGGACAGTCAAAGTAAACTTATTTTTAAATTAATACAATATCTATTCAGAACGATTACTTACATAAACTCACAGTTATACATATATATGTATGAACTGGGTTAAGATATGCATTGATTCATTGGTTGTTTGTTTAGTATATTAATTATTAACTACTAGTGTAGAAGCCCGTCAATCGACGTGCAGAATAGGCCCGTGGCCCGTGGATAAGCCCGTTACCCCAACATTAGTGAAGTTAGCCTCTCCTGTTCTCTCTGCAGAGTGGAGAGAGAAAAGGAGAGGCTAACTTCTCAAATAAGCCACCGACCCAGCCAGCAGCGATACACTCGCCTGCTTTATATAGTTTAGATAAAACACATATTATGTATACACATTTTTGCATTAGTCATTTAAAACTGACGTGGCTAGAAGAAACAAATATTTTTACACGAAGAGGAAAAATAAATACGAAAATATCCCTAAATTAAGTACAATTAAAGAATTAATTTAGTCAATCATGTGAAATTTTTAACTGTGATGCACAGTCCGTGAATAATAAATTAGTGAGAATGTATAACGTCAAACTTTCATTCGGAGCGCAGGAGTAAATTCATGTTTTAACCATGTTGATCACGACGATGACCCCACTGCAGAGGAAGTCTTGCTCTACTTGCTCATAATTATCGGGTTCATAATTGCTCGTCAAGCGCAAGTTCTGCAATTTGGGAAAGTTCTTCCCTTCGTTTAAAGTCCTTTTCAACCCGTCGATGATGACACCGTTGACGAACATCTTTTCAAGCTTGGCCATCACGGGGATTTCGTAGTCATCCAGCTGGAAAGGATATTTGGCAATAAATAAAATAAAATAAATAATATGGTAAAATTTAATGTTATAATAACTCCCATACCTCAACCATTACGTGGTAGCAGAATAAATCATGTCGGCATCCGATCGTCAAAATTTGCAGAGAATCCTTAACCTCCTCCATCATGTCGAGCATGGATTCTATGTCGAATTCTCCAAATTCGCGATGAGCAGAATACCCTGCCTCGTAATCCTCCGGAAATCCGCAGTAATCCAAAATCTTCAATTTTTTACAAGACGTTAAAGTTGGAGTGAAAGACTCGACAATCTTCAAAGTTTCCAAGTTCGGGGAAGATTCGATGAGTTGTTGAAAAGAAGGATAAAATTCACCCATGAATTTATCAAATACACGTGGCTCCTTGAGTTCCAAGCAGGTGATGGATTTCCTAACGGGAAATGGTGACAAATCTTTTTTGTAGGTGATTCCATTAAAAAAATCTCCTCCGACAAGGCTGAAAGTTTTCAATTTTGGAAATTCCAGCTGCGCCAAAGACTCGAAAACAGGCCAGGCGAAATTATTGGTGACCGTGATGGTCTCAATACTTTTATGGCAGGTTGATAAGAAAGTCGAAATATTCACTGCAGCTGCACGACTTTCTTTCTTCCCAGAATGAGAGTAATTTCCAGTAACGATGCCGCCACACTTTAAGCTCATGTCGACATGGACGGCCATCCTGGGGGGAAAATAGTGCGGAAGAGGGGTGACGGTGCAGCACTGGGGAAATAGTTTGCGCACCTTGAGGACCGATTTCTTCCCGAGGGGATGAGCAGCAACGTCCGCCCACGTGTAGCATGTGGCACGGGCGGATTTCAAAGAGGCGAAATCCAAGTTGGAAAATATATTGGAGAGAATCTAATATAATGGGATAAAAAGCAATTAATTAATTGTACATGAATACAAAATAGATTGTTTTTAAATACGTGACTTTTTTAGGAATATTTATTCCATGGATTTAAACATGAAAACTTTACTTTACCAATGGATTTTGCAGGGCTACTTCCATCTTGTAATCCTTGACCCTTGAGGTTGATTTTAAATCCTTAAGAATTTAATTTTAGATTGATGGTCGAGGAGGAAAAAATTAATTTTAATTGCGCGTGGGTTTCGCTTCGACGACAGAAAAAGAGGATACGTTTTTAGCGCGCTGTGTCATTTTAATTGGGGGAACTGGATTTTGCGTATCACACGACCATCCGACCCGTTTTAATTATCTTTAGTTAATTTACTATAATTAAATGCATGAACGATTAAATAATTAATAGTTATAGTGCATGAATTTCCTTTTATAAATTCGAATCAATTGAACTCGGCTTAATTATAAATTAATTAATTTAAAGTTGCTGCAGAAAAAAAAGTAAAATGCAAACTCGCGTCACGAAAGACTTTCGTCGAAAGTGACCCGTTAATCATAAATGCATACGACGCGACCCATAAATTTTACAAAAATATTAGTTGCATACATCTTACATTAAATCCTGGTATTCGCTAAAAATAATAAGTTTATGGATCCCACTCCGACCTGACTTGCCAGTAAAGTAACCAATTTCTTTTAAATTTTATTATGAATGTGCAATGTAAATATTTATTTCATTTGTTCTCTCATTATACGCATTTGTACGAACTTACAAATATAGAACTGGAACACACATTGTCAATCTAATGCTACGTAAAATAGTAATGTTGATCATTCGAAATATCCTCGTCTGGGTCCCGATCTAAATGCCAACAATTTTTTTTTTCACTGAAACATTAACGTATTACGTGTATTACGTACACATGCACATGTTCCAGATCATTGAATAACTAACCTGCCTCATATTCCGACACGTCCAATAACGTTCGAACAAATTTTGTATGATGAGTCAAACTGTAACTTTGCAATGCCCTCCATTTCGATTGGAGTGCAAAATTCTAACAACATTTTAGGCTCGATGGTGACATAGCCGTCTGAATACTTTGGTCGTTCATGAAACGGAAGGACCGGAAGGGTCCAAGAGGCTGTCATCTGGGATATATTTTTATTTACATTTTGTCACTTCCGTTAATAAGATTGATTAAACTATTACTACTTACCTTCCCCCCGCCGTCCAGCATTTTACGTAATTTGAACTTATATGTATACTTCTCCGCGATTTCCTTGCTGCCCAACACGGTTATCCAGACATGGACTGAATTCGCACGAATCACACTATGCAGAAGAAACGTATTTCCAGCATTTTCCAAAATTCCCATCGGCCAATAGTTACGAGTATTATTTGACCTGCCACCTGAGAAATAAAGGTAGAAAATAATTACTGAACGATCCTCCCATTATAAGTAAATAATTGAAAAAAACAAGGGGCTATCAAATCAATGAAGTAATAAGTTATTAAAATAACTTGGAAGTTTATCCTTATCTATTGAATGAAATTGGTCATGAGAGTTTGGCTGGTTGTGAGGGCCGCAAAAAATTATAGTTTTCCAAATTATAGCCGAATAAGGAGGTTATTAAGAAAACGGATAATTAAATTCTCAAATATTAGATTGATGTTTAGTAAACAAACACAGCTGCAGCTTGCAATTTATTATGGAAAACTGTACCGCGGATGACGGGGCATTGTAGCGTATGTATTTACTTATGTCAGCGTATGTATGTATTTTCACCGAGGTGAAAATTTCCGAGAGTTTATCAATGTTTCAAAATAAATCATTTATAAATGATTTATGATTTATCAGACTAAATAAATTTAGTCTGATTGGGTGGTATAAGGGTGGAGGAGATTATTAGAGTTTTTTTACTTCAAAGATAAATTATCAGAAGTGCTTGTTACATATTTAATTAATGGCAAGAGAAAAGTATAAAAGTCGAGAAGGTCTCAAAATGCCTCCTTTTTAAGTAAAGTTTATATATAAATTTGTTGCATAAGATGTATGTGATTATGTATGTATATCACATATGTGAGTATGTGATTATTATAAGCTTTGTATCAAGTTCTTCATTCGTTCATCATCTCTCGTAAATCGTTCATCCATTCGTTCCGAACATTTGGAAAGACTTTTGGTAGTCGGGCAGCTTGAAGATATCCTTCCCCAATCTTGCCATCCCAGGTCGGAATTTCCAAGCGTTGCAGAGTTTGGCAACTTTGTCCTTCTTCTTTGGGTAGGAGACTGTCAAACAGGTCGCTATACGTATCCCAGAATTCAGCCGGACTAACGTTAAATTTTGGTTTCACGACGATGTCACGGATCAAGGGAAGGTCACGTTCATAGTCGATGCTGATGTGATCGCCACCAAAACGAGATGGTGGGAACGAGAGCCGGAATCGGGCCACATCTTTGATTGTACTGACTGTATTGACTCTGATGTACACGGATTTCGGAACTGCGGATGTATTGAAAGAAACCAAAATAAATATCCAACTTTTTCAGCCTTGGGAGACGTGGAAGATTGAGGACGAAGCGAAACTTTTCTTCAAGGCCTTTCGTGGAGATTATAAAAGACAGTAATTCCAAAGATGGGGCGAATTTATTGATCAAATTTTCAAAGTCTCTCAGGTCTCGTATTTCCAGAGGAATGGTGAGCGTGAACCAAATCAAAATTCATTTTTGGGAACTTTGGGGGTGTAACCAAGTAAAAATTCATTTTTGGAAACATTGGGGGCGTAACCAAATCAAAATTCACTTTGGCAACCTTGGGGTGTAACGAAATAAAAATTCATTTTTGGAAACTTTGGGGGCGTAGCCAAATCAAAATTCACTTTGGGAACTTTGGGGGTGTAACGAAATGAAATTCATTTTGGGAAACTTTGGGGGTGTAACCAAATCATAATTCATTTTTGGGAACTTTGGGGGTGTAACCAAATCAAAATTCATTTTTGGGAACTATCGGGGTTTATATAAGTCAGAATTATTTTTTGGGAACTTGTGGGGTATATGTAACTAGGTTAAAAGTCAACTATAGAAACTTTGGGGTGTATTTTGTGACCAAATCAAAATTCATATTCTGATATCGAAATTTCGATATTACAATTTCGAAAATTTGATATTGAAATATCGAGATTACATGCCCTTGTCACTACATCAGCACTTTTCTAAAAGAATTTTAGGCAAAATATTACGTACGAAGCGCTAAATGAGCCATCTCATCTCATCTCATCTGAGCATGAGATGAGATGAGATGAGACGAGCCAGGGTTTTCACGAACTCATGGTGGAAAGGCAAGAGGAGAGCACGCCTCAACGATGGGATCACTTCATTATCCCACGGAATGTACCTCGGGTGCCAAGAGTAATTAATAAAATACTAATAAACAACTTTTATTACTTGCAAAACAATTCAGTATTTACAAAAATTAATCTTAATCCTATTCAGGATGCTAACTCGCGGCGTGCTTCATTACGCATACTGCAAAATCTACGAATCCTGGAGAATTTAGTTCTCATCTCATCTCACCAGAGAATGAGAGGGGTGTCTCACTTCATCTCACCGGCAACTCTATTAAGCATTCTCATAAAGTTTCGCGACTGTAGGTTAGTAAATGGAAAAAGGCATTTTTCATTCATATTCGACGTATGATAATAATTATGCACAAAAAACTAATCTATTTACATACCTCCCAGCTCCATTATTCCGCTAGCTTAAATTCCCAGAATAACAAATTTGCAACCATGGATTTTTTTAGTTTGTTGTCAAATTTGAATGACAATGCGATGTTTGAAAATTTTTAATTCGAGTTTCCTTTCTAAATTTGCACCATTCAACATAAAACCTTATTACCCGTTTATACAATTAATACATCTTCTGAACACCTATCCAAATGACCCGAACTAAGCCAATACTATTTGAGGGAAAGCAGCCGCACCGAAAATTTCATGAGCTTGCACATCTCGATGCCGGCTCATTCGGTGAAGTTTTGAAAGTCCGCGACGTCATTGATAACTAGGAATATGCAGTCAAACGGATTTGTGTGGGTCGATTTCTCCTCCTCACCAAAACTTCAGGTGCTGAGGACGCCTTCTATAAACTTGTCAGAGAAGTCGTCATCATGGAAAAATTGTATCAACACGAAAACATTGTCGCTTGTCACGAGGCCTGGTTTGAAGGCCCTTTGAAAAAAAAGTTTAATTCCGAATGGTTAAAACTATTGAAATGTAAGGCAATTTGCATTATTTTTCAATTATACTTAAATACAATTAATTAGAACTCGCTATTTATTCAGCTCAATTAACTAACTAAGGATAAAATTGTTTGTAAATTCGATTTATTGTTTATTTTTCACTAGTAATTTTTGGGAGTCGTAATATCAGTCCTAAAATTAATAAGGCTTATTAATTCCCTGCTAATAGTACATTTAATATATGTACTTACATATATATATATATAGCATTTTATTAAGGTAATATATTTTTTATAGCGAATAAGTCACCCCCAACTCCCAACGAAGTAAGTCTTGGAAAGTTACTGCATACGGGCGATTTGATTTATTGCAAACGTCAAGAACCCAGCGACAATTGTTCTGTCACATTTATATTTATTATCATTATTCAGCATTCACAAATTAATGTAACACTTTCAGAGACTACCAACCTCCGTTTCCGAGGAAGAGGTAAATACCTACATGTGTATCAGAATGGAACTAATGGACAAGGACATCAACCTTGCCGCATGGTATAACCAAAATCTCGATAAAATTGGAAATTTTGAAACCACCGTGAAAATCACGAAGCCAATGTTAGCCAGTTTGGCTACAATTCACGCGGAGGGTATAATTCATCGCGACCTAAACCCCAACAACATCCTACTCAACGTTCGTGGGGATGAAATTATTGTCAAAATTGCTGATTTCGGATTGTCCAGAGAAATTCCAACTGACGACTCGGCCCTTAGCGGACACGTTGGGGGAGTTTATTTCACCAGCCCGGAGATCGAACGAGGCGATAGAGATTACACTTTCAAAACGGACATTTTTTCCTTGGGGCTTATCGTTCTCGTCATGTTGCACCCGTTCTGCAGCAATGAGGAGTTGAAGATGGGATTGGACGACGTTAGGCATGGCTGCAGTCGCATCTTACAAGGCTTTCTGATCACACAGCCACGAATTTATGACCTCTTGAGGACCATGCTGAACCGCAAGCCGGAAGAAAGACCTACCGCTGAGGAGGCTTTGACTGTTGTGAAAATCATATCGTTAAAATAAACTTGAATGAGAATTAAAAAAAATCAATAATCAGAAATGAATAAAAATGTCGGATACTTTATAAATTTAAGTTGTAAAAATATTCTTTTACAATTGTGACACTTTAAAATTGGCAAGAAGACACTAATTCAGTTCTTTCAGTTCGTTCAGTCAAGGGATCCTATAATATTCTTTCTGGACGTTAATTTTTTAGCGTGGGACAAAGCTGACAGCCTAAGTTGGAGTCTCAAATTTTGAGACGAGTTTTTTGGCACGAATTACCTGGTCGTCAATAATATTCTCCGGCTTAGAATTCAGTTTCAAATCAAACTTGAAGTTTTACATAGATGTGAAATTAATTAATTCACATTGTATATAGCGTATGTATTTACTTATGTAAGCGTATGTACATATGTATTTTCACCGAAGTGAAAATTTGCGAGAATTTATCAATGTTTCAAAATAAATAATTTATTTAGTTTGATTGGGTGGAGGAGATTATTAGATTTTTTTACTTCAGGGATAAATTATCAGAAGTGCTTGTTATGAACATATTTAATTAATAGCAAGAGAAAAGTATAAAAGTCGAGAAGGTCTCAAAATGCCCAGTGCCCGTGCGACCCCAAATATTTACCAGCGCAAAATATATTTGAGCGCCCCTAATTTTTCTCATATTTTTTGTCATATTTTTCTCACATGGTTCTTATATTTTATGCAAATACTTTTTCCTATGCGTAAAAAGCTGTTGTTTTAGAATCGTCCAAGAACTAATAATTCGATTTATTAATGAGCACAGCTAGAGGAATCAAAATGTAGGTCTTTTACATTTAAAATTCAGATGCACACGGGACCAATTTTACTTTTTTCACCAGAAAAATAAGCATTGCCATTTTTTGCCTACCAGATTTCGCTAATCTGAGATATATACTTTCAGTTTAAATTGCTTCCTGGCCAACACATGTGGCTTCTTAAATTTTGCAACGTTTCCAACTTGAAAATTTCGAAAAATGTTCATTGGTTACTTGACTCTGGTATTGGAAATTCGTCCGCAATATTTTTTGGAAATTTAAGAGTTCACCAGAGTTTGCTTTGAGTGATCTCATAAACTTACAAAAAAAATCTTTAATTTAAGATTTCCATAAAGTTGGATTTTCATTAATCAAAAAATTCATTTCCTTCTACAGAAACATGTTTTCGAACTTTTTAACACGCAGAAAAATTCGAAAAGTTCAAAATTTTTGAAAGCCCCGAGGTTTTGACTGGAAAACCTTTTAAAATTCGCACCTCGATAAAATAAAATTCATCCAATGTAAATCTTAATTTTACATTATTAAAATTCGCATTGTGAGTGGGAAAAAGAATTTGAATTTTCGCACACGTGCTTTCGCAGAAAGGTGTCGAGCGTATTTCTATATTAAACTCAAAGGCAAATTTCGAAAAGAACCGGGGTTTTTCTAAAACCCACTACTCCTGGGCTAATAAACTTAATTTATTCAAGAATCTAGAATTTGAGAACATGTTTGTAATGGTATCAAAAAGTCACGCACGAAAATGTTCAAAATTCCGTGCTGAGTCCGAACATTTAATTATCACTGGTTAATATTAAAGTAATAGTTTAAAGAAGTTTATTTCAATTTGCCTCAAAAGGTACAAAAATCCCATGGGATTTGTGTACATTTTTCATGTATGCAAAATCCGGAATAAGCTATGGAGGTATGTACTCAGAGATTTGATAACAAGAACCACATAAATCTAAGCCACAAAAACCAGTTATGGCTTACTCAATGGCAACTGAAAAATATCACTCATTGCTGTAGAGAATATTCAAAAGATGAATTTTACAACAGTCAGGTCCAAAAATTTATTTGCTGCGCTTATAAATTGCTAATAAATTACTAAGCACCATATCATATAATTGCTGGCGCCCTTCGGCGCCCCTTGGCGCCTCAGCGCCCCGGGCAAGCGCCCGGCTTGCCCGCCCCTCTCACGGGCCCTGAAAATGCCTCCGTTTTGAGCAAAGTTTATATATAAGTTTATATATGAATTTGTTGCATAGGATGCATGTGAGGTATGCATCATACCCTCGCATTAAAAAAATAACTTCTTAATTTAAAAAAGCATGATAACATTCTCTGCACCCATGAGGAACAGTGTTGGGCTTACAAGGGGTTCACCGACTGTATCCGAGAAGAGGTCCTGAGTTATTGTAAATGTGTGCAAGGTTACGTGAACGTTCTGAACTCGCCGAATATTGACTGTCGACAGGTAAAAATCAACCTTTTTGCCTTCAACTCGAATTATGAGAAACAATCTTTTTATTTTTTTTAATGTGAGCTTGTGGTACATTTAAATTTTATAAGTTTAGTTCGGGTCATGATCGTTCCCCGATTTTTTTATCGCTAATCAAAAAAAATTTTCAAAGGATTCATACCCAATTTAACAATTCATGATCTTCAATTCTACACTGGTACATATTAACTCATGAATGTGCATTTATCTACTTTGTATCAAGTTCTTCATTCGTTAATCATCTCTCGTAAATCGTGCATCCATTCGTTCCGAACACTTGGAAAGACTTTCGGCAGTCGGCCAGCTTGAAGATATCCTTCCCCAATCTTGCCATCCCAGGTGGGAATTTTCAAGCGTTGCAGAGTCTGGCAACTCTGTCCTTCTTCTTTGGGTAGGAGACTGTCAAACAGGTCGCTATACGTGTCCCAAAATTCAGCCGGACTGACGTCAAATTTTGGTTTCACGACGATGCTACGGATCGAGGGAAGGTGACGTTCATAGTCGATACTGAGGTCATCGCCACCAAAACGAGAGAGCCGGAATCGGGCCACATCTTTGATTGTATGACCCTCACGTGCACGGATTTCGGAACTGCGGATGTATTGAAAGAAACCAAAATAAATATCCAACTTTTTCAGCCTCGGGAGACATGGAAGATTGAGGACGAAGCGAGACTTTTCTTCAAGGCCTTTAGTGGAGATTATAAAAGACAGTAATTCCAAAGATGGGGCGAATTTATTGATCAAATTTTCAAAGTCTCTCAGGTCTCGTATTTCCAGAGGAATGGTGAGCGTGAACCAAATCAAAATTCATTCTTGGGAACTTTGGGGGTGTAACCAAGTAAAAATTCATTTTTGGAAACATTGGGGGCGTAACCAAATCAAAATTCACTTTGGGAACTTTGGGGGTGTAACGAAATGAAATTCATTGTGATTCATTGGCATGGTGAGCGTCAAATTCGTCACGGTTTGGGCCAACTCGGTGAGAAAATTGATTGCAACCGATGGCTTGCATGTTAACTGAATATCCTTCAAATTTTGATAACACTTCCCATTGATTTGTAACTCCTGTGCAAATCGTGACCCCAGAAAATCACAACCGCGCGAATAGATGGACTCCACACGTTTAATCGCATCCGCCCAATATTTTATCCAGGGGGCAGTCAATTGTTTATTATCCAATCCACGGGCAGATTCACGGGACGTGAGGTTTAGTGAAAATTTCTTCAGCATTTTGAAACTAATAGGATCCAAGTCATATTTAATCTCGTTGCCATCCTGATCCAAGATTCGTATATTATCCAAGTCGAGATGCAATTCTTCCAAGGTGTCCTTCAACTGAGTAACGGATTTGAGAAATATCCAGTAACCCCGCTCGGAAATAACGAATACAGACGACAACGATAAACTCTTGACATTGTGTCCTCTACTGGGATGAAGAAACCAGTCCAAGTCCTCGATGTATTTTACGGTCCATTTCCTCTCGACGTCGTTCCATTCATTTCCGGTTGGTAATAGTGGATACCAAATCTTCCAATTTGGCCATGGTGCGACATTCCTCATTTCATGGACGTATTGGAATAACTGGTGGGATGGAGTGGTCACATCATCACGATGGAATCGAGTTTCGAAACCAATGGCGGATTTCATTCGCAAGATTGGAAACACTTGTTCGTCCCAGTGTTTACAAACCAGTCGAGCGTTTTTCAGGGTTCCGAGGGGGAGATAGGATAGAATGTGAGAGAATACCTAGAAGTGTAGTGGAATTTTTAATGTCAAATTTCAGGGTAATAATATAGACATACATAGAAAGCATTCAACAGTTTTAAATATGCATACCAATTGATTGCGATCTGGTGTGAAATCTAAAGCCAAGTTAGCCACATCATCTGGCACACCCTTAATCGAAGCCTTATCGCACTTGTCCCAATTACTAACGTACTCCCGTTGCTAAAATTAGCACAAAACTAGTCATCACACTATATACTCAATCATTGTATTATTTTATGGATATGTACTTTAAAAGTGAATATGGCAAGGCCGTGGTCAACGTTGTTACGGTGTTTGGTGAAGGCCAGTTCATCCCCAAAGTTCAGCCGTGTCCTAACGTTGAGGTCAAGATTTACTCCATTTTTTAAAACCAAGTTTCCCTAAAGATTCAAATTTTTTAATCAGTAATAATTTGGATCCTCTGATATAATAATATATAATGAGTAATAAATGAGCAAAGGGTCGCTCACCTCGAGAGGTTTGACCCAGAAATGGTCAAACTCGCAGGAAATTTCCACGAGCGAAGTGGGAAGGAAGTTCCAATTAGGATGCCCCCACACACTTATAAAGATTAATTGGCCCTGTGCCTCCCACGAGGTGAACTTATCGCCGATGGTGTACTGTGTACAATAACATATAGTTAATTAATTGCAGCATTCAATAGCATGTAGCAAAAATAAATAGAAAACTTACCTTTTCACGGTCCCGATAAGGCAGGATAGCCGAGCGCATATTACAATACTGTGAATTTCCCCGTTTGGACTCAAGCACACCATCAGCAGGGAGGGCTGATTTGTCCATCGGTTATTTCGGTCAGGTGAAACAATTTTGTGAAATTAAAAGTTGGAGAAATGTTCATCCAACGCGAGATCAAAAAATACGGAGTTATGTTTTGGCTTATCGTGAAACTCGATAATAATGGGACGAGCGGAGTCTCATGGATTTGCTTACCCTTGGGCACGTACGTGGATGGTAAAAAAATCAAAATGAGAAATGGTTCCCAAAAATACTTTGTTTTTCTTGGATAAAGTAACTTGGCAACCTGCTAAAAAAACACCCAAGTATTTATGCAGTTTTTTTTAAACTATGGTTATTTCTCAGCTTGCGGGTACCCAAATTGTGTTTTGATTTTTTTTACGAAAATCAAGGAAAATGCATAAAGGATCACATACATATGCATTTACAGCGAAACGAAATTTCGTGATTTTACTACACCACTACAAGACTAAAGACACTACAATAAGTTGTAGTGTCTTTTAGTAAAATAAATCATTTATGTATCTGCAGAGAAAAAGGTGAAAATGTGTTGTTTAGAAAATATCATTTGTTAGATGATTTGCAGTATTTTTCATAAATGTTCATTAGCTATAATAAATCTATTATTATTTGATCAGGGTTGTGCATGAATAAAAATACATAAATAATTATAATCTCGTGAATTGCATGCACATTGTACATACATATATACGAACGCAGCAAGTACATAATTATGTATTCGTAGCGTGCATACATATATGTATCTACCAAATGCAATTGCATATGTACATATGTATATCATTAATAGAGAGTTAGAGATTCCTTGTACTTCGACTGTAGACTGTACTGTGGACTCTAGATGATGACGTCATCAGCTTTTTGTACTAATTCTACAGTCTACAGTAGACAAATTGAAACACGGGCTCAGTTTGTACTACTGTGGAAGAGTCAAGGGTTGGCAAGTAGGATATCTCTAGAACGCCTCAATATAATCAGACGCCGTTTTCGCCATTTTGTTTCTAATTTTTGACCCTAGGTCGAGTTCGAAGATGGGCGCCCTGTGGTCAAGGTCAAGGTCACCCTGGCGTGAAGTAAACGCAAAATTCTACCTTAATTTTCATATGCGGTATCATTTTAAAGGAAATTTAACGAAAAATTCATATTCGCCAATACTTTTGACCTCCGACCAACCCATAACCGAGAGGACGAGGTCAAAGGTCAAAATTTAAGTGTCGACTGTTTTAGACTTGGGTTTGGGCGAGAATTTCAGAAATCGACACAGTTTTAACGTACGAAGACCCCGTGACCACGTAGACCAGGTCAAAGGTCAAAAATGTTTATTTTTTATTTGCACCGTTGCAGACGTGTTTAGTTTGAGGCGAGGAGTTCAAAAATCACTATCATTTCGGATTACATCAGCCTGGTGACTGTTGTAAACGAGGTCAAGGGTCAAAAATATCGAATTTTAAGTTTTGAAATTTTAAACACACTTCGTGGAAGGAGGTTCATTTCGTATATCATGAGTTGATTTGTCTCAATTTTTGACGCATCTATTTCGCGGAGTTTTACAGTACAATTTTTCAGAGTACAAAATAATGGAAATTCTCTAGGTCTTTTGAATTTTGTACTAATTTTTGTATTGTACTGTAGTCACAGTACAGTACAAGTAAAAATACAAAAAATCTCTAAGTCTCTAATACCAAAGGGAGGGCGGCCTGGTGGATACGAATTTGACCTTGAATAACCCCGGAACGGTTTGTCGTAGCGGGTCAAAATTTTGAACAGACGAGCATGTTATCCTCAGATAGTTGTGTGCAAAATTTCAGCCCTCTACTTTGAAAAATGCCTGCCCCACAGCCCCCAGAAGCTGAGATATTCATTTCAAATAGTTCCAGAAAAAATCTGGCTCGTGCTTACAAAAAATTTTATTTAAATTTTCTGTTGAGGAATAGGAGTGAGTTATTTGTCACATTTGACGAAGCACTATTTTCTCTACAAGTTACTAATTGAGCTCGAAGAGCTTACTACACGACAAATGCCGAAAAAAAATTCACGAAATTTGGTGTTTTCCCGTGAGGAGAACTTTTGTAAACAGTTTTAAGTTGTGGGTGCAATGTCCGATCGTGGTGTCCTCCCACGTATCAAAGTCCCCCAAAAAGTGAAGAAATCTGCAAAGCAATATGCTGACCGTGTCTCGAAACCACTTTTAGAGTAACATTTTCCTAAATAGCACGGTAAAAAAATAAATAAGGTAATTTTTATCGTGACGCAGCGTCTTCCCAGACGATAAAGTTGACCCAAGATTATGCAAATGACCTTGAACCTAGATTGGGGATAAAAATCATTTCGAATAGTGAAATACCTATACAATCCCCTGATATAAGTCAAATAGACTTCTTTGGGTTCGGATACTTAAAAAGAAATTCTTTCTGCGGAGACCGAATTTTTTAGACGGAGTTTGGAAAAAATTGAAATGAGTGTCTCAACTTCTGGGGGCTGTACGGGAGGCATTTTTGAAAGTAAAGGGCTGAAATTTTACACACAACTATCTGAGGATAACATGCTCGTCTGTTCAAAATTTTGACCCGCTACGACAAACCGTTCCGGGGTTATTCAAGGCCAAATTCGTATCCACCAGGCTGCCCTCCCTTTAGTAAGTACTAATGTATGTAGTGTATGTACAAATGTACAAATGTACAAATGTATGTAAGCGTCCGAGCAGTGACTTTTATGTTATTCAACACGTGCAAATATCTGCCACCCGGAAATATTTATATACTCTTCAGTTTACTTAAATATGCACATTGTCTGCACACATGTACATATGTACATATCTATGCATATATTAATAACCGGATTAAATTAACCCAACCAGCCCTGTATCCCTTCTTTGTATTAATGTGTCTGTTAACTTTGTCTGTCTGAGTTTTTACTATGCACAAGGTAAGATTAACTGGATTCGAAGCCATACAATGTGTCCAATGTCCTTAAAATGAAGTTTGCTTGTATGTACTGCGGTATGAATAGAATCGCATTTACACATAATATTTAGATATATAAATATCTATGCACATTTTTAACCGTCAATTCAGTATTCGATCAGAGTGTCACCAACCTCTAACCCTTTTCGTTAACGGTCGTACATACGTATGTAGGTACATAGATACCTATATCTTCATTTCTTCATTTCATATCTTCATTTCAATTCTTCATTTCCAAAGGGGTGAATAATTTTAACTTGATATCCAATATATTAATTAACCACTTGTTAAATTAATAACTCTGAGTAAAATGACATCAGTGAAGTTAAACCAGATAAAAGCAGGATTTTTAAAGTAATTTACAAATTATTAATCATAATTTATCATATTTATATGATCGCCAAATTATTCATAAGAATAATCTGATTCAAATCTTTTTTAGCAACGAACTTACCATAAAGATTATTGAAATAAAAGAATTCAAAAAACAAAGTGGTGAGAAATGCGTGAAGATTCTACTTGGGCAAAGGACATCAAGAATTGAAGCACTTGCATTCCCCAAGGTTGGAATTGAATTCACGAAAAAATATACGGTAAACTAATTCATATTCATAAGTACAATATTTACTTGAGAAGAAATTGCAATACACTTTCAACTCTGAAATTCGGATCATATACTTCAAATAATTTCAGGTTGGACAAAGTGTTAAATTTCCGTCAGGGACTTTTATCGCTAAAAAACGAGACAAAAAGTACCAGAGTAAATCTACCTGTAATTTTGACCTTACTTTCGTTCGTGTTCCACATGACGCCGGCAACCAGAACAATGGAAATAATGTCGTTTCGAATGTTTCCATACCACAAGCGGGAACAAGTGGCAGTTCTTCTATTAAGACTGATGATTTTAATGCAGGTAAGATATGTTAGCCTGTTATAAATGATAAGGTGTTTATAATAGATACGAATTACTTAATAGTGGACACTGGATAAATACGTGTAAAGCTAAATCCAATTTGTAGCGAATTTTTTATTGAATGAAACTTATATTTCTACCTGGTTCACGCCATTAATATACATATTTATGTATCTAGCTGCTGAAAGAATTAAAAAACGGGGTGCGTTTTCTTCAAATTTGTCATCAATTGTAATTACGTCGGGTGAAGTTTACCGATATCTTGGTTGCTCCGAGTGTTCCAAACGGGTGAGGCGAGCAATTACAAATTAGCTACAAGTACATACAAATGGACATACATATTTGGAGTTTTTGCTAACTAAATTTACAGGTCGATAAATCCGATAAAGATGGGAAATACCGCTGCAGTGGAAAATCATGCAAGAAGAGAGGATCGAAAAAGTGGGTTGAAACTACAGCAAAGATATGTGTGACTATACGGGTATGTATAATGCATGTGGAATCCACATTGTGGATCAAGCTATGTAATAATAAAAATATATAATTTTGATTTACACTATACTTCGACTCCAGAATGTTACAATTTCAAACTCGAATGGGAATTTGATCAACGGAATCGTCATATTCGACAAGCACGCAAATAAACTGTTGGAAATTGACGACGTCAACGACTTCAAGGACGACAATGAAATCTGTTCAAGGTTTACAAAACTTCTTAACGCTACAATCGATGCTAAATTGAGGAGAAACAATGTAAGATTAAAACCATATTTGCTTCGAAGGTTCGCTTTCCTGTTAGCTTTGATTGATATGCTGAATATTATTTACGTACTGGTGCCACAGGTAAAAAGCGGGTCCAACTTTGCGCCGCCATTGATGCTTGAAGAAATAAATGTGAAAGAACTAGCGAAAGTGGTAACCCCGATACAGGTCAGTTACATAAATAAGCCGCATCTAAATTTCTGCGTTCACATATGTATGTAGATGCCAGGAGAATTTGAATTAATGTAATATTTTATCACGTGTCTAGGCTGATTTAGACTCTGACGGGGAGGACAGTGATGGCTGGTTTGCAGATGAAGGAGAAGAAATTATAAATTTTGGCAAGAAAAAGAAAAAGCGGCAGGACAAGATTGACAAAGAACTCGGAACGTCAAAAGCCAAGGTTGGAATCAAACCGACGCCGTACGTAGTAAACGTCGTAAAAGATGCAAGGGAACAAAATAGGAAGGACTTGGTATGGCATTTATAATTATTATTTAAGTCGGTACTTATGTATCTACATACATAAGTATTTGCAAATCTTGAGCTAAATACATGTTTGTACATATATGTCATGAATCTATATTACACCAGTGCTATACAGATTCATGATTTATGTACCTCAATATTGAGTACAGTTTTAAACTAATCTAGTTTATTTTCGTTAAAAATATTAGGATTTTACCCAAATGATCCCCGTGAGGGCGTAGCGGGTGTCGTTCTTTTAATCAATAATATGAACTACCCACACAAAACGGAAGAAGAAGACCGGATTAGATGCGGCTCAGAAGTTGATGTCGAATTGCTTACCGAACTATTCAAGAAGTTGGAATATGAAATTTATACCAACTGCTGCATCACGGATATTCAGGATAACAAAGTAAATAGTTGGCATTAATTAATCGCAAACATATTTATTTACCAATTTATTTTTTAGTAAGTAATTTAATTTTTTTATATGTACATGTAGACGCTGGAGAAGCACATAAGTGGCTATAAAAAAAATTTGGTCTCTTCAAAGGCTCACTCTGCTATTATAATTTTCATGGGCCACGGTCACAATCACGAGATAGAGTTAACCGGCAAAAATCCATCGAGTGGAGGATCAAACTATGCCAACATTTACCACGACATTGTTCAACCATTTTCCAACAAATCATTTCCCAAATTCGAAAAGAAACCGAAAGTGTTCATTTTTGAATCTTGCCAAAATTTTGCCATTTCGGATTATTCGGCGTGCCTAAAGATGCAGAATGACATTCCATCCGACATCCTAATCTGCTTGCCAGCTCTGCCCGGATTTTCGGCTTATCGAAACAAAACTCAAGGATCGCTGTTCATGCATTACCTTGTAAAGATTATGATGAACCATGCTCACAATATGCATATGGTTGAGTTGATGGGCAAGGTAATGCAGTTTACTAACAAGTTTGGATTTAATTATTTTATGAAATCTTGTAACTTTTCAGATTCAAAAACATATAGCAGACGAGATATTGAAATCAAAGTCGCAAGCGGTTTCAATCTCACATTGGGCGTCTTTTCTATTTTCCAAATTTTATTTGCTACCACAGAAAAATAATGATCTCCCAAAATTGGTTGGACAAGACGAAGGAATTGAAGATATGGACGAAACATAAATTAATATGTTGTTATAATCTACATTGTGAAAAAATGATTTTTAAATCCATGCATTTTTTCTTGGTTTTCATAATTTCTTGTTTTGAATTTTCTTAACGATTTTGAAATTAATTATTTAGACGCGATGGTGTACGTAAATAAATAGCTAAGTACGTTCATTAATTATAATTTAGGATGCGTATCTGGATGACGAAAATAAAGTCAGTTGTTAATTAATTTTAAATTTTTATTTTTAATTATTTTTAATTATGAACATGTATGTGAAAGATACATGCAATAGTTTTACCTTCCTTTTATACACATATTTATATGTATGTATGTATATTACTTCTTGAATTTCTAAATAAAGAGCATTTAAAACTTCAAAATGTAGTAAATAACATATTAGAAAATACAAAACTGCAACTCCTTTCAACTATGTCAAGAATTTAATTGCATATTTAATAAAGTGGACTGGTACAAAGTGTTTAACCTCGACGCCAATTTTCAATGAATAGGTATTTACATATTTTAGTACGTAAATGCCGACATATGTATTATGTCTTTGTCGCTTCAATTCTCTGTGAATAAGTACAATTCTATAATTAATATTTAATAAAACCCATTATTTGCATATGTACATTACATATGCAATATGTCTTTGAGTATGCATGTCCAAGTAAGTATTTACTTAGGTACATATTGTTTGATCCACGTTCGCAGATTTGTCATGCTCCTTGTTCCTAATAAATATGCAAACACTGATTTTAAGTCAGTGACTTATACGCTTCGTGAGACACCTTTGCGTTTTCTATGTCTCCGGTACAAGTAAGTACTAATCGCACCAATTATTAAGTTGAATACCAAGATCCCAAATATAATTCCCAGCAGTACAAACACCCATGAATCCAATTGACCTGATTTGGCCGGGGGTATCGTTGTCGACTGAGTTGTCTGTGTAGTTGTGCTTTGCGTCGTAGAATTTGTACTTGGTGTAGTGGTTGAAGTTGGGATTGTAGTTGGCGTTGTAGTTGTGGTTGGCGTCGTAGTTCTAGTTGGCGTTGTAGTTGTGGTTGGCGTCGTAGTTGTAGTTGGCGTTGTGGTTGTAGTTGGCGTTGAGGCTGTAGTTGGCTTTGTAGTTGTAGTTGGCGTTGTAGTTGTGGTTGGCGTTGTGGTTGTAGTTGGCTTTGTAGTTGTAGTTGGCGTTGTAGTTGTAGTTGGCGTTGTGGTTGGCGTTGTAGTTGTAGTTGGCGTCGTAGTTGTAGTTGGCATTGTAGTTGTAGTTGGCATTGTAGTTGTGGTTGGCGTTGTAGTTGTAGTTGGCATTGTAGTTGTAGTTGGCATTGTAGTTGTGGTTGGCGTTGTAGTTGTGGTTGGCATTGTAGTTGGCATTGTAGTTGTGGTTGGCGTTGTAGTTGGTGTAGTGGTTGTAGTTGGCGTTGTTGTAGTTGGCGATGTGGTTGTAGTTGGTGTAGTTTCAATGAGGGTTACTGACTTACGTCCTTTTCTTGCCACTCCGTGATACTGATACGGGTAATCCAAATCGGACCACGCATAAAGCACGAAAACTGGCCCTTCCTGTTCATAATATTCAAAAACATTTATTATTGTTAAACATTTATAATCTCTGTGGAACGGAGAAATACAAACTTTTGCCCCTTTCAGCATGCTTTGAGATAACAGCGCCAGCAACTTTTATTTTGGAATATCCAGCATTAGGAAAATGCAGAATTTACGTACAACGCATTGCCCATCGCATTCCCCAGGGTGGTTTTCAAGGATTTTGACCTAGGTCACGTACGTGACCTTCCACAATTCACTAAACTTTTAGCATAATATTTGGTTTTTACACTCTAGCGACCGTAATATTTGACCCTTTGAGGTCATATTTGGCACACAGACTCGAAACCATATTCCCCAGGGTGGTTTTCAAGGATTTTAAGCTAGGTCACTTCAGTGACCCCACAGAGGTCATAAAACTCGAATGACCTCTGTAGGGTCACTGAAGTGACCTAACTCAAAATCCTTGAAAACCACCCGGGGGAATATGGTTGCGAGTCCGTGTGCTAAGTTTGACCTCAACCGGTCAAAAAGTATTGTCACTAGAGTGTAAAAACCAAATATTTTGCAAGAAGTTTGGTGAATTGTGGAAGGTCACGTAGGTGACCTAGGTCAAAACTCTTGAAAACCACCCTGGGGAATGTGATGGGCAATGCGTATGCCAAATTTGACCTCAAATGGCAAAATATTACGGTCACCAGAGTGACCTAAAAACGAGACCCTCATTTTTAGGAGATTAATGCGTCATCGAGCCTGTCGTTGTGCGCGCATGGCCTTGAGATTCGGCGGGGTAAGGTTATCTTGATACCACTTGTATTTATCAAAATTTTTGATAATGATTTAACTGCTGGAGTTTATGTAGTTTTAAGAAACATATTTATTAAGAATGTCGTGTCACAGATGGGGTACTCGTCAACTCGTCAAATAAATTCAAAACGTGTTTAGCATACTGGAATTGTCACATCTTCAACACGATCCCCCGTATCGATCGGTCTTGAAAACTCTAGAAACGTGGTGCTTCTGGAGTCAGTCGCGCGCAATAATGTCCAATCCTTCCTGTTGTCGATTTTCAATTGCCTATTCCCCAGTCCGATACAATCCTATGCAAAAATTCGTGCAATGTTGAAATCTATTATCACGCAGATATTACTTTCTCGGTATTAAAGTTGTTACCACTTGGTATTAAAATTGTACCGATCCGTAAAACTTTGCTACCGATATCGCAAAACTTTAATACCGACTTGTTACTTCATTGTATGAATACCACTTTGGTAGAGTCATATAAATATGTATGAACACGACTTTGTATTATTTTTACGCAGCATTTGTAAGATTGTACAAATACATACATACATATATATTTTTAATACAATGCGGCATCAAAAATTGAAGTGGAAATTTGCACAGAAAATCCTTACCGATGAGTAAACACGGCCATCTGCATACGCCCCAGCGACGAAAATGTCGGACCCTGCCATGTCTCCATCGCGAGAAATACCAATCCCAGAATATCCTTTTCCCACTGGATTATTCACTTGCAACTGAAAGGTTATATTTCCCGTAGTTGGGACATAATTCCATCCTAAGCACACCCCACTACCTAATTCTTCCCGTTTTGTGAATGTAATTAAGTCGCACTGTCCGAGACACGTGGGGACATAAATTAGGAGAAAGAGTCCAATCATGGAGATTCTGGGGTAACGATTATTCTCCATTTTCGTAAAATTTAAAATGCTAAAAACGTACACCCGACAGGGTCATGATTCGTTATTAGACTGAATAAACTACATTCGTGTTAGATTTCCTCCCATGGAAGGAATTTAGTTGTTTTGTTAAACATATTTTGTTTGTGCATGATTGTATACATACATAAATACATTTGTTCCTATTTAGTTAATCCTGACGGAAATGAATGCATGGTGTTGTGCAGCACAACTTATGCTACACAAATAAGCATAAAATATGTAAGGAAGGATTATTTGGTCAAGTTTGTCCAATTTGAGGATATTTTATTATTGATGTTTTACTCTTTACGGCTAGCCAACTACATAAAGTGTTAAGTAAGTTGACATGAAAAGTATGTGTATATATGCACATGATGTCAGGACTTAAACATATGTAATTTTAATTTTAAAATAATTTCATAATTTATTAAATTCCATCATCGTGCTTAACATTTTTAGACTTACTTATAAATGTTTAAGTCATGATCGAGATTTTGTGACTTTCATATCCTTAACGTCATATGTAATACTACATAATGTACAGTAATGTACACATAAGATAATCAGTCAAACTACTGCTTTATATTGCCTCACCCAATGTGGTCGATCGAGCTCAGTTTTCTGACGTATCTAAAGGTGATTGGACAAGATAAACATATTTACGATTTTTACGAACCTTGTGGTTGTTGACATTTTTTTTAGATTAAATACATACATATGTGCGTGTATATATAAAGCTAGATTTGGAGGGCATACTATGACTCCTTGTTTGTAATAAATAGATAAAACTCCAATGTACTAATAAATATGTGCATAAACTCAGTCATCATCAGACCAACATACTTACACACATTGGTACTTGAACGATCAAGCACTAGTTTCCGGAAAACTGAGCAACGCCCTGACAACCAACCAGACCAGGGTGTTCCAAAAACCCATAATTTTTTTGGGTCGAATGACATAAAATGACCCAAATTCTAGCTGAAGTGGTCTCACTGACTTTCTAAAACGGTTCATAACCTTCTTCTCAAACAGTGTCCACTTTGTAAAATGCCTCCAACTATTCATCTTCAACTTTCTCGCTCAATTTGTACGTATGAGCCGCAATTGTAAGAATTGCTGTCCACAAGCCAAGAACGCCAAAGGCGGTGGACGTCAAGACGCCACGTGCCGGAAGAGTGAGTTTATCCCAAAAGTGGATAACGGAGTAGATACAGAGCGTTCCTGACCACGTGATGAGGACATGTTGGACTATTAGGATGTTTCGCATGATGTTGTTTAGATAAATGGACATCAGTTGGGTTGTCCTTATCGTGAATCGTAGATTGAAAGGGGAACGGTACGAGGGCTTCATGCGGTACACCTTTTGCCCCGGTCTGGAAAAGTAGAAAATTAATAAAGGATTTATTTTATTTTAACTTCTACATATGCTGCTAGTTAGGTAATTTTCAGAAAAATTCCGAAATTAGACACATTTGTTTAACGATTTTTTATCAATTTACTATTAAGCTAGTATTATGTTCAGAAATGTGTGCAATTTGGTAATCAATAGGTGGTGGTAAATATTTATGTAACATTGGCCGGGTGAAAATACATGGAAATTTGAGACAGAGAGCTTCATACAAAACGACTGACTGGGTAAAATGATATAAGAAAACAACGAATTTATGTGACCCTTGAGACGTCGTAATTGCAGTGCATCTTAAAACCAAGCAAGTATCAAAGACTTACTGAATTTCCTTAATCAGTGACACCAAACAGAACGCTGAACCCATGACTGGAAAAGCGTGCCCCATTGCGGCGGCTGATCCCGACATTTGAAGACATAGACGGACACACGCATAAAATAGATAACACAGATAGTAAAATGGTGAATTTTTGGGAACCAGAGACGTGACATAAATCATTTTCTCGGGATGTCGGAGGAAATGCAGGGTCGATATGGCTGGTCCAGTAATCATAATTATTTTCATGAGTACCATCAACTCTTCACAACCGTTCCTCCATTTACAAGCAAGCATTGGATTTGCAAATTTTTCTGCAATAAGAAACACGCATTTATTCTTTTGACTAACATGTCAGTTTTCATTGGCATATGGTATCGGTAGTTTTTTGCACGCAATGTGGTGCAATGTTAATTTTTTAGTCACAGCTTTAGATTTTCTGCTCCATTTCGAATTTTGGAACTTCAAAAATTCTAAAACACATACATAAATATGTTCACAAAATGTCTCGCGTCATTTAATATAACTCACGTGCAAAATACGTAGCCATAATTAATCCAACTTGAAATACTAACCTCTCATATTGATGCAGTATTGGGTCGAATTATTGACAAAATAAGAAAACTCATCTCTCTTAAAATATCCGATATTAATTACTCCCACAAAAACTGCAGTTGTCGTTATGCTGACCAGAAAAGCGTACGCGATATCGAACAAATTTCGTGTTTTAATCAACATAACCAGATTTCTCTCAAATGCAAGAAAAATTAACACAATTCCAAAGTACATTAACTGAATGGTATGAATAAGCGTCATTATCCTCAATTCTTGTATGGATTTCTTCGTGGGGATTAAGATGTTCTTGGCGAGGTCGAAATGGTACGGAACACTTCGCCAGAAGCTGCTCCATCGCAGCGCGAATACCACATTGGTGAAGGTGACAGGACTCAAGAGACTTTTTGGAAGGGGAGGAGTACGTTTGTAATTAAAAATTCGAAGTTTTAATTTATTTAATGTTTCAGAAACGGCCATCGTAATTATTTTTTGGGGTTAAATGAGTTCGAAAAAATTTTGTCGAGGATTCAACATGCGATTTGTTGAAGGAATGAATGCGTATTTTTTTATCGTTTTATGGCTCCTTGCGTAGGAAGAACGATTGCAAAAAGTTTAGGGGACAAAATTGATTGGATTGCTTTTATAAAACTACACGGGAAAGGATTTTTCATACATAAATTACATATACCCAGAAATTAGATAAGAAATAGTTTCAAGTTTAATGGGTTTTTAAATATTTATATATTAGTTTTGTTAAATATTGATGTTGACGAGAACCTGATTAAACTTTAATCAAATTATTTATGTCTGGCAGAAATTAAGTGGATACGAAATGAAATTTGATCAATAATGGAATTCTTTGCCAATGACTTACATACATAAATCATTACACGTACAGTATTGGAATCTTCAAAATTGATTTTAAAAATCAAAATTGCCCGATAATCGATTACATGTGTTCAATATTCATGGTTGGGCATGATTCGGATTAAAACTTGATTTAAGAAAAATTGTACGCACAACCAACCCATAGTTTTATCATACATATTCATCTATGGTTTTATCGCATTGCGTGTAAAAACAGTACAATTATGTATGAGGATGTTTATGAAATTCGATTACCTATACATAAGCATATACACTTACGTGTTTATTTTATGCAACTTAAGTATGCGGATAAAAAAAACATAAAATCGCGACTATGTATCTACATACGTACACGTAAATATAACTACATACATACGTACGTAAGGAGAATTTGAGTAAAATGTACATGTGTCATTTACTTATCCTTGGTCAGACAAGCTAAACCTGAATCACAGGTCCAAAATAAATGAAATAATAAATGCATGAATATGTATGTATGTATGCATACAACATTTTGGCCCCACATAACTAAATACTAACATGCCTTACATATGTTTAAATATTTACATACAAGTAATATAAATAAGTCAACGTTGACCTTAATTTTTAATTTTTAGACCTGTCTTATTACAGATAGTCAAACCGGTACGGTCTCTATATGCTTTTAATGATTTGTACTGAAGCTGGGCTCGGATCTGCGATGTCTAAAAAGTCCTGTTTTGATGGGAATCGAGCGTGCACGCGCTCTCACCTACTTTAGCAAATTTTAAACTTTGACCTAGAGATGCGAAATTTGGCATGCACATGCACCAACATATGCTGCATCATAATATAACATCAATTCCCGTTCCGTTCGCTATAAATTTTTCAGGAAAAATCAAAAACCAAATGTCACCCTTATTCCGTTTGGTTTTTGATTTTTCCTGAAAAATTTATAGCGAATGGAACGGGAATTGATGCTATATTATGATGCAGCATATGTTGGTGCATGTGCATGCCAAATTTCGCATCTCTAAGACAAAGTTTAAAATTTGCTAAAGTAGGTGAGAGCGCGTGCACGCTCGATTCCCATCAAAACAGGACTTTTTAGACATCGCAGATCCGAGCCCAGCTTCAGTACGTACACGATTTTGTCGATTTTTCGGACTGACACCAGTTTTAAACCTGTCGTTTGCATCAATGATACTCAAGTTGGAAAACTTCGTATTATAACGAATAAGTAAATCAAATCTGGTATAAAAGTCCGGAATCAATTTTTATAAGGAGTTGAAAAACTTAACAACTAATAGTTTGCATATTGGTGGGCTGGACATTTTATCCTTGCCATATTGACATAGTTGGGTCACGTGATGGGGCTGTGTGGCGTTCCCTGCATACTCCTCCCTGTGCATTTAAACGGAAAGAGCAGAACGTGGCGCACACTGGACATCTCGGCGTCTCCTTGCAATTTCGGTACTTGTATTTATACCGATCACAATATGAAGCCCCTGGACACCTTTTTTTGCAGAAGCCACCACCATTCTGGGGTGCGTGCTCTACATGAAATTAGAGAAGGGTTATTTATTGTTTTCTTCTAGTACTTGCAAAAATTGGATATGTACATAAATTAATAGTTCACCTGGTTCGCCAGGTCCTTCCGAAGAAGCACCATTGTCGTCCGGGTTGCTAGAAATTCCAGGATTCCCGCCGCCAGATGGCCAACCACTTGGTGGATACCACTCATTTGCTTGATTCCCGCCGCTGGGTGGGTACCAGCCGTCAGATGGATTCCCGCCGCTTGGTGGATATCCGATACCGCTGTTGGCTTGATATTTCCCGTCGATGTACACATTGCAGTAATAGCAATTCAAACTTCCACCCCCAGGTAAATTAAATTGCTGTGAAATCAATTAGTGTAATCAATTTATAAGTTAATTTATTAAGTTTTAAATTCTTCTACATTTCCAAGAGATAGGTAAATTATTCTAATACTTATGTTAAGCAATACTCATAAATTTTGTAATTCTTTACCCGAGCTCGTCTCAAACTTGTCGTATTTGCAAATGTTGCGTTCGATGCTATTATTCCCACATCGTCAATATTAGAGGTAATAATTCCGAAATTAATTAGAAGGATAGCTCCAATGTGTTGAATCTTACAATTAGTTTAAAAATCAAATTAGCAACAATATTGATAGAAATTTATACTTCAAGATAACTTACTGTGATAAATGACATGTTTCATTCCTGCTTCAAGATGATGTCTGTCATTCAGATTAGTTTTGTGCAGACTAGATCAACGAGACGTGAAATCTCAACTGTAAATTTGAGGTTGAAGATGTGCAGCCTGTACAGTGCAGGTACATATTTACATATATGGATGTTGGGTGCACTTGATCAACTTTACATTAGCCATTAATTTTAACCGTTCCAAAAAATACAATTGACCGATTGGGATGTGCCATTTTATCAGTATTACATATTTTTTTATAGCAAAATCCGGTTTTTTCATTTTGTCTGGTAGAGAGAGTAAATAAATGCATGCATGCATTTCTGATGCAGTGGAGAAACAATGAAAAAATAAATTCATAAATATGTATACATATAAATACAAGATTTTGATCCCACATAACTTAATATTTGCATTCGTACATACCTTATGTTTACATCTTTACATACAATTAACATAAATATAGATACATAACTCAAAGCTGACCTCAATTTGTAATCCTAAGATCTTACCTCTTCATCAAACCGGTACCATTTATATTTTTTAAGAATTTATACTTGCATGATTTTCGGGGCTTATTAATACCAGTTTTAAACCTATCATTTGCATCAATGCAAGTCTTGAAAATTTCGTAACGAGTAAGTACGTAAATTAAATCTGATATTAACGCAGGCAACAATTTTTACAAGGAGTTGACCAAATTAACACCCGATAGCTTACAAATTTGTGGACATTGTGCTTATAGTTTTTTATCCATTCCAAATTGAATCAGTAGGGTCACGTGGTGGAGCTGTGTAGCGTTCCCTACATACTCCTCCCGGTGCATTTGAGCTCAAGTTGCAGCGCGTGGCACAGACTGGACATTTCGGCGTCTGCTTGCAATCGCTGTACTTGTATTTCCATCGACCACAGACGAAAGCCCTTGGACACATTTTTTTGCAAAAGCCGCCATTCTGGGGGGCGTATTCTATATGAAATTATTTAGACAAAGATTTATGTATATTTCGATTTTCTTGCAATGACGGGGTATGTAAATTAATTAAAAATTCACCTGGTTGATCAGGTCCATCTGAAGGGTAGTAAGGTTCGTTGTTCGGGTCGTAAGCAATTCCAGGATTCCAGCCGCCAGATGGAGTCCAGTCACTTGGTGGATACCAGCCATTTGGTTGATTCCCGCCGCTTTGGGGATACCAGCCGCCAGATGGAGTCCAACCACTTGGCGGATATCCGATACCGCTGTTGGCTTGATATTTCCCATCGATGTACACATTGCAATAATAACAATTCAAATTTCCACCGCCAGGTAAATTAAATTGCTGTGAAATCAATAACTTATAAGTTATCTTGTTAAGTTTTAAATCTCCAGCATTTTGAAGGGATAAATTATCTAAGTATACCCATAAATATTGAAATTCTTTACCCGAGCTCGCCTTAAACTTGTCGTATTTGCAAATGTGACCATTATTCCCACATCATCAATATTAGAGTTAATAATTCCGAAATTGATTAGAAGGATTGTTCCAATGTGTTGAGTCTGAGTTTAAAAATCAAATTAGCAACGATATTGGTAGAAATTTATACTTCAATATAACTTACTGTGATAAATGACATATTAAATTCCTGCTTCAAGACGAGGTCTGTCATGCAGATTAGTTTTGTGCAGACTAAATCGACGAGACGTGAAATCTAAACTGTAAATTTGGGCTTGAAGATGTTCAGGCGCATATTTGTATTTATTTAACGAGGTGCACTTGATCAATTCTAGACTAGTCTTTAATTTTAACTTTTGCAAAAAAAATGCTTACCATTGACACATTGGGATGGGATGTGCAGTTTCATTATACATACATATTTTTTTTAGTAAAAACTGGGTTTGCATGTTGTTTTCCGAAGACAGTAAATAAATGCATGTATTTCTGCAGTGTATGTTTGCAATTGTGCAAACTGGTTAAATGAGTCTGGTTTGAGTCCATTAAATGAAATGTTTGACTAATTGTACAACAACATGTAGGGTAGACAAGGCTACCAATTATGTGGATTATACACGATTCCTGTATTAAAAATTCTCCATTAAGATTAATCCCATTTGGAATATTTGTATGTGAAAGGTTCCAAGTTTAAGGAAACTGGTACAAACAAAACATTGTTACTGTCGGGGGTATTTACTCTCCAGGGTTGACCTACGACAAAAATATAGATATTCCATCGCCAGCATATTAATTAAAATCCCTCTTACTTAATATCCTAATTGCAATTTGGGGGAGAATTTTCTCAATCACGGCGTGTGCTTAGCTTACTTTCTTCAATATTTATTTCTGAATTTCTGGAAGTTATTTGCACTATAATCCGAAGGAGTTATTTTTAATCATTTATTAAACATGAGAATTATTTTCCCCATGGGAATAACTTTGTATATTAATAATGCCATGTACATAATTTAATGGTTCCGAGTATAATTTCGGTACTAGACTAGTTTGAAATCTACTAAACTGTAGATAGTTTTATAAATATTTATTTCATAATAACAACTCAATTTTTCATTGAAATTTATATAGTTGAAGTCGGTGGAGGGACCAATGATCACGTAATCTGCGTTTATATGTACCAAGGATGTCGAGGATCACAAATATGCCGTTCGAGATGCCTTGTACAATCTGGGATTTGTCCGCTATCTCCCGTACAAGACCGAAGTTGCCACAGACGCAGGAATATACACGAAACAACTTTGAACTTACCCCCACAAAAGTTGAATATGATGATGAGGATAATTGAATTTTAATACGTAACCTAAGTAGAACTAAATCCCTCTCCTACAACGGTAATACACTAGAGAGCAAAATTATTCGTTGGGGTTTCTCATGATCATATCTCATACATTTACTGACAAATCAATTTGAAATTTGGCACAGTTATACCCAATCGCATTTGTGGGAAGATAGGACTCCATATTTGAAACAGCTTCGACAATGTCAAAGGTTATGATTTTTTGACCTAAAACTCCAAAAGTAAGCTACATCAAGAAATCTTTTCCTTGGTGGTTCCATTTTTGTAAAGTTGAGGCCACTCATCCTGAGCATTTTGATATGTGTTGCATCTCTGTGTGATTTTCTTTACGCTCACAGTGATTTTTTGAAAAGTTATAACATTGGGCTTATGGGGGAAAATCAATTTGGTCAAGTTGATCATTTTTGAAAATAAATTTTATTTATGGGAAAATTCCAATTTGAAATTAATTTGATTTAACTAAAATAAGTTGTGATCACTCAATTTAAAGTCCAAGAGCAGCAGCAACGTCGATACGTCCGTAACCTGAAATTCACAAAATATTTTCAATACGTCTTCATTTTACATTTGCATTATCCGGGCTTCTCTTCAAATAAGTAGCAAGTCTTACCGAAAGCTTGATTTGGGAAATCTCCAGGTCCGGGAAGTCCGCAGTTCCTGTCAGCATTGGACAAGAATGGGTGGGCTGGGGTGGTCGTGAGAGCAGTGAAGATCTGGTCATATCCCCAGCTTGGGTTGGCAGACATGAGAAGAGCGATGGCTCCAGCGGTGTGGGGGGTGGCCTGTATTTTTATGAAATTTCAAAAATTAATCAATTTCTCAGAAACTAAAAGTATTCAGTCCGACTTACCATTGAAGTTCCAGACATGGTGATGTAATTGTTAGCTCCTGTTCCGCACGACACGATGTTGTTTCCTGGTGCGGAGATTTCTGGTTTGAGTTCTCCTTGTGCGTTGGGTCCTCGGGGGGAGAAGCTCGCCATGGTGTCGGTGTTAGTGGTGGCTCCAACGGAGATAAGGTTGGGTTGATCTCCGGGGGACCCGACCGTCCTGCAGGCTGCCCCTGAGCCTCCGATCGCGAAAACTGGGATGATCCCAGCCGATCGCCAAGCAGAGACGACCGTGTTGTAAAATGGATCCCCAGCACCACCACCCCACGAGTTGGAGACGATGTTTGGTCTGGGATTGGCCGTCAAGACCCATTGACCACAGGAGATGAGATTAGCTTCAGTTCCGGATCCTTGGTGGTTAAGTCCACGGCAGGCGACCCATTGGGCAGCAGGGGCGACACCTATGCCATTGGCACGTCCGAGGATGATTCCCGTGCACTGGGATCCGTGTCCTTGTTGGTCAGTTGGTCCGGCAGTGTTGTAGTACGGGTCGCTCCAGGCACCTCCGTACGCATCAGCGAGAGCCACGTGGCCAAGATTAACTCCGGTGTCGATAATACAAACGACGACGCCTTCGCCTTGAGTGCGCTCCCAGGCTTCGGGTGCCCTGATCATGGCAACACCCCATTGCGGGTTCTGCGTAGCGTTGGTCGCCTCAGCAATGGATGGGCTCATTCGGACGGTGACTTGCTGGCGGAGGGTGAATTCTCCGGGGGTGGCAGCCAAGGTGGCGAGAGTCTCGGGGGTCAAGCCCTTGACGAGGATGATGTTGGATCCCCAGTAGGTCTGGGTCTCGAGGCCGAGGGAAGAAGCGACTTGGACGAAGGGGGCCTGAGCCGCGGAGGTGAGTCCTTGAAGCGTGGCAACGAGGGCGGACACCTTGGCGTCACCGGAGAGGGAGTAGAGCGATGGGCTGGCTTCGACTTGGTCCATGACCTGGGGCAGTTCGAGGATCGCTTCGGTGGCGCCTTGTTGAATGGCGAGGTTGAGGGCGGGGTGGACCGTGCCGGCGGCTGCGACTGCCAAGGTAGCAGCGAGAACGAGAAGCAACTTCATGGTGGAGCTGAGGAGTTAAGGGAGATATTTTATTGGATTGATTGTTCTGGAGAGGTGGATAAGAAATGGAAAATTTGGAGCGCTTTTATACGAGAAATATCAACACAAGCAGATACAGAGAGTGACTCATTTATTCGTGGGAGGATTTGCGGATTTTTCTAACCCACAACCGGATTTTTTTCAAGTGCGAAAAAATGCTCGATATGACGGTCCTTGTTCTTAACTTTAAGAATGCATCGCTTTTTACCCGATAAAAATACCTCCATGGGCTTTTCTATGGTGTTTTTCTTCCACTCATTATTCTATGCGTTCCAAAATTAGTCAACATTCGTAAATCCTCTTATGTAAAAATTGTCATTCCACGATGAAAAATCCGAAATAAACAAATCGGTCAGTGTTTGATGATACTCAGGGATGTCTTGACTTCTTGCAAGATCAAAATCATCATCGTCCGTTTTTTCGCAGTGCCGGAGTTTTCTCAGGAGTAGGTGGAGAAAAGTTTGTGGTCTCTCAATGCGTAGACCCACATAGGTCATTTTTGCTATCATGTTTCCTAAATCAGATTTAATTGCTCTCTGAATAGTTGATTTATTGCAATTTAACAGTTGGACATGCTGCTCTGTTATTTCAGTTATTTGGGAATTTCCTGGTGGGTTACGTCGCCCAACGGAATTTTCAGATTTTTCGGGCGTTCAGCAATGGGTAGTTTCTCGGCAGTGATAATGATGTTAGACTCTTGGATTGCATTTGAATATGCCTACCATGCACTATTTTACAAATTTATTGCAAATTTATTTCATGGCAATATAATTTAAGCCCTTTTTATAACGCTTCCCGTGGAAAATTGACTGAAAAAGCCTTTTACTAGTACCTCTACTTCAAGTGAGCACCGTGGGGGCACTTTTCAAATTGTGTTTACAAAAAAAATCACAAAACTATTTTTTGAGTTGATCTACATATCCGAGGTTGAAAACAGATTTGAATTTTATTGACCCACCTTTGATTGCCTCAAACCCTCACACGAATAAATGATTCGACCTGTAAATAGATGTATGCATAGATTAATTTGCATAGGAGTAGAATAAGTAGATTTGGCAATGTCTCGATAAGCGGAGATAAGCGGTTAATCGTTGCCTGGTCAGTAGGGAAATCCCAGTTTTACATACATATGTATTTATAGTTATCGTACAATTATTGCAATTCGTCTCGTCTACTCCATTGATCAAATCTGATGAAATTACGGGACACTTTAAATCCCACACATGATTGAATACTGACTAAGGATTAGTTGCACATAAATACAAATAGTTAAATATGTACGCATTATGGGTTTTCCGATAACAAATTGATTCGGTAATACGGGATGATCTTCTTGTATTTATGGCTATCGAATTTTACAATAATGAAGATATACATATGTATAATTTGCATAAGAATTAATTTATGTATGACATATAAGCGGGAATACCACCCAATTATGGAAATTCCAGTTTTGTGATTGATCAAGTTGGCCACAATTTGGTTTAGTCTATTAAATTAAAGCGTATATTCCGACAGATTAGTGAGCAGTAAATATAAATTTCGTCATGTTTTCATTCGCTCTCAGATTTTAAACTATGTAAAGTGGGGACGAGTGGTACCCACATTATGAGGATGAAAATTCTGATTAACCTATTGATATTTATTTTACGAATTGCTTTTAATGTCTCATCTGAAACCTACGTATGTATTTGTCATTCAGCTCTTGAATTCCTACTATAGATTCATATATTTGTATTTTTCCCAACATATGTACAAACTCTGCCACTTTGACGCGTAATTTGATACCTTTCAACAATACGTGTTCTAGTCACCTATCTAATTTACAGACTTGGAACTTACATACGGTGATACTTAAGAATGATTTACACACAAGTAATTTAAAATTTTTAAACCGTGTTAAAATTGATTGAGGACCAAATTAGTAATGCAAGAACCTTCGTGATCACTATATAGCTATTCAACATATTTCTATATTTGGTTCTTATAATAAATACAGATATTTTGCACAAAGTTTCTGTAAATAGTAAATCGCTCTTGGACGTTACAATTTTTTAATCGTGGCAAATGTTGTAGAAAATATATAACAAATCTGACTAGAATTTGTATTTTTCACCATCAACACTTGACGACCTTAGTTTATAATGATACCAATAAAATCAATCAAATAACTTCATATGCTCCATACTAACATACTTAAGGCAGCGATCAGCGATGGGCACACACGCTTAAAAATACAAACGCATGTCTTAATTTATAAGTCATAGAAACTGCTTACATATGTATAATTATGTATAAGATAAGTTGTCATAATTTCAACTTAGGTACAAGTTTTGCATCCACGGCTGGCCCGCCTATCCAGCGTGCGAAAAGTTGATTTGACGATTATAAGCGTAATTAGTATATAGATATGTACTAAATTAAATTAATATAAACATGTATGCAAAGCCTATGGAAAGATGCAAGGACTGGGAAACCCAGTATTTATACGTTCCTTATGTGTACCCTCTATTCCAGAAGCCTTGTATATATGTATGAATGCACAAATGTATCTGTAAAATGTGTGTAATGAAGAGTTGGTATTGGTATTATGCGGTTGATCTGCATGGATGGACAAGTTTTGCTCTTCTTCTCTCTTAAAACTTGGCTTAATTTTTTATTACTCAACATGTAAACGTATCCATGGAAACCTGTTTAAATATTTAAGGGTGGAGGAGTCGGCTTACTTGCTGGATTCCAGACAGAAATTTTTTCCTCCACATGAAAACATACATTAGAAATCCAAATACACCATACAACCACAAATCGTGGAAAATTTGTTTAAAATTAATCACGGCATTGTAAATAAATTTGTGTATTTTCTCGAGTTTTATAAACTTATTGCAAAATGGACAGACCATCAAAAACTAAAAGGACCTTCTGGTTAATTGCTGTACCAAAAGGTACTATAAACTCGAGTGTTCAAAGTAAAACTGACTGCGATGCTGGAATTAGAAAGTGGCTAATTTACGAGTCTAGAAAAAACATTGATCAAGCGTGGGATAAAATTAAAGGTGCCACAGAATCAGGACAACTGACAGATATTGGGGCTAAAGTTTCTACCCGAAAGAAGAAATCGGGTAAGATTAATTCCAACGAGAATATTTTTAAATTTTAAGAAAACCGGTACAACAACATTAGTAGCAGGAGTATCTACGTATTTACATACGTACAGTACGTAACTTATTTAACGCTACGATGGCATAATTTCTATGCCGACATGATCTAGTAATTTTTAAAATTTAAAACTCCATATAAAAAAATCAAAAATATCTACGGACAATTTCCTCGTAGGAGATTTTTAATGTCGCAGACAGGTCAAGAAGTTCAGGATTATTTTTCTGAAAAAGATGGAGGCTTCGAAAAAATTCTTCGTGAATAATTTTTTTTTAATATTTCAATATTTTTTATTGGATGCGATATGTCTTCAGAATAAAACTGAGCTTTAGTCAGACCGTGTACGATTTTTTTGACGCCCGGGACAGGTTTGAGGTCCAAAATCGCCATCGCGGCGAAAAATCGAAAACTGAAATATACGTTGGCGTATAATATATGCCAACGTATGTATATTTCAGTATGTCAAGACTGGCTGCATAATGTAGCCAGTCTTGACATACTGTTAACACTTTTAGGGGCCATTCGTAAACTTCATAACGCAAAGAGGGGTGGGTGGGTGGTCATGGCCCATTGATATCGTGCCTATGTATGTTACACATGTTAAAAGGGGTGGGTACAAAAAAAACAATAATTTGCGTTAAGAAGTTTACGAACGTCCCCTTAGGAATATTAGTATTATTATCTCCTTAGTAATATTGTAAGCTTACGGAGATAGATGTGCTTTACTCCTATATATGTATGTATGTAGCGCCTAGGCTACTCAGCAACATTTTATCTCCGTGATAATTTTATAAATATTTATTTCCTAGTAATACAAATTTACTTTTATGTTGAAATTTATACAGCTGAAATCGGTGGTGGAACAAGTGATCACGTAATTTGCATTTACACCAAGGATACCGAAGAGCACAAAGATGCCGTTCGACAAGCCTTGTACAATCTTGGATTTGTCCGCTATCTCCCGTACAAGACGGACGCTGCCACAACCGCGGGAATATACACGAAACAATTTACCCCCACAAAAGTTGCTCACCATGATGACGGTAATTCAATTTTAATACTCAGGAGGGGAGCTTGCGAGGTTGATAATAACAGATCTTGATGCCCTTTGGATATGTGGTAGGGACCCATGAGTGTACTAAAACCCTGAATTGGTTTGACTCCATGGCCACATTTACGCCCGGCACACCCACTCAAAAATGCCCAAAAAACGCTTTCACTCCAGTTTTCACTCACTCAAATCCACGCCAAAAATCCAATTTTACTCGGATTTTGAAATTTCTTTCACCAATATACTCCCAGATAGTTTCTTTCTTCAATCCAATATCAAACTCAATTTTTTCGAAATTTTTAGTATTTTTAAAATTTAAATTTCTGAATGAGCATTGTTGTAGCAATCAACAAGGCAAATTATGCCTGCGAAATAATAATCAGCAAAATTGAGTTTGATATTGGATTGAAGAAAGCAACTATCGGGGAGTATATTGGTGAAAGAAATTTCAAAATCCGAGTAAAATTGGATTTTTGGCGTGGATTTGAGTGAGTGAAAACTGGAGTGAAAGCGTTTTTTGGGCATTTTTGAGTGGGTGTGCCGGGCGTAAATGTGGCCATGGAGTCAAACCACTTCAGGGTTTTAGTACACTCATGGGTCCCTACCACATATCCAAAGGGCATCAAGATCTGTTATTATCAACCTCGCAAGCTCCCCTCCTCAGTCCAAGTATTTATTTAGAAATTCTGAATGTGAATCCCAGCGTTTCATTTAACTGCTGGTGTCGTTAGAATATTATTGGCATAATTATCTAATACCACTGGCTTTGTGCATTTCCAATTAAATTTGCATCCTCATACATACATATACCATACATACATATCTACGTATCTACCATGCTAGCAAGGGTTAAGAGTAATCTTCCATGCGGTCGCAATTGCAAACCAAACATTAAGATTCAAAATTATTATATGTCTTTAATCCGATAGATTCTTCCGAAGAAAGTGATGAACGTCCCTTATCCACCTCTACCTCAACGAAGCGAGCGTACCCAAGCCCTTCCACCTCTTCCGCATCTAGCCCCAAAAAAGAAAAACTAGAATCTCCATCATCTCACCAACATTGGACCCCGCCCACCGGTAATCCTATCAAGGTGTTAATCACAGATAATTCCGCTTACAGATGCAATGGCCAAAGATTCGTCCATGTGCAACAATTGTATCCGCTCCTTTCCGGTAAGCCGCCCGACGTCTTGTTCCCCATCGACCAATTTGCCCGTGTAAGCCAAGCTTTCTACACCTTATCCAACACTCGTCCCACACGGGAAGGATCTGACAAGACGGTAGTCGTCTTAGACGAGGAAGACTTGGCTGTCAAAATTTGGGGAGAGCGAGTCTCCCAGTTTGATGGGAAGTTTTCAATCGTCATGCAACACAAGAAGAACAAGAAGAAAGTCCACTTTCTCCAGTCGGATGGGATATTTTGCTACAAAAGATTAGAATGGCTACGAACGAAGGATGATGTGGACGGTGAAGATAAATTTTCGTCGGAAGAGAAGCCCGATGAGGAAGGTGACGATGAAAACGATGCTACTGGGGACGAATGGTCCGTACATTTTGCGGGGGAAGATTCTGATTAAGCTACTTTGTCGTAATTTCATACCTTCCAGCAAGGAATTAGTCGCTGAATTTATAAGCCCCTAAATTTCATAATTTTTGTGTTCATACTATTAAGCGAAACAACTTAAGAATTATTTACAAGCAATTCAAAATTTTTAAGCCATGTTAAAATTTATTTGACACTATATTTATAAAAGAACCTGTATGATCACAAACGAATATACCAATACTGCCTGTTTGATTATGTTAATAATAAATTTTGCACAAATTGTATGTACTTTCTTTATGTCGAATTTAACCGGTCTATTGAACACATTCATATAGGAAAGCCACATGGAGCAACAAAATCCTAAATAATGCATTGCGTATGGGCGTTGAAATTTTTTAATCGTGATAAATGTTATAAAAAATATATGAACGTGGACACTAAAAATCCTGACCAGAATTTGTATGTACACATTACACAAAATCCTGTCTGTTTAGAGTCCATATACATATATGTAGGTATATGCATATGTACTCATAGATAATACCATCCGAGCAACAAAGTTCAACATAATTTTTATCAAGACAGAATTATGTATATTTATATGTTTTATATATATATATTACCTTTATTAACAGCAAACGTTGTGACCACAAATGCTTACAAATGTTTTTTTTTATACTTGCTATACATACGTACTAACATTGTCATATATATATGTAAATACTTTCAGTATAAATCTAGTATGATCCTGCGAAGCTAGCAAAACTCGGTGAGCTAGATAACATTGGGCCTCCTCAGACAGATCTCAAAAATTTCGCTTGCTTCGCTTGGTTAGAAATGTCGCTTACGTTAGCGAAGGTGCATCATCACCGTCACTCAAACAACCAATCAGAGCTCGCCATTCTAAGCGAGCCAAAATCTGGGGAAGCGAGGCTCTCGAGTAGAGTTAGTGTCGCTTACTTTTTCTCTCCTCATCTGCTGCTGTTGTGAATTTTAAAATTCGCGCACAGTCTCACCTTAACTGTTTGTCTCTCTTTGCTGTAGCAAATCTTTGGGCGAATTATTAAGCGAAAAGAGTTCAGTCAGATTTACTTCGCTAGTTCGCTTAATGCAGCGAAATTTTTAACCAAGCGAATCAAGCGAATTTTTTGAGATGTGACTGAGGAGCCCCATTGTCTTTGGGAGTTGATAATATGTAATACTAATACATTTTATACCGGTAATCTGCGAAGCTCAACAAGCTTCCCTTTTTTCTACTCTCACGTATGTATGTATCTACATACGAACATGACTGGATTTGTGCACTCGACATGCAACTTACATAATGCAATCGTATCCATGGAAACCAGTCTCCTTTAAATTAATCTGCAAAAGTACATATAGCATTCATACTTACTTAATTTTGTAAATAGCTGATCTTGCTGTAATGCAAGTACATATAAGTATGTATCATAAGTATGTAAGATTGGTCTTTAAATACTGGTATTTAGTTGATCCAATCATTCCAATCCAGCAATCTTGACGTCCACACGGGTGCAGCACAGTCACATATATATGCAAATACTAAACAAGCAAACTATAAAAATTAAAACGGTTTGCTAAATTTAGTTTAATATAATTATTGCAAGAATGGAGAGACCATCCAAAACTAAAAGGCTCTTCTGGCTAATGGCTCACCCAAAGGGGAAAGTGAAATTAAGTGTTAAAAGTAAACTTGACTGCAAAGCTGGAATTGGAACGTGGCTGATTTTCGAGTCTAGGAAAAATATTGATCAAGCCTGGGAGAAAATTAAAGATGCCACAGAATCAGGACATCTGACAGATATTGGGGCTAAAGTTTCTACCCGAAGGAAGAAACCGGGTACGATTAAAGCTGCATTAAATTCACTCATAAGTAACTTGCGTCATGGTTGCACTCATGAATCTGTATTACTCTGGTGTAATACAGATTCATGGTTGCACTGCATGGTTAGTAGGCCGTGAAATCATAATGCATCTTAAAGATAATTAGCTAAATATTCCTTGGCGTGTTGCGGATCATTACTTTTGTGTGCTACTCAATTTTATGCGGATGATGAATGCAAAGCCGATTATTATACCATATGTTACCATTTGTTGATGCTTTGTTGTTTGCCCTTACCTTTGTTGATAATATACAATTTTCCTCAAATTTACGAGCAAATGACGACATTGAATATGTAATTTCATAGCTGACTTTGATCTCGCTACTCGATTATTTTTAAATAAATGTACCTTTAAAAATATTTATTTATTTCATGATAACAACTAGTTTTTCACTGAAATTTATGTAGTTGAATTCAGTGGAGGGACCAATGATCACGTAATTTGCGTTTATACCAAGGACACCGAGGATCACAAGGACGCCGTTCGAGATGCCTTGTACAATCTGGGATTTGTCCGCTATCTCCCGTACAAGACGGTCGCTGCCACAGACGCAGGTATACGGATATACACGAAGCAATTTATTACCACAAAAGCTGGACACGATGGTGGCAGTAATTCGATTTCAATATATTATGCATTAACTCATGTAAAAAGTGGAATTCAACTGTAGCCTTTTATGAAGATTTGGAGTACTAAAAGCTTCCATAAAATTGGAATTAGTTGATTTCCAGATTTTGGAAATTTTGTAATATTTAGCTACATTTAAATCATTGGAAACTAGTTTAGAGTACTTGACGGCATACTTCTGGCCTACATTTTTATTGCGGGTGCCTTGTAAAATTATTAGTTGTCTACTAATTTATTACTTACTCCGGCAGATTCAAGTCTTCCACATGCATCAACCTCCAGGAAACGACCTCACCCAAGTCCCTCGTCCTCTGGATCTAACTTAAAACGCATTTCGCTCATGGACCAACCTGAATTTATACCGGGATATTTGGCCCCTCAAATTTGGCCTCCTTCGACCGGAGATCCCATTGAATTTTACACCACAGACAACTCCAGATACAGATACGGCCATGGGCAAAAATACATCCACGTGCAGCAAATGTATCCGACTCCGGGTGATCACACGCCCGATGTATTGTTTCCCATTGAACAAATTGGTCAAGTGTGTCAAGCTTTTTACACGTTATGCAACACGATCCCCACACCGGAAGGGTCTGACGATAAGATAGTCGTCTTGGACGAGGGTTACTTAACTGTTAAAATTTGGGGGGAACGTGTCTCCCAATTCGATGGGAAATTTGCCATCGTGATGCAACACAAGAGGACCAAGAAGAAAGTCCAGTTTCTCCAGTCGCCTTGAATGTATTGTTACAATCGATTGGAATGGTTTCGAATAAGGTCGGTCGTGGGGGAAAGAGACGTCTTCTCGTCGGAAGAGGACCCCACTTCTGAGGAAGATGAGGAAGAAGATGATGATGCCAGTGGGGACGAGGGGGTCAAGATTCGGAAATTAGCGATGATACTGGAGACACTGGTACGGTCGAGGGGGAGGAGTACGTCTACGTAATATGTCTGCAGATGATGACTCTGATTAAGCAATAAATATCTGGTTATTAATTATGCAATTATGAAAAATTTTTCGCTGTGAAACCTTCACATGATAATAAATTTTATCGGTTTTTTTTAAATATTTGGTTCAGTGAGCTTTCATTTTTACTAATGTGCAAACTTAACCAATTCTTATTAGTCTATAGGACTTCATTTTTCACAAGTTTTATAGGAGTTTAAAAATTCGAAACTTATGAGAAAATATTCAACAAAACATCCATACTCCAAATAAATTGAGATAGACATAAATATGCAAAATCAGAATGCGTGTACGTACATATTTACTTACATATTTACATTTTAAATATGTACGTGTGTATTTAGAAGTCTCTATATATTCACGTTAGCAATTAGCATATTTTTAGCAACTTATGTACATACATAGGTGTGTATATGTGGATAGTGTAAAAATATATAAGAGATTTTCTATTTACTTGCATACGTATGTGGCTCAGTTTTTCTCAAGTACTCTCTAAAATTCGAAGTCATGGGGTAGATGAGACAGCTCAACTCTCCCAGTGGCGTAATTCCGTACGCCCGCAAACCAATTTTTGGGATTAAAATTTAAATAATTTTAAAACCAAATAAATATTATTTTGAGCATGCTTTTCAAGTTTAATCAAAATTGGATAATTTTTATTTTTCAAATTTTCATGTAACTGGCTTACGACACTTAATTTCCTGCCATTTAGGCTTCTAGATTTTTTTATACATGCGCCACGTAAGAGCCTGTTATAAGTTTTCTGATTTTTTGATATTTGAATTTTAAAAAACGTTTTCAATTCCCGATGTCAATTTTTTTATACCCTATTCTACAAAGTCAAAGGCATCTATTTTCAGAAATTTGACCTCGGGAAATGAAAACGTTTTGCGCAAATTGATCATCAATTTAGCAGAATTTAGCACTATCTTTTTACAAATTTCAAAAAATTGAAATATTTTGATGCATAAATTAGATCCTGATGAAAATAGGAATACAATGATATAGGACAGTATATAGTTTTGGTGAATGGTTTATTCGCAATTTGAGAGAAAAAATCAAAAAAACGAAATTGAAAATTTGCCATAATTTCGCCAAAAATTGAAATTTCGAAAAATGGGTTTAGGGTAATATTTTTCATCCCATACAGAATTAGTATAAAAAGTTTGAGTGCGATCGGAGATTTTGATGCGCTATCCATCGGAGTACTTGAGAAAAACTGAGCCATGTACATTCATCTGCGATGCAATTTTGTATGCAAAATTTATTTCCAAATCTTGAATGAAACGATAATTGAGGCATATTGAGACGCGATGTGCGATTTTGCTTCAGATATTCCCGATATTCCTCATTCCTCTCTCTTATACTCATTGATAAACAAAAATCAATCAATACATACACGCATATTAGTATGCAGATGTACTTCATAAATTGTAAATATGGAAATTGAAAACTCTATTTTCAGAACAATTTCGACTTTAAAATCAATAATTTTTTTTATAGAAAGTTAGTTACACAAAGGTGAATATTTTGGGGCGATGTGAATCATAGAGAAAGTTGTTGCGAAGTGGAGGCAAAGCGAATAACAGGTGATGAAATAATTGGCAACAAAATAATTGGATTTTCAAAATCTGAAGTTTTCACTCGGTTAATAGCTCATTCATTGATTTCTAAATTAATTGAAGCGTCAAACTCGTATCGTCAGGTGAAACGTGAAAGAAAGGTGAGTAATTAATGCAACAATTTAGGTCATTAATGGATCGTTATTTTAATTTTGGAAATAATTGAAATTGAAATGCTTTTTTTAGATCATAAACAATAAGTCATCTGACCAAAAGAAACATGAGGTCCACCCTGCTCATTCTAATTTTGACCCTTTCCGTCGTCCCGATCCATGCCAACTTTCATGACTTCATAGCAAAGTTATTTAAACCACCGAGTATGAAAGAAAATGGATGAAATTAAGAATTAGTAACCCAAAACTATTACGATTCTCATAATTTTTTTCTATTTTAGGCTACCGGATCCAATATTGTTACCAATGCATGGCCCTCGACTGTCGCAGCGATGACAAAACTTGTGAAGACGTCCGAACCTTTGTGATGCACGAACTTCGAACCTACTACGTCTTCAAGTACCTTCCCCCCTGTCCGCCAGAAGATGACAATGGCAGCGCCTGGTTGCAATTGTGGGTGGGCAAGCGCAAGTACGACAACGTGTGTAAATCATCCGGTATGAAGAAGGATGTCTGCACGGCGGGCAAGATACAGGTCAGATCGTCGAAAGAAGACTGCACGATCGTCTCGCATGCGACCGTGCTGGGCTGCGCGAGTGCGAAATTGGTGGACATCTTGGCAGCGAACATTATCATGAAGAATTCGTCCTGCCACGAGATTCCGAACTTGAAGGGGATAACTCAAGAATCTGGAATCCGACACGAGATGACTTTGAAGCACTGCAACATACCGGGAGCAATTTGCAATCACAAGGCTTACTGCGCCAATGTGACTCATGCCGTGGTTCGCGTTTGGAACGAGGGGGAAGAACTTATCGTGTGTCCTATGAAGACTGGAACGAAAATTGCAATTATTGCGGGCGTGGTCGGAGGGGTGATGCTGATTGGAATTGGAATTTGTATCTGCTTGTTTGTCATTTGTAGGAAGAGGAGAAACCGTTACGTACTAGGAAACAGGGTCATGGAGATTGTGGATTGCTCTACGCCGCTGGGGTGGCAGAGGTGAAGGAAGGGGGGATTTGGGGGAAGTATGTTTGAGTTTTTTTCTCTTGTTTTTGTTGACCAATTTTGTAAAGTAGTCAGATAATCGTTATTATTATAGTATTACAAAGCTCGAGGGTAGCTGCATTGAGTATTTATTTAACAAATTGACGAGATATCATCGTATAGGTTATAAAATGAAAGGATGGAAAGATGTCAAAATAGATATAAAATGTTTCTTTTTTGCTATTCATTTTTTATATTTTCTAGGGGTGAAGATGAATAATTGTATTAGTATAAGTAATGTTAGTGTTAATTTCTATTTCAAGTAATTTTTTGACTCTTAAAAACATCTAAAGCAATAAATCGCAGATGTTTGTCTTCCTGATCAAAACAATATGCTTTTACACTGTCCCTTTGTAAACTTACTTATTCTTAGAATTTTTTTCTAAACTTACTTAGGACAGAACTCCACTACATTACATATTCTGCTAAAAAGTATAATGCATAGTAAATACCAGATAGTACATATATCTAGTTTCATCCATAAACCTTTCTCCTTACTAAAAAAGGCAGCGTTTGCTTGCACTCTTTGATTATTTTTAACAATTTCCCTTAAGGCAATCGCTGCGTACCTCACATATAACAATGGTTTGAGCACATGCATCTTTTTGTGAACCCAGGTTAAGAATTTGTCTACCTGATGCTTTATTTATGCAATTTCGTAGAATTTTTACCGACCCATTAAATCCCTACTTTAAATAACAATTGTAAAAAAAGGTTGATGTTGACGTTAAAATAGACTCCAGAACTGAAATCTTGTTCACTCCTAACTTAACTTTTGACCAGTTAACACAACACAGACTTCCACAAAATACACAAAATGTCTCACTTTTCCCGCACCACACCCCAAATGCCAATGGCAGCCTCGACCTCCTCCTCCCATCGGATCCAAGTTCCCCTCCCAAATCCTGCAGGTACAGCTACGACTAGCCGGGCAACAATCAGACAGCTTCAAGCCATGTTGGAGCGACGAGGTCATCACATTAAGCGAGTGGAGGCGCCCTCACAGCAAGCATGTCAAGAGGAAGATCGGGCTTTCTGCGAGTGGCTGATTGGACAGGGGACGAGTGGATTGGAGAAGGTGTTCAATGAGGTCAAAGACGTTTCTTGTGGGGCTGGACAGCAACAACAAGGGCAAAGTCAACAACAAATATACAGAGGTTACGAAACTAGTCAGCATACTTATTCGCAAAATTGGCCACAAGTGAGGAACAGCTCCACAGTGATGCGACCCCAGCAGCAGCAGGAACCAAATTATGATAACTCGAACCACATTGGGATCGCGGATGCTGTGAATTTCAGCATTAATTTGTAGTGTGACTGGTATGTAGATAAATATGGAAGTAAATAAGCTTTCGTATAAAAAGTAGAAGAATTTTTGTAAGGTTTTTAATAATATTTTCTCATTTCTTAATATTGTACAGGTAATTCATCATTCGTGTTCGGTGTGCAAAGGAGGATGGAAATTCGACAAGGAAAATTATTATGGATTGGATAAATAGTTTGCGTATAGTTTTTTTTTATACTTTTTCTAAAAATTTGTGTTACGTAGTGGAGTTTTGTAAATATTGTTTCGTTAATATTCAATATCAAGATACGAGTAAAATGTAGAGTTTATACTCCCAAGCTTATTTTGTTGTAAAAATTGTATACCATTTTACTTAAGCAATAATTTGATATTTGCAATACTGATACAAGTGCGATCTTATCGCCCATATTTTTAACTCATAAAATCATGTTAGGAAATTTGCATAAAGGCAGTTTGCATATTTACATACTTAATTGCCTGCATTTACATACATATGTACGTAGATACTTGCATATGTAACTAGAGATTTGTACCAAAACTGTAAAGGAATTTTCTCATCTATGTGGAATTTCCCATAACCCCTCATTTTCCATTTCATCTCAAGTATGTAATTTACAGGTAAAACGTTGCAGGATCTAAGCCCAGAGTGAAACTGTTCATTATTTTGACGTAATTTCATCGCAAATAATACCACTTACAATTAGATATGTACATAAATAAATACATGCTCAGAATTACAATATTATAAATAATGATGTTCTACATATGTATGTAAATTTTAGCCAAAATCTAAACTGAAGGTAGACTAGTAAATGAGGTCATATTCCTAAAAAGTGATAATGCATTAACCGAGTTTGCATGTAAAACTTGTTATCAAACGTGTAAGTAAATTAATTTGAAATATTCGGGTTTCTTCTTCTTTAAGAGAATAACGGCGGTTGCAATCCCACCAGCAATTCCTCCCGCAGTCAAACCAACGACGACACCAAGGGGTCCAAAAATGAGACCGCCGGTAGCACCGATGGATTGAAAGGTGGAGAATGCGGAACCTGCCGCCACAATTCCACCCATTGTCGACTGCCAAGCCGCTGCAAGTGAACCTGCAACTATTCCACTCGTTCCAAATCCGGCAGCCATCAAACTTTAAACAATAAGTTTTCGGATTTTAAAGAGTTTTTCATGCTATAAAAATTTCAAATTTCGTAATTATTCAAGATAATTTGTAGATACCCCGCAGCTCCTAATAATGGCACAGCAAACGTCGCAGCGGCCGCCGAACCTAAAATAATTCCTCCTTTTTTCGACGCCTCTACAAATTTCCGGATACTAAATGCATTCGAAAAGTGTAGATTGGACAATATTATGGCGACCTGATTCGCATCAAGTTGATGGTGTAGAGCCAATGGTATCGGTGTACATAATTCATTTCTCTGAATGTTTTTCAAATAAGTAAATAAATCGTAAATTCCTCAATTTTTTTAAAAATGAACCCTTCGTTGAATAATTACGTATTCAATAAATAGGCACACTTACCAGACTTACAGTACTAACGCACATGATGGTTTATACAGATTTGAAATGTATGCACTTTTCTACTTATCAAGTTATTCACGTCAACTGAATAAAAGTACTTAAAATTGAGAAATATATATTTATGTTACTTGGAGCATTTGTATGTATAAAATTAAAATCACTCCCACAATTGGATACGTATATACATACGTATTTATCTATAGGTCGCAATTACTTGTGAAACGCAATAGCTTACAATATCGCTTATCGTTGTGTCTATCAGTATAATCCATAAAAGAAAACAAGCAAGTTTGCTAGCGATAAGCATATATTTATATTTATGTGTAAATATATTCGGAAATCAGGAAAATCGATTTAGGGCAGGATATCGATTGTGCCATGATGGTGAGATTTTCACTGTACAAATTATTTCAATTAAACATTGTCGCTTAATCGTAAATAGATAAAAGTATGTACATATGTATATGTGTAAGTATTTTTTGTACCATACCAATAAGTAATTAAATCACTTACCTTACTTAATTAACTACTTTTATTTAAACATTTAAGTTTCTATATGTTACTTTTTATTAATTACTCCAACGAATAAAGACATATGTACATAATTTGGTGCATATTAGTGATTATAAATAAATTGAAAAAAATAAAACTAAGGCGATAGGCGCTATTACAAACAAGAAACAAGCCCTCCCACCAACACCCCGTCTCGCCGTGGCCCCATTAATATTTTATATCTGGGGGGTGGTACCACAATTTTATTTTTCGTAATTCTTTCCTGCATCATACACAACGATTTAAAAAACCACCTATAATAGGGTATATATGCCACCATGGGTGCATGCATTTTCGTGATGGTGTCATAAAATTGTCACACAAATGTCGGAAATCAAACTACAAAAGCTGCTAGCTCAATTCTGAAATTTCTGAATGCAGAATGTATTTAATCATAGATATGATTCCCTAAGTTAAAAGTGGTTTTAAGAAGTAAATATTTCATTTTTTCTGCGACGGTTGATGAACCGGGTATATTCCAAACTTTTCAGCTACAATACGGATAGATTTGAAACTTTAGGATATTGGTTAAGGTATAGGTTTTCTTTAACCAAACATCTTTAATTAAAAAATGTTTTTATACATATTTGATCAAACATTTTACATAAGTGTTTCGGGGTTTTTAAGAATAGTATATTTATCAGGACTCTGTTGATTAATGCTAGACAAGTTTAAATTGGAATTAATGTAAGAACTGCAGATAATAGGCCTTAAAAGTGCAATGCAATATAAAATTGTAATATTTATCAATTTAAATACAGTTTACATTTGTAGTTAAAAGTTTGAATCATAAATTATGGTTACACCCCCAAGATATAAAAATATTAATGGGGCCACGGCGAGACGGGGGTGTTGGTGGGAGGGCTTGTTTCTTATTTGTAATAGCGCCTCTCGCCTTAGTTTTATTTTTTAAAATTTATTTATTCCTTATGAGAGTTACATATGTATGTATAGCCAATTGCGTACAGTTGACAGTATAATTATTTTAGTATGAATCTGTTGGCGACTTCCGTATTTTCACGACAGATCAAGTGAAAAACTAGGAAACTTATGTATGTACTTGTGAAATTACTTAAATTCGGTCGAATGAGTATATATATGTACATGTGCATATGTAGGTATGTATGCATTGAGGTCCTGTAAAGTTTTATGTATGTATCTATCAGTATATGCGTATCATTATTATACATAATTATACATAAAAAGATACAAACATAAATGCATAAATTACAACTTATCCAACATTTAATGAAAATTCTTGCGAACGAATTACACACTTCCTCGAATAAATTACAAAACTATCTACATGTATGTATCACCCACTTTGCAAAAATAAATACTTAACAAAGTATGAAACCATTTTCTGAGTATGAATACCAATGTCGTTTAATTATACAGATGTTCCTCCAATATTTGCGTAAGAATTCTGAATTATTATGAACTCAAACCACTACTGATTAGATTCTCATGTAAAATAATAATTTCTCAGAATTCCAGTCGCCTAACTAACTCTATGCCTTGATCAAATTCCAATATAAGTATTTCACGCAAAGAATTTCTCATCGAAGGTATGCACAAATTTCACCCTTACTTTGGCACCATATCGCACCAAAGTTCTTAGACAACCTTGTCATCAAATTTCGCATATGTCAAATACAGAATTGTTAACACTAATCTTTGCACTTCACCTGCACCACAATTTAGTCGCGACATCCTTCAAGCTTCCAGAATACTTTAAAGATACAAAATTTCAGTGTACCTTCACAGTCCAATCGTCTACAATACATTTGAACCATCTTATTCAACAAAATCCAGACTTCACTTTAAATAAACCGCTCGTTTTACCCCCAAATTTCTTTCCTTATCCAAACAAGCCGCCATGGCTTAGATTACACTGGTACGGTGCGCGACTAAAATTTTCCGCTAAATGCATGTTAATCTTAATTTTAAGTACTGAATCCATAATGTCGGGCAAATTGCCACTGATTAGCGGATTCGATCCAAATTCGGCCATAGTTATAGTCGTTCCTCATAGCGACCCTGATCAAGCCGTAATTCACTACATAACTTGGCACGTCACGCGATCCATAATGGTGGAAAAATTTGTAATTTCAGTGAACTTTAAGACTGCCACGATCATAAAAACCTGGGGCGTCGATGTATATCCCTTTTCCGTGTATAATATTGGATCAAAAAGAAACTACAAGGACTTGGGAGGCTCCCCCGTTCTAATTTTCTACCAGTGGCGGACAAATCGAAAACCGATGAGTAAACAAACAGCAGCGAAACAAGTGAGAATGGAACTTCGCCAACTTCCCAACAATTTTGAGCCGGTGAACCTTATCCTTCTCAACTTGGAAACGATGTTAAACTACACTTCAGAAATTTTTGACTGGAAAAATCAAAGGCCTCGCTTTTGCCCGGAAATTCACACGAGTGAAGCGCCCCTTCACCCCAACCTACGGGAAATGGAGCCCATGTCCATAATTATCATTCAAGAGGATGAAGTTACCTTGATGTACTGCACGAATAAGAGTGCACCTCTCGCGTTCACCGAATTTGTCGATATTTGGCTGAAATCCTTCGATTTTTACACCTGGGGCGGTTTACTTGGAGTCATCATAGTTTCAACTGTATTTTTTCGAAACTTTTATAGCGCAGGGTACACAGATGTTGTCGCCCTATTTTTTAAACAACCCGTTTCAGAAAGAAAATTTCATCCTTTGCACGTCTTGCTTAGCCTTGTTTTCATCCTGATCTTGGCGATATATGAAACCTGCATGACGAGTAAGGTTATCGCACCAGAAAGGCCGGTTGTCCTTAAGAATGCGGACGAGTTGTTGAACGCGGGTTATTTGATTTCGGAGGGAAACGTTCGTCTTGCCAGGGGCGGTCCAGCTGTGTTACAGTTTCCCTTGGCAATTCGCAAGTTAAACGAGTCAGAAAATTATGTCAGAAAAAATACCAGGGCTAGAATGGTAGAAAGAGCGGAAGCCTTTGCAAAGGCGACGGGTTCACAAGTTATTTCAAGTACGGGTCAAATTCAATACATGGTGGGACAAAAAATAGCGTGGGTTGCTTTGTCAGCACGGGCTAAATATTATTGGAGATATTGGGTGAAAAAATGGACGAATAATGTTGATTGCTACTCTGTTTCGGAACCCGTGATTACGAACAATCCCGTTGATTACGTGTTTGCAAAATTTTTGCATGAAGTTTTAAAAAGGGTGATGGTTCTGCAGTTTGAGAGCGGGTTGACAATTATTTGGGACAGGCTTTTCGGTGAAGAGGCCTATTTCAAGAGGAAGGCGCTGAGAATATTGGAATCAGAGGTGGAGGAACCCGTGAAAGTGTTGGCGGTGGAAAAATTGGAATTCATTTTTATTGTGTTTGGAATTTTGATTGGGATATGTACTAGCGTTTTTTGTGTGGAGGATGTTTATGTGAGAAGAAGGCTAATTATGTACATAATGTATGCCAAGTGGTATAAGGGATTGTGGATAATTCGAAATGTGGCGAGACGTTGTCGTCAGGTTTTTTGTTCAGAAGTAATTTAGGAATACAATGGAGGTCTTCTGACGCATGCTCTCAGATTTTGATTAAATTAGTGTAAATCGGTTACAAATTTAATTAACATGAAATTTGCAGAGGATCTATCAACGCTCAGCTTTGACAGAGATATATATTCTCAACCGAGGAGAAGAAAACCGGAAAATTTTGCGCGTTCGAAACTTTTACGCGTTTTATCTCTTCGATATGCATTTTACAGATAGTTTTTTTGCAAATGTCATTAATTACATTTGTTATCGATGGACACTAATTTGGTCAAAATCGGGGAAGCGCACCGTAACCTCGACTATGTATGTTTGTACATACATATTAGTGGATGCATCATTTAAACGATCTAATGTGTGTTCAATTATCTAAATAATCTATGTTACATATTTCATAGGTACATAAATCCGTATTAGATATTTATACATATACTAGCGTATAGCCCGGCCAAGGCCGGGTTCTAGAGTTCCAGTGGGGGGTGTGCCCAAAGCGAAAAATCCGTCATACTATATTTTAAATAATTCCCAGTGAAGACTTTGTCATACTACATACATACATCAGACTGAGGGTTTGCCAAAGTCATACTGCATTTTAATTAACCTGGTCACAGTAAAATTTGATTTCCCTCTGTGGGAGTAGTTGAATAGCTAATTACTTAAATTCCCGTCGCGTGGGAGTAACTGCATAGCTAACTATTTAAATTCCCACGCTTCACGCTCCCGTTAAGTTCCATAAACCCCGTTAACTTCTACAATTAACGCCAAGCTATTGACGGATTCGGATTCAGCGTCAAAAATACATTCGAATTGATATGCGACATCACGAATAAGCCAGATTTGGACACCACGGTCACGGCGAGGTCACGGGGGCCTCGCAGGTCAAAACCATTAATGGCGTTGGATTCAGCGTCAAAAATACATTCGAATTGACATGCCACTCGCTGTGGGTAGAGTTTCTCAAACTAAAATAATTAATTAATAGTGTTTATCACGATCACTTATCATGATAACCACTATTGATGAGTGATGTATGTATGTGGGGTGTACATGTTCATGTATTCATTTATTCATGCAGTGCAGTGCATGCATGCAGTGGTTGCTCCGCTTCCTTCTTTGTCTACTGTATGGGGCAATTTGCATTGCGAAGACGGACCCAGGGACCCAGGGATCATACTAACACTTTATTAGAGTACACAGAATATAGATTCTACCAGAAGAATCGATCTTATGTATTCTAGTGACGCTTATGGAAGAACGGGGAGAGCCAACCAAATAACTCGGTGTACATTTGGCCCACCTGGGGGATGGCACCTCCGCATCATCATCATCACCACATCTCCTGGCATCAAGAAATGATGATGAAAGCACATAGGTGGCGGTGGCACCCCGATTTGTGCAGCAGAACACACCATTCTGAGCTACGTCTCCACAAATTTGGTGCTCTACGAGGGTGTGTTCTGCTGCACAAATGGGGGTGCCACCGCCACCTATGCGCTTTCATCATCATTTTTTGATGCCAGGAGATGTGGTGACGATGATGATGCGGAGGTGCCATCCCCCAGGTGGGCCAAATGTACACCGAGTTATTTGGTTGGCTCTCCCCGTTCCTCCATAAGCGTCACTCGAATACATAAGATCGATTCTTCTGGTAGAATCTATATTCTGTGATTAGAGTAGATTGTGGTAAGTCTTACTTAATCTATGCATTGCATTGTAAATAAATATGTATGTACATATGTAAAATATTGGTAAGTAGCTTGGTTGGACGTTTCGAATTATTTTCTTATGCTAAGAATCTTAGCACTACTACAGATATGACAAGGTTGTTTATTTGTGAATAAATATTCGTTTAAGAAATATATTTAGGCAGTATATACTTATTCCTTTATTTTCATAGATCTCACGACCAGTTTGTCAAATGATTTATTTATGAAGTATGTAAATATATGTACATGTACATACAAGTGCACTATGTACGCAGAGCAGAATACATTTAAATAGGATTGCTAGTTTTATTCCGACATAATTCTATTCGATCATATAGAATAATCTTGGACCATTCAGGTTGGATGAGATTATAAAAAATTGGTGTAGGAAAAAGATCGGATAAATAGGATAAGTTTTCCAATTCATCCTGTTCGGTTTTGCCTGAAGATGTCAATTACATATGTACAAAGTGCAATGTGAGATATGTGACTCGATTGTACATATCTGAGGAACTTATAAATACATATTATGCATTCAAACTGAAATCTTATCATTTTCGATAGCTTTGCATACGATACAAGTAAATATAAAGTATAATTATTTTGTAAAAATCCCTCGAGTACTCAGATAAATGCAGATCTGTATGTATTTAAGTATGCATAAACGTACCCAAATAATGTCGTGATAAGATTAACAAAATTGTCATGCAAAACGTTTTGCGCAGTGACGAACTGTATTTACTTCAAACAAAGTAATCGCGTCACCCACCTGTTGACACTCCAAAACTGGAGAAAGTCTGTTTTAAAATGCTGAACGTATCTTGTGCTTCAATAAATTTTAAATTAAAACGCATCTTAAAAATTCCTCAATCTGCCGAACAAATTCAAACGTCGTCAAGTTCCTTAAATACCAGATTTCTGTTTAGAGGATTCCCTTCTGGAAGTGACCCCATTCCTCCCACTCAAATGAGGAATGTAAGAAATCAACCTGTGCTAACTGCTAATACTGTAAAGGCTGCAAACAGGTTTCTTGAAGGGTTGTAAGTTGACTAATATAAATAAATACATTCCTATTAATAAAACCCAACCCCGCGGGTTTTTCCGGGGTTTTTGGGGTTTTTGTGGGTTTTTGGGTTTTTGTGGGTTTTTGTGGGTTTTTGTAGATTTTGGGGCAGGTTGAACCAAAATTCTTTAAATTATATATTAGATAAAAAGTAATTTAATATACGATTTTGACATGCAATTTTAAGCGTTATCATTGAGTTGGACTGTTAAATCGAAAATTCATATTTCGCATGCAAACTTGGAAATATGCAATAAAACTTGGAAATTCAAGTCGCACATGAAAATTCTCAAAATTTCATGATGAATCCGTCAATTTAATTAGCATTGATTTAAGTTGTAGTTTAAGGGAGTTTGTTTCAATCTGTCCCAAAATCTTACAAAAACCCCGGAAAAACCCACAAAAACCCACAAAAACCCGCAAAAACCCCATTAAGCATTAGGGTTTTTCCGGTGATTTGACACCCCAAAAACCCACAAAAACCCCAAAAACCCCAACCCACAAAAACCCGGGGTAGCGAACCCTGGTAGTGATCCAAATATTTAGTCTAACTCAATTACAAATACAATTTGCTTACTTGACGAAGGACGCTGGACGTGTTTCACTCTGCCGGAAATCCAAACGTGGAGCTTCGTCTCTACTCTGACGCCGTATATCCCCAATCTTATTGTCAATACTGTAATAATCCGGCTATTCCGACTAACTCACAAAATCAAAATCATATACGCCTCCAAGACATTCGAGATGTGCTAATATGCATAAATTTTGAAAACAAAGGAGAAACCTCTGCAATATATGAAGGTATTAAAATGCATATTTATGTATATAACATATGTATTTATTTATGTTCATATTTATTTGCCTAGCTTCGTAATAGTATCAATTCCGTGTATATACACCGTGTATATACATATCTGTACATACACATGTACCTAATATGACTTTTAAGGATTATGTACATTTTAAGAATGTTCATATTTTTCAGTTCGTGGGGATCCGTCAAATTGTCCGATTCCAAATCCTTTGTGTCCCTGCAATAATGAGAAGTTTTGCCTAAGAAGGTCCCTATGCCCGCTTAACATTTTCGAAAAATATGTCCAGGGTCCAGGTCCAGATGGTCAATTTGTATCTTGCTTCTTTGAGCGGATCGATTTTTGCACTGAACCACACGTCCCCAGCGCCGAGGACTTTGAAGAACCACTCGCCCTCTTGGACAGCATGATGAACAAGAAGAGAAAGCTGTCCAATGATGACAAAGACTTCACTTTAGTCTGTGCCAACACGGGGAAAGAATTTGCATGCCATAAATTTATTTTGTCCGCCCACAGTGACGTTTTCGTCGCCATGTTTGCATCTGGCATGCAGGAATCGGAGACAAAAACGGTGGCATTGGCTGGTATTCAAGAGGCGACGGTGGACGCCCTGCTGGATTTCATGTATCAGGGTGGACTTCAAATCCCGTTTTCTAGAAGTGACATAGCCCTCGAGCTACTCGAACTGGCCCATCAGTACGAAATTCAGCCTTTGGTCAATAAACTGGAACAAATTTTGGAGAATGAGGATCTTGAAAAAATTTCGATATCAACGGCAATCAAGATGTTTTCGTTTTGTGTAAAGTTGGAATACGCGGATCAATTTACGCTGTTGGGGGATAAAGCGGTTACGATAATTAAAAGGTGACTCACGGATATTGAAGTGTGGTAAAAGCTAGTTATAATAATTAGTATCACTACTTTTCAGAAATGTTAGCATTTTGGAGGATCAGCCAGATTTTCGAGATCTCTTTGTGGAAAATCCATCCCTGGCGAAACAACTCTTTGTCAGGGTCTGCATGGCATGAGCGAAATAAGCAGGATTAAAGTGTATGACCCTTGGTAGATAACTCAGTTTATGCATTTCCATATAAATTGATTAACTTGGTAATTACAATTTACGTGTAATTAATGTTTATTTCACTTTCGAAATACTTTTAACAGGCAAGAATTGTATAGTGCAATGCTCAATATTTCAATAAAATCTGCGAAATCTATATAAGTTTAATTATATAATTAACAATATATCCCGTTCTAATTAAATTGTATTTCATAGACTTTATAAATTAAGTTTTCATTTCATTTTCAAAATTTTGAAAACCTAATGCCGATAATTTGACCCATCTCCAGTCCTCTGCATTCTCTTCTCGATGACATGTGGCGGCACAGTTTTTCTCCCATACGCCAGCCCAAGCCAGGCACACGTGTCGATGAATAAAGTGCTCGTATTGTAGAGGTGAGTTCCATACTCGGACGACTTGTAATCCTAAGGAAAAAAACAGCTATGTGATTACTCGTACATATGTATATGTTCATATTATTATATAGCATCTGTGTGGGTATGAAGTGTGTAGGTAAGAAATGTGAAGTTTTGGAAGATACCATGTGTAGGGTATGAGCTGTAAGGAGATTAAGTGTCGGGGGATAAAATGTGTAACGTATAAACTATATATGAGGTGAGGAGATTAAGTGTGGTAGGATGAAATAAATATGTATGTAGGGTATGAATGAACTGGGATAAACTGTGTGGTATGAAATGTGGGGGGATGAAAGGTTGACGACGAATTGTCCGGATACATGCCATAGGGTAACTGTGGTGGAAATTATGCCAGCCCTCCCCCCGGATAAAAGTGCGACGACCATGGTTTCCGCTGGGGATATGTTCCTGTCAAGAAATTTTAAAAATTTTAATTTGAATGAACCGCATAACATACATTACAAATGAATTGGTAGCAAATTTGTGCTGTAAAAATGGGGCTTTGCGTAGCGTAATTTGTTATTAAATGCCTTGAAATCTGTCGCACTTCAGGGAGAAATTGTTGATCACTTTAATTTGAGTAAGTTTGAGCTTAAAATTTGAGCAAGTTGGCGACAAAATATTTTCAAACTTGATAAACAGACTTCCAAGTTAGAAGTTTAAAAAATAGCGAGTTTAAATATTTATTTTCGACTCACTTATCATACGGTCTGACGCCATACAAGTGTGCCCACGAGTTGACAAGGAACGTCATATGGAGACTGACCACGTATCGGACAATCACCATGACGAAACCGTTGTGGAAACTTTCTCCCCAAAAATACCATGGAACCAGCATGGGTCCAATGAAGGCGAGAATGGCTGCCAAGATTTTGTAATGCCTGTATTGAAACATGACGATGGGGTCATTTTCGAGGTCGGAAAGGTCGAGACGTTTCCCTTTGGCGATAACGTCGGGATGTTTGCGAACCATGATCCAGCCGATGTGGGCGAAGAAGAAGCCACGCGAGGCGTTATGTGGGTCACTGTCCGTTTCCGAGTAAAGGTGATGAACTCGGTGGTCACGAGCCCATTCGTAGGCCGAGTTCTGGTATGTGGTAAAAATATATATGGTTCGATTAAGGGTTAACATAAATTGCATATATCACACAAAAGGACACATGAATATTTTACCCACTTACATATCATAACACCACGCTTCTAGATATATGATTATACATTGGGGGTTTGAAAATCTCGCAGATTTATGGTTAGCCAATCAGCATAACTTCCTGTTTTTTTTTTCGGGGAAATTTCCAGCAAAATGTCTATTGGAAAACCATGTGTTTGTAGATACGATTCGACCATTTGGATCTTTTTATACGAACATCGGATTGAATCTAAATATGTTACAGTAAATGGTCGGATAATCGGGTCGGGTCGAAAAGGAACGGGTTAACAACACTGGAATTTGTGATTTCATACATACATAATACTTATTAACCCAGTAATTGTTCATGATTTTAAAGATTATTTGCTTTATGATTTGCTAATCAGTTGCGCTACTCAATATTTAGGACGACGACGTGAATACACCTAATAGAAAATGGCGCAATACAAATCGCACGTACATTTTCTTGTAGTATTGCATTAAATATGGAGATAAACACCAAAGGGTACTTATATTTTATTTTGAAACTTTGCTCAACTTGATTACCTGCCCACTTATCGTCTGCCACCAAATCAATAGTAACGTCAAAGGAAGCTTGGTCTTGTACGATCTGTGCGACCAAAGTCGGTGTGCTCCTGCATGTGCTCCAATTTGGGAGCATAGCCCATAAATCCAGGTAAAGATGAGCGTCCTCCAACCAACTTGGCCGGAAAGTATGAGATAAATTCCGTACAGTGTGGTCAAGTGGCTCCAAATGATATTAATTGTTGGCAGGGGAGCTATTCTTACTCGGTATTCGGACCGTTGCAACTCGTGTTTATCTTGAGGCTCTGTGTTACTCTGGGTCTGGGTTTCCGACATTTTCAGAAATATTTAAAGGTGGGACGATTTTAAAATTCTATATTATTTAGAAACCGATCGGAAATGTACCTAAGTCTTGACTGAAGTTGACATATACATATGCATACACATACATATATGTAAATAATTAGTTAATTTAAAAGATAATTGAGATTGGATAATTAAATACTGATTTGCAAAGTATAATATCCATTCATTGATAAATATATGACTTGCATCCCTCATCGACATGTCGTTTATGAGTATTGTACAGCAGGTCTTAAGTCAATAGCTCATGACGAATTTGTAAAGAATAAAACGAGACTTTGCACGCGTACTCGGATATTCACTACAAATGAAATATTTATTCACTTCAAAAAATCCAATCAAGAAAATAGTAATAAAATCGGTAATAAGGTGGAAGCTAATTTAAATACATATTGAAAGGAGTATGTACATTTGAGAAGAAATAATTCACATTTAATTGGTTTCTGAGTGCATAGAAACAAGGCGAGACTGCTTAACACATTCATTTAACTTGTCTCAATTTAACTTTTCCTACGATTTTGTACGTACCATTGATTAACCTGATTAATTTCATCAGGTTAAGACGAAGCATGTCATTTCATTAAGTGTATCACCAACGTACAAATTTGGATTAACTCCATGCAATAAATAAATAAGCACATTTGTATTCACATGCATGCGTAATTACAAATAGTTGAACAAAATCGGTTTATTCATCTTTTATGTAAAAGGTTCTCTCCTCAATCAATTTAAAAAACGAAACTTCCAAGCTTTGGTAACTATTTTATTTAATTCTGAACAAAAATTGATAATTAAAATGACACGGTTCAGATATAGGTACTTATGTCAATTATATGGCACGCTGATGACAGAAATAACATTTAGTGTCAGAGCTCGAGTAAGGATGGAGTCTCCCGTAGGAGGAGCTGTACTCATTTATAACGAGTCCTGTTAACGTCCCACTTTCAAAAGATATTCCGTCCGCGAGATACTCGCCGTTTCCCAACCATCTGTAAGATGTCGCCGAGTTGACAACCGACGCCCCTGTCCAGCAACGATCTAGAAAAGAAAAACTTTCATTCAAACGGTTCAAGTTATTTTAAGAAGATGGTTTAATTGACGAATGGGATGGTAAAAATCAACTTTGTCTAAATAAATATGACCAAATTATCTGCTTACCGGCTGGGGTGCGTTGAGCGACAAAGTCGATTTCGGCCTGATTGGCAAATTCGGCCAAAGTCATTCCCATATTGGTACAACTAGTTCGGGCATTGGTTTGGGACAACTGCGTAAAATAAATCAGGTTTTTTTCTCTATGAATGTAAATATTTAACTACTTAATAAATTAGGAGTAGAAACATTACTACAACACTGTCGAAGTAAAATCTCTTAGTCCCAAGCTGCCCAATGAAAATGATGGCTCGGTATTTTCTCAAAGTTTCTTCAACTTCTGGGGTCAACTGGCCTGAATTGTGGGTCAAATTTAGAAAAGTTGCATTTGAAATGTTTTTTCTAGTTTTTTACTCACCGATAGCTCTATCAGCGACTGATTCAAGCTCTGGGGATGATTCTAGCTCAATAACTGCCCCCATGGCGACTCCCACGAGAAGGAGGATAGTGGTTAGTACGATTCGGCTCATAATTATACAAATATTTAATTGTTCTTCAACTCGTGATTGGATCGATTCTGGTTTTACATTCGGAGACAGGAAAGGTTTATATAGGGGAAATTAAGCATCACACCGGATGGTTTAATTACCTAACAAATCTATAATTAAGTATCAGCGCATATCATTCCCAGGAATCATATAAGATACTTATGTAACTTTGTTATTGGGAAATTTAATCACCTCATCCACTCGAGATGTGACAAATAACAGAATTTGGACCAAAATTCAGTGAAACCCAGCAACGCTGTTTCATAACGCGACACTTGAAGTGGATGTCATAATAAATTTATATAACTGTACGTTCTATTTATTAGGCTCAGAATAATTTTGACATCGTTACGTCAAGTGGGTAAATTTTGGTGTCCAATAATGCCTATCAATTGTGTGTGGTCAGTTTGATTTGAGCCGATTAGTCACTTTAGGACGGGTTGACATTCCAGAGTTGTGTTCTGGGCTGACGTACATATGCATGTACACATCTATGTATAAACAGATACATGCATAGATACCTACAGGTGAAAATTAACTATTAATTGTCGTAGAGAAAAATTTCAGAGAATTGGTGACATTGACAGCGATAACGGATTTATGTGAAAAATTAGTTTGCCAAGATCAGTTAAGTCATTCCCAATCACTCTTTTGATAATCGACAGTCGACATCATTTAAAATATGCATATTTCATAGCGGAATGATGTAATTCTTCCGCTTGTGAACATATACGTAGCTTGGTAACTTATTAATACTTTGTGTGTATTATTCTTGAATTTAATTTGAAGATAAAGAATTAAATTTGTAACATGCTGTACTAGAATTCGGGTTGATTTATACAGGTATAAGTACATAATCAATACCTAAATATATACATACACACACTAATTTGGAGGAATAATTAAATACGCAGTGTTCAAACAAGGTGACGTTATTCTTCAGTTGGACATGGAGTTGATCACAATACCAATTTTTTTGCTGCTCGTTGCAACCTCAGCGGAGGTCGAAAGCAGGCAAGATTCTGGTATTTGTCAACCTTAATGATCGTGGATTTTCATTACGAGTTCACATGTTCACATCGTAACTTAATTTACAAAACATTTTGGGAACTAAATAAACCTTGAAATTGCATAAATTCTCAAAATAATTTTTCAAGCCAAAATTTTTGCGAATTTACCAGCGTTGTTTTTCTACTAACGATGCGAACTCGTAATGAATACCCTCAATGATTTGCATTAAATTGAATAACAACTCGCATTAAGTTAAACCCTGTAATTTTTCTTTAACCAGAATGTACCCGGCCAAAGCAGAATGCACCATTCTCCAAAGATCTGTTCTTTCTGGGACGTTATGGCTTCAAAGAATTTTACCTGAGCCACACTCTGGTACACATATATTTACGGTACATTTTTTTTCGTGAGAAATTCTAAATTTTATCAAAATTTTGTACAACTATAGGTAACCCAAACCGAGGCGGCGGCACGATGCAAATTATCAGATATGAACCTGGCCGTGTTTCTTACGCAAAAAAGTCTCGATTTCGTGGGGAATTTGACAGATATGGGTAAGTCGACAAATTTAAATCAGAGTGAATTTCATGAACCAATTATTCCCTTGCATAATTTCCCTAAATATTGGGGGTATTCATTAGCAAGTTAGCATCGTTAGGAACACTAGCAAAAACCAAAGTTCGCGAACATTTTGGCTTGAAAATTCATGTGCGAACTTGTGCATTACCAAGGGTAATATTTAATTCGCAAATTTGTTTTATAAACTTATGCTTGGATTCGAATGTGCCAATCCCTATATACTGAATACCCCCAATTATTCTGCTGTTGACATGATGGTGACATTTTGCATGGGTCGATCAGATTTATGCTGGACTGACGGGGTCCTCGTGAATGCGGCGACGTCGTACAAATGGTTGTACAGTGAAGACTACTTGAGCGACGAGTTCGCTTTCGAGGAAGGGACGCACATTGGATTAAGACTTTTGAAAGGCAAGGGGACCTCAAGTCTTACTCCGGGTGGAAGCATGCAGTCGCATTGTTACATCTGCTACAAGTGGTTGGCTAATGAAAACCCATGAAATTTCGTTAAAACATATATATCAGATCGAAATAAATATGGTACAAATTTTTGCAAAGATTTTTATTTTACTTTAAGGATTTATGTAAGCACTTTCAACTTAAAAAATTTATAGATTACTCTGAGCGAACTCACGACAAAAACAAGCTTATTTTCTAGGTAAACTTGCGAAGAAGATTCAATTATTTCCACTAAAGGTTTTGTGAAATATCGCATATTTTGTAAGCATTATAAGATATTTTGTTATACGTAATTTGCGAAAAAATCGAGATATGCGAAGGTTGTCGTGAGTACGCTCTATTAAAAATAAAAAAATGTATTAAACTGAGGACAAGATATTAACCCTTAGCCGAGGAAAAACGGTAACTATGTTTGGCGTTGCTGCGTGGTCATCGAAACGATGACCACAATTGTGATCATTCGGGAAGCCAAAAAATAATTAAAATATCGCAAGTTCTAAATCTGGGAACTTTTAATATATGAGTTGCTTAGATTCGGGAGGATTTTATAAATGCTCAATTCGGGAGAACGGCAAAACACGTTAGGAGAAAATTGACTGCGGGACAACGTCAATAAATATCATATTTTAAATGATGAGTATTAAAATTTACGTGTAACATTGTAAAGCAAAGTTGCATGATAATTAGAGTCAAGAACTATGACTTTGGTGCAAAATTATGACTATGCAAAACTACTCAAGACATTTGTAAAATAGAGCTATTGGTCCCAAACCACACATGTTTGTGGATCTACATAAGGTTTTTTTTTAACTTGGATCAAGAGTTCTGACTAACTATATGCATTCATTTGGTATATTTTAATTTTTAAATGCAGCCAAGACCTCAATCTAGACGAGGAGATCAATTTGATAATTTATGAGTTTGATAGAAGGTGTATATAACCCTTTATTTATTGGCGACGCTGGTTTTACCTCATATTTTGTATCTTAAATAATCCCCTGAACCTATATAAATTAGCTGAGATAGTTGGTGTACTAACTAAAATATTTGTCGAGCTTCTGGGAAAACCCTAAACTAATTTCTCCCACTAGTTTTTCATCAACGTTGAAATTTAGCAAAAATGAACATGTCCTGGCAAAATCAAGATTACACGAGACGGGTGTGGTTTGGCCTCAATAACTCTTCGTTATAAATTTCTTGAATAGTTTTAGCAGTTAGTAAACCAGAGTCAAAAATTTTACATGCAACCCATCCTATGCAAAGTAGGGGCGAAGTTATATGAAAGTGACCTAGTGTTACCACGGACGATTCTGAACCAAGGCCCTAATAATTTAAGTTTTTAGTGCCAACGTGTTTTACCGTTTCCCGAATCAGCTAAATAATTTTTACCACGGAAATATCCGTTGTCCCGCACCTGACATGGAAACGTGAAAACGTGAAAAGCCGTTGACCCCGAAGGCAGAGACTTTTTTTGTGAACGGCTTTTCACGGTCTCCCGAATTAAAGCAAAAACTCTAAAACGTTTTTAAACGGTCTCCCATGGCTAGGGGTTAAAGAAATGGCTAAAAAACAAATTTTAAATTGACGTCCAAATCAGGATTTATAGCTGCCGGTAGATACGACATGGTTCCGTTCATTGTTCCCTTTAATGTTCCTCGGACGTCAAACTGTAGCCTGGGTATTAAATAGTGCGTGATTAGTACGGCTTCCAGCGCACCGATAATTAAGATTGCCAAGAGAAGGAGGAAGAGTGCGCAAGCGATAAAACTTCCCAAGCGAAGGGTACATTTTGAGCCTCGGATCACGATGAATTTCTGATTTGAAGACTTCCTTTTAAGGAGAGGTTGTTGATGTGAGGGCAATTTTGGGAGGGATAAGGGTCCATTTGCAACTGAAATGTTGGTAAATAGAGAGAAAATTAATCGAGAGACAAAACTCTGTCCTGATTACCCTGACTTCATACTATATGTAAATAAACAAAAGAATTTGCTAAGCAGATTATAAAGCCTAGACTTTGTTATCCCGAATATCTATGAATGTATTTTAGATTATGAATAAGAATATACATACTAGAATAATTTAATAATTAGTTTACAGATCTGTAATTCAACAGAATTTGGTACAAAATTGCATGCAATTCACCATGAATAATAATGCTTACCTAAATCATGTTTCTCTCCATGGTCCATGTTTCCAGCAAAGAATAAGTTTCTTAGCCTTAGAATCTCAGGTATGAACCAATATATGACAAGCGAATGCGAAATAATTGTCGTGTCCTTTTCTCGGCCTCAACTTGCTGAGTGATTCTTATTTTATAGATTTTAGGGTTTATCAAGAATTTTTAAATATGTAAACGCATATGTATTTGTGAACGTCGTTGGGAACGATGGGAAGCAGGAAACAATCATGTGCTTGATAAAAAAGGTTATTCAGCAATTTGTTCCAATATGCAGAGGCGTGGTTAATTAATTACTGGTACTAAGCCAAGTGAGTGCGGACTAAAAATTGCGGAAAATCCGCATGTTGCAAACTTTTGGAACAAGGTAAAAAGCGAACACAGTTTGCTAGATTTGTGAAGAATGAATGGATTGCGAAATCGATGTTGGTTGCGACTAATTGAATCACAAACATTATTTAAGACGCTTAAAATATACATACTCGTACGTACAGAAATATCTTGCGTGCACATAATAAGTGTGCACGTACTCCAACAATCTATTCAGGCAAGGTAAGTCGGCACATTTGAAATCATATATGAACTAATCTGAAGTATAATCTTAAAAATAGTAGCTCTGCATTTTCATGTGTGTAATTAAGTACAGAATAACCTGAAACTTTAAAAAAGTATATAATTCTTATGTATGCAAGTGTAAACGAAGTCTATACATGTATACATCAGTTTGGTGGGTATCTTTACGTGGGAAATATTAGCTTTACTTGCAGAATTATGCACAGAATAGCCTGAAACTTTGAAAAATTACATAATTTTTATATATGCACATATTTATAAGCTAATCTTAACAACGTGGGAACAAAAACTTGCTGAATCGTAGAAAATCCATGCATGTATGTACAAATATGTAAATCTATTTTTCATTTTATTGCCGTACTACTACGATGTCGAATATTCACCCAGCAAAGTATCTAGATATGTACCTATTTATATGGAATTGAGAGGTACAAAGGCATAGGAATGTTCATGTGTACATTTACATGGAAATTATGAAGTGAGTGAATGAGCCGAAGAAGCAAATAAAATTCATTCATTCTTGTTAATTTCATTATGAGGAAAGCCGACAGAATGTGCGTATTTATTTAAGCTTACCGCTTTTTTTATTTAAAAGCATATAACATGGTCACGTGAAGCTAAAATTTATAATGAAGTTGCGGATATTTCACTGTTACTTATATACTTTCATGAAAACTTGGAGAATACTTTGATCAAAGTTTCCACGAGAAATTTTCAATTCTAACATAGAATTGTGTTATGGCAATATTTGCGCTGGCTTATCAGCAAAAGCAAAGGTAATATGTTTATGTATCAGACTAAAATTACGTAAATACTGCATCTAAACACATACAAACCTTAACCTACATAGTAAGGTAGAAAAATCGCCCGTGGGTTACATAATACGATCATAATGTGTAATATTTATCTTTGCTTTAATGATGTATACGTTTCAAAATTATTATAAGTAATTAGTAGATTGCTGAGTAAAATAAAATTATAAAATTTACCTCAGAATCGAGGACAAAAGTTAATATAGTTAAAAAACGAATTCTAAATTCACATCCAAGTCTGGATTCAGTGCTGTGGGTAGATACGACATGGTTCCGTTCATGCTGCCCTTCATTGTTCCTCGGACGTCAAACCGTAGCCGTGGTATTATAAAATTCGTGATTATTATGGCTTCGATGGCACCGATGACTAAAATTGCCAGGAGGAGGAGGAAGAGGCCGCAGATGATAAAACTTCCCAATCGAAGGGTGCATTTTGAACCTCGGATCACGATGAATTTCTGATTTGAATTCTTCTTTTTAAGGAGGGGTTGTTGATGTAAGGGCAACTTTTGTAGGGATAAGGGTCCATTGGCACCTATAATGTTGGTAAATATAAATAAGGAGAAAATTAATATAGAGACAAAAATTGAGCTATTGTTTTTGTTTGAAGTTGATATTTTGTTCCAGGAAAAGTTTTACTATCGTTAGTAAACGGAAATTATTACGTATATACTGTTTGATCGTTAACGATTACATATAATTTATATTTGGTACAGACTCGTTTAAGTATTGATAGTTCAGTACAACAGGCGTCCTCAAGGCAACTTTTCCATAGCTTGAAAATATCAAAAGCAGCGAAATTTGCCAGATTTCGAAAACTCTCGAATTTTTGTTCTTACGATTATTATATTGCCTATTTCGTATGATAAGATCATATTGACTTGGTTATCCAGAATTCTAGATATCCTTCCATGATTACAGACTATGTAAGTTGGTTATTGATTTTGAAAAAATTGCATGCAATGCAATCAAATAAGAATTAATAATATTTACCTAAATCTTGTTTCTCCCCATTGTCCATGTTTCCTCAACAAGAAATAATAAGTTTTCTGATGTAGGTATAATAAATTAAGTTAATCCGAAAAGGCGAAATAATTATGATCTTTTCTTCTCGACCTCAACTCATTGAGTGATTCCTAGTTTTGCATTTCAGGATTTAACAAAAATTTTTAGGCATAGACATCTTAAAAAATATGTACATGCAGACATATGTGTGATTAAAATATGTACATATGTATACGTACGTTGGGAATGAAGTGATTGCGACACTGAGATCATTTTGCTCCAGGTGTAATGGAATCCCTGAATTTGTAAGTACATATATGCATGACGTACATAAAGACTGTGATAGATTTTTGTATAATGTTGACCCCGTATGCCCATGATATAATTAACGCATGTTCATATGTATACAAGCAGTGAGAGCATGCCTTTACCTCAACTTTTGCCCCTTTAAATCAATCGCATCACTTCTGCATGGTCCATACCGAGATCAGTCGGAAGGTTTGGTTACCTCTGAGGTCATAATGTTTAGTAAGTAAAGTGTAAAATTGTACAAAAACTGGACAATTGTTTTATACAGGAAATCATCGTGTGCGTGTTCAAAAAGGTAAATCAATAATTTATTGCAAGTTGAAAAGATGTGGTTGGTTGGTTAATTACTTTCTTACTCGTGTGCTAATGGCATGTTCGTGTGGAATCTTGCTCAACCAAAATTGTGGAAAGTCCGCAAGTTACATACTTACGGAACAAGGTAAGTACTTAGCCCAGCAAAGATAGTTTGCCGGATTGGTGAGGAATTTATGTAGGTATGTTTAATGATAGATTGTAAAATCGAAGTTGATTATACTCATTAAATCGTAATAGTTATTGAAGATCATTGCAATATTCAGGGTGAGGCGTGATAATTATTCCTCTAAGGTAAGACGGATTTAAGGGCCTAATTTTCCTGATGAGATTATTTTATCATTAATTCACTAGTAAAGTCGCATATTGCAAAGTTTTCATGGTTACTAATTATGAAGGAAATCTGACATCTGACTTTGTACATATATAAGTAGTCCATTTCAAACTACTTATCTTAAAAATATTAGCTGCGCATATGCATATAATTAAATACAAAATAACCTGAAACTTTTTAAAAACTCATATAATTAATATGTACATATAAACTAAAGACCTAAGTGCAAGTCTGCACATCAGTTTGGGATCTCTACGTGTGAACAAAAACTTGCTCTTTAGCAAGTTTTCCAGCAAACAAGACCAAAAAGCCGGTGTTAAATAATTATATGAAGTTAATTATGTTATGGCCATGCTAAAACGACCTGGAATATGCATATATTTGAAGCAATAAATTATTCACAAGGAGGTGGGAGGTATGTACATGCATATGTACATTTAAGTAGTTAAATAAATATTCAGTTGCTACCGAATGTGCACAATTTAAATATATGCTAATTAAGTAAATATCTAAATGCTGAAGAAACAAAACCAAATTCATGCAACTCCATTTTGTGCAATTTTGTGAGGAAAGCTGACCAGTTTGTGCATAATTATTGAAGTACGCTTATGTCGCTTATATATAAACAAGTAGATATGTATACATGGAAAGCGATGAAGTTGAAATTTAGTTATGTATATGTACATACATATACATTTTGTATAATCAAGGTACTGACCCACCTCGGGGTTTTCCCAATCAATTATTTTCATTAAAACTTGAAGTTAACAATTAATAAAATATACGACCTATTTTCTGTTCTGTGCTTTCAATCTTGACAGTGTAATTCTGCATGAAACTCAATTCGATATTCATATATACTTAACTCCAAACAACGTGGCGTTACAATTCCTAACCATGAAAAATGTCCACTTTTTAATGATCTCCGTAAATTTAAGATGGTTATCAGTATCGTTTTCGGAAGGGACACATGATTTTTTACGTGCTATGACCACACTTGGGATTATCGGCGAATTTTTTTCTCGGTGGCCAACCGTTTTTGCCTGTTTTTCATTTAAATCGTTTCCAGTCGTTGAACTGCTTTGCACAATTTCGCATTGAACTTCCAGTTTTCACAGCCACTGTTTCTGTGAAAAATGCATGGTACCCTAATGGGTCAGTCAGCTTGTTTTTTGCTAGTGGTAAATTTCTTATTCATCTACGTATTCCCACCCAGTTTTTCGGGAATATCCCATTTTCTCAGAATTTCAGAAGAATTTGTTATCAAAATTTGTATCAAAATCCTACAGATGATGCCAATAATAAGAACTAATCTTCAGTTCACTAGTGATAAAAATTTTAATACAGAATATTTACTTGCTAAAATGTTACAGCTACATAAATCTGTCCCGTGTTCCAGCTAAAAAATCGGTGGATTATTTAACAGGACACTTTACTTATCAGGTTTAAGTATTTTTCAAAATTGTTCATTTATTGATTTAATTTAATTCTGTTATTGTAGAAATTGTGCCGCACGACAATGATCCGCTTTATACACTTGAATCAATAAATATGTAAATATTTTAGGCATGGATGATCAGGATGCCTTATTTTATAGGAGGTCGTGATTCACGACTTATTGTACATACTCACATATACATATACAGTCAATGGAAAAAGTATTGGCAACACCCACGCAAGCTAAATAAAATTGGTTATAACTTTGGCATGCGTTATCAAATTGGCATGAAACTTTGAACACATTTGATAAATCTAATGTAGTGTTCGATTATAATCGTGTTTCCGATTTAAATCTAGTAAACATAACGCAATCCAAATTTTGACCCTAACTAGTCAGGTACGAACCTGCAAAAAGTATTGGCAACATGTGGCTAAATTAGTTACTCGACACAATTTTCTTAACCATCTTCCACATTTCCTTACGTAAGGTAATTAGGTGACAAAATATAACGTTAGCGACATTTTAAGTCTACAGTTGTGTTGTCTGGAGCCAAAATGGTGGCACCAAACCAGCTGTATTTGGCGCGGCGAGAAATATTCATGCCTCTTCCATAAAAATGCTTTGTTATCGAAAAATCAAACAGAAAACATACTTTTCCATATTCACTATTGAAAACGTAGCAAAGAAATATAAAATGAAGATCTCAGTTTCTACTTTTCGACGATGCGGAGGAAAAAGGTCACCTACGCCCAAAATCTACTGATGAATCAAGCAACAAATCACTCGAGATGGGAAGATTTTAGCCCCCAAATCCATGTTGAATTGCAGTACCAACTGTGGGGCAAACATATCATTCAATTTGGTGTTCACTAAAAAATTATGCCTTGGGGTTTCAGGCTCCAGTAGCCCGACCGACGAGAGAGTCTCCAAAGCGAACCACCTCAATAAATTGGAATGGGCTAAATATAAGCCTCAATTGACTTCCAATGAATGAAATAAAGTCTACTGGTCTGACATAGGCATATTTTACTTATTAGGAGCTCATTAATTGGTTCAAGTCTGGCGGATGCCATAAAAGGCTCAGAAATACGAAAACGTTCGTATGGCAGTTTAACACATAGGAGGATCGATTATGGTTTGGGGTTAAATGACTAGGTGGCGGCGTGTTTACCTGGTCATTATCGACAAAATCATGACCAGGGAGGTCTAAGTAATCATTCCAAACGATAATTTGAAATTATTTGATAAAAACCTGACCTGGGGAGGAATTTTATATTCCAAAAATGCAGTGACTCAAAACAGCTACCCCAATTAACGATGCAAGTTTTTGGAGATCGAAAAGGTTACGCTTCTTTCGTTGGCTGCACAGTCTCCTGATGTCATTCTGATTGTTTGGGCTGCGAAAAGAGAGACCGGTGGGAAACCACTCGACGAAAAACGAGCTTGTCAAAAGTTCGAAACAAGTGTGGCCAACCATATAAAAAAACGTTATAAAGAACCTTGTCGAATAAATTCCACGACCTATTTCTGCTCTTATTGGGCCGAGGGGAGGTGCCACGCAATACTAGAAGCACTTTGTCGCAGTAAAATTGGCGTTTCGTTGCTCTATAATTTTTTAAGTTAGAGGGTGCCAATACTTTTTGCGGGTTAATTTTGCAAATTTTCCAGCAAATTATTTAAAAACTGCGTTAATATAATTTTGAGCAGTAAAACATGATTATAATCGAAAACAACATTAAATTAACTACGTAGGTGTTTTATTATTAATTTTCAAAAGGTATGTTCCGCACTGTTTCTCACCAAAATTTTGATGAAAGAACAAACTTCAAATACATTTAGGAGGCTGTGATTTTTTTCAGCTCTGTGGGTTAGCATAAACACTAGCAATAAATCGGCAAACTTTACCTCGACGAAAAAATGCTAGATTTGCAAATTAAATATCGTAGTGTGATTTAATTTTTAATGCTGGATGGGCAATACGTGTCGCAGATTTATGATTGAATGCTTAAAATTTACGATGAAAACTGCCCAACACAAAACACAAATTCAATTGGGTTAATAATTTTAAATGATGGCGAAACGAGGTCTCGGGCAAAAAGTCGCCAGGACGCTCAAAATCCGTTTCTTCCACAGAAAGGCTCCGGAAACTAGAAGAACCAATAATGAGAGATCCGCGATTGAAACTGTCCTATTTAGCAGATGAGATGGGTGTTCCAAAACCAGCAATTTGTTCCATGTTAACTGAAGACTTAGGTATGAAAATGGATTCCGTCCGTTGGGTACGAAAATTGCTTTCGGCATCTCAAAAACATGATCGAGTCGACTTTTGCAATGCCAATTTTAACCTATTAAATGAAGACTTGAACCTGCTCAATATTTTATTAGCTAAATATGGTACCTGAGTTTACTATTATGACCCGGTGACCAAATAATAATTCGCTCAATGGAAGCAGGAGGGGTTGCCACCGCCCGAGAATTGAAAAGTGCAAAAATCTGACAAAAAATTGATGATGACCATTTTCAAGGATATCAAAGGTCCCCTCCTTATAAAATTTATTGCTGGAAATACTACAATAAATGGGGCCGCGTATGCAGGTACCCAGAAGGAGCTGCGTCCTCCGGTTGAAGAGAAACGTGGGGTCAAAATATAGAGTTGGCCTTTTTTGAGACGACAACGCTCCTCCTCATACCTGGCTTTTTGCGAGGGTTAGTGCAGACGAAAATCGCTTTACCTGCACAAACCACACCCCGAGCAGTCCAGACTTGACCCTTAGTGATTATTATTCGTTTCGAAACTTAAAGAAAGACATCAGGGGAAAACTGTTTTCGGATGATAGTGATATGAAGTCGTAAATTTTGGCATATTTTCGAGGTAAATTTTAATGGGTTATTGCTAGTGTTAATGTTAACCTACAGAACTGAAAAAAATTACAGCCTCCTAAATGTATTTGAAGTTTGTTCTTTCATCAAAATTTTGGCGAGAAACAGTGCGGAACATACCTTTTGAAAATTAATAATAAAACACCCACGTAAATGCGTACAAATTTTCATGCTAATTCGATAATGCATGCCAAAGTTATAGCCAATTTTATTTAGCTTGCGTGGGTGTTGCCAATACTTGTTCCATTGACTGTATGTATGTATTTAGCAAGTAAGTAAATACATTTCATGGAATTAAGAGGACTCATCATTCGTATTCAAGTCTTGAATTTCTTGTTGTCTGTCACTTGCATAGAAAAATGGATGATGCCATCACTCTTTGTTTGGCACATGTCCTAAGACAATAGATGAATCTTACATTCTAACAAATAATGCACAATGTCACTTCCAGCATGACTGTTACTCAATGTCAATGAGTGAAATGGTAAAAATGCTAAAAAATTTGCTCCTACTTGTGTACATATCTATATTTCATTTTGCTTAACAAGCACATCTGTATGTATGAAATCTAATATGTTAAAATGTATGTATGTATGTACATACGTAATCTAATGCATCATCATCGCATCAATAATGTGTAAGTAAATGCAGCTTGGAAAATATGGTCTTAAAATTATTGAGGAATGACATAACTCATTTAAACGATGACATATGTCTGTCTGTTCTCATCGCAAGTGTGGTGGCGTTATCAGCTCATAAATACTAAAGTAAAAACTTCTTTGCTTCTAATATTTAGCTACTCAGTTATTTTTCGCATTTTCAGAGAACAAGTTGCTTGTGCGAAATGTGTACATATGTACGCTGTTTTTCCAAATATTTAGAGGATTCGTTCCACCTATTTTTACATCACAAATAAAGATCGGGTAAGAAAGTTCCATAAATAAATCGAATAAAGAGGGTATTCATTTTGCGTTCGCGTCGTTAGTGAAAAACCAAGTTCGCAAAAAAATTGGCTTGCAAGTTCATTTGCGAACTTGCGCATCTAGTTTGGAAATAATTTTTCAAAATTACGTTGCAATACTGAACTCGTAATGAATACCCCCATAGAAATACAGTTGAAATAAATACATAATTTTGAAATTTGTTTAGAACAAAATTTTTATAAAATGGGTGGATTTCGTGACTTCCTCTTCCGCGGAAACCTCATCCAACTCGCCGTAGCTGTCGTTATTGGTACAGCATTTACAAATGTGATCACCGCTATTACGACGGGAATGGTGACGCCGTTACTGGGAATATTTGGGGGTCAACCGAACTTCAACGAGCTGTATTTCTCCTTGAACGGATCCCAATTCAAGTACGGATCCGTTATCGACTCGTTGATCACGTTCTTCATCACGGCCGTCGTTCTGTATTACGTCGTCGTCCTCCCGTCCGACTGGGTGATAAAAAGGTTGGAAGAAAACGCAGCCGATGCGCAGCGCGAGTGTAGCGAGTGCTGGTCTAAAATTGATAAGAGAGCGACGCGCTGTGCATTTTGTACGGCGAGTGTCATTCCACAGGTCAAGTGGGGGACGGAAGTTTCGTTGTGAGATGATCTGTATGTACATATGTAAATACATACATAAGTGATTGGTTTAAATTTAATAAAATACAATTTTATACGGAAAATGTGTATGAAACTATTCGTATACATAGAGATTGAGGGTGAAAATGAACATTTTATTTGCACGCTATTAAATATGTGTGTGCATACATTGTAAATATAGCATTGACGTGCATAGTGAAAATTTATAATTTATGCAGGAACTTCCAATTTAACATTTCAAGCCGATTCAATTCATTATTTTTAAAATTGCATGCATGCAAATTTCTAGACTCCACATGTAAAATGCACCTTCGGCTCAAATCCGTCCTTGTGACCCATTGTAACCATTCGTCATAAACGCCAAGAAGCTGCGTACACTACGACCTGGCTCAAACTCTGACCATCTTATCTGACAACCCACTATTAATAGTCAATAGTATTTCAAACTAGCAAAACTATACGCATTTACAAGTTCGTTTACACCTCCACGACCCATTAAATACTTTTCTAATGGAGTACCTACATTTGTACCAAAACACCAACAATAATCCACGTTTCTTACACAGAATGACAATTTCTATCGAAAACACTCCGAAAGCTATACAATTTGCAAACATACATAAAATAAAAAGGGACAAAATCCCCCCCTCTATTTTTATATAGGGATCAATTCCCCTTCTCTCTTTTACTACTGGTTTCCGCCCTATAAATTTTGAAGCGTGATACTTCTCATCGATTCGTTCAAGTATTCCGGCATCCAGCAAGGATTCGTACAGCCGTGGAATTTTCGAATTACCCGCTCTCACAAAGTGACTTCCATACGGTTGCGGACTCAGTATTTCGTTCCCTTTGTGAAATTCTATCCAATGGTAATACTTCTTTAAAAATTGCAGTTCAGCCTGCATATCGGCAACCTCCCTGATAAGCACTGCCTTCCCACAAGCGACCACTTCCTTCTCGATGGAAGCATTCAAATGTGGGATGAGATGGTATTCTGGCCAACGTGGTTTAGTCTCTTCCTCTGTCACTGCGGAAGGCTCGAAGGATTGCTTAGACTTCAAGAACGTGAACAGGACTAGAATTTGCTCTGTAATTCTGTCTTCGTTAAAATGACTGATCCAATACCAGAATGTTGTATCGTACAAAAACTCAAAAAAAGGATACGTTTTAAGCCCCTGATATCCCGATGGGTCCAAAGGATACGATAAGAGATGGAAACAATCTTCTCGTCTCCAGAAATCATTGCCGACAATTCTTAGTCCCCACGCTTCGTAAAACCTTTCAGTAGCCTTCTTATTCTTGTGCTGCGTGCGCATTTTATAGTCTCTCTCACTCATTAGTTCACCTGGACAGAGCAAATCCTTAAAAACGGAGGGTGTTTCGCCAGGAAGCGGAGCATTCAAATCCGTTACCATAATTCCATTGTAACAATTTACTAACACGACGGACACCAAAATCCATGCACCAAACGTGTAGCGAAAAAAAGCCTTCTTTTCCAGCTCAGCCGGCACGAGGACGCCTTCCTCACACATGGTCGCGAGAATAAACAACCACGGCGAAAATGGGGTGGAACCAAGGCCACCAAATCGTATGTATAGGGTGATTCCAAGGATCAGGACTACCAAGAAGATGAAAAGGATGACCCAAACTTCAACCTGGAATGGTTTAATGAAGTGGGCGAAGGTTAGGTAGCGTTTGCTGTAACAGGTTAAAAATTGGTACCCCTGGAAGTTCGTGGTAACCAGGGTTGGCAATTGCTCATTGGTCGAGAGGAGATTGACTTCCGCAAATAAGTACATAAGAGAGAAGTAAATGTCGGGATGGTAACTTTGATAGTCTTCACAATCAGTTTTATTCGTTCGCAGAAATATTTCCTTAATCAGATCTTCATAAAACGGTTTTGCAGCTTGGTCAATGAAAACTACTTTCCACATGCAGCGTGGAAGAAGAAGTTGGTTAAACATGTCGACCACGTTGGTGTCATCACCCTCTGTACATGGCGCTTTCTCGAATTCGTTTCCTAACCCCTCGTAGCACAGTAACTTTTAGGATTTATTGATATACAAAATTCCAGCATTATCGATCAAATTTGAATGGTTATCTTTGTAGAATCTTCTTAAAAGGGCAATCATATCGTGCTTGCTAAATATTGTGACAAAAATTGGGATCCCATTTCTGATTTCGTCTAGGAAAGGATATTTAAAATCTGAATAATAAAAATGGGCGATTTCCTTCCATCGAAAAAAGTACGGAGTTTCATCTTCAGTGGAACGTGGGGTAGAAATTGGGATCAAATAGGTTGAAAGAAGCAAGGTCAGTTTGCAATTGAATTCCCGAATTCGATAATCTCGTGAGTACCGCTGAGATCGCCGTAGTATTTTGTACATCACGGTGGTTGGTGAATAGCTGGATTTGGGGAAAAGGTCGGAAGAAATGCCGTCGTGATAAATTTGAACTTCACAATTTTTCACGGTGTCTAAAATATGGATAAAGCTTGTTTCTGTTATATGGGCCATAGTATAATGTTAACCCAGTGTACGCATAAATATTACGAAATATGTACGCAAGTATTTTAAATCACCTTTTAAAGTTGAGTTTAGTTTGACAGTTTGAAAACCCAAAGTGAAAACTTTTCAGTTTTCACAAACGAATGTAAACATTAGGTGGTCTTACATTTGTTTGCTGCTTTAAAACAATGGTTTGGTAGAAGCCACCTGTCTTAAATTATCGATTTGTTTAATGGATTAACTGGTTATAAATTTATAGATTGGCGTTCAGCAAAAATCTGCTTTAGTTGTATGGACTGTGAGATTTGCAGAAAATCATATCCAAGGAAATCAAAGCTAGGATAGGAAAAGTTGACATTTTTTTAAAATTCTGATTTTTGGTTTACTCAAAATTAATTGATTTTTTTGACCCCGTGAGTTAAATGCACAAGTTCATTTTAATTATATGTACTTATATACGTATATTAATGTAGATAAATAATTTAGTAAACATAAATTATATAAAAATAAATTAGGGTATTAAATCAGTATTTCTATATATATAATCACAGATCTTGAGTAAACAAATATAAATATTTCGAGAAATATATGTACACAAATTTTATTCCCACATACAATAGTAATACATAAATACATGCATGCATAAATAAGTAATTTACGTCAGACAGAACAATTAGGCGTATCAACTTAATTATATTTAATTTCTTCAGCCAAGTGACCTTAGTCATTCCAACTTTCTCCCAAAAGATAGCGTAAACAGGGTCGGATTTCCCAAGAATTGAAACGGGAAAAGTAAAATTTCCTTCCACGCGGAGAGATATGCCGTAAAAAATTTCAAAATCTTATCAAACAAACTCTCCGTGACAAAATAGAACGTGATCGGTCTCCCATTCCGGGCCTGAAGTGGTCTATGATTCTCCACAATAATTTCCCCCCTGTCGTCAAACACCGTCCGGAACTGTTTCATTTGCTGCTTGGAAATCTTCACCGGCTGCTTGAACACGGTCCAGACTCGATTCTCATGACAATCCGGACTAGTTAGGGATCCCTCGTACCGATAAAAGTTGAGATGCGCTGGCAACAAATTTTTCAAATTCAGAAATCCCGTCACATCAATTTCCTGCGAACGGTTAAACCTTCTCACGAGCGGGATCGCTTTGGTGATCGGAATCAGCGCGACATTATTGACGGGGCTGATTTCGAAAAATATTGCCAATATGGCCACCGCATTTGGATCATTTGGCGCCACGGATGCCGCCGCGTAGCTCCCATACGGCGTGGCGTAATGTACCATATGCATCTCCAGGGCATACTGCTTGCCAAAAAGGGTATGTTCACTGCCCCCCGTGTCGCTCGTTCCCCAGTGGAAATGCAGCTGTGCAAACGTATACTCGCCCGGCAGCCCGATCGCGGACCCTTTAAGTTTAGGCTCCTGCCCCGGCGGAAAAAGTACTTCTACCGTATGCCCGGCATTTAAAATCAGGAAATTTTTAGCTATTGGCAAATTTTCCCAGACATGGCGAAAATTCGACGGCAGGAAGGCGACCGTTGTGTCCATCCCGTCGAAATTGATGGGGGACTGCATCCCCCCCGTGGTGCAGACGCCCGGCCACGTGGCCGGTCCGCATGTCGGGTCAGTATAACAAAACTGAGAATTAGATTCTTTAAAAAGGCAAAATTTTAGAAATATTACGAATATTACGTAGTAAAGTAGTACCGACATATCTGCAGCGGTGGAGAAATGAGACTGATCGACGGGCTGATGCTAGGTAGGGAGCCTTCGAATAGTTATTTATAATCGGGATGCTTTCAAAGTACATGAAATATTTGTTAGTCAATAGTGGTCGTCGTGGAACGTCATGGGCAAATTGAATACTGAGAAAGGAAGAAAGAGAAACATGTTTAACAAAAGTATAAATAAATACAATAAATTGTATGAAGAAGTGAAAAAGTGTGTCATTTAGCGTAGCGTATGTACACCAGTAAATGTTGGCACGAATGCCACATTGTGTTTTTTTTGTGGGGGGGGGGAAATTATTGCAATTCATCTCTTCATTATTCATCTCTTCAAGTAAAAGTGGAATCACAGGAGAAGAAGAGGATTAGCCTTGATTTATTATAGTAGCCACAACCTCCCACGCACATTGGACATGCTACACAATCAGCAAAATTGCTTCGATATGCTGTACAAGCAACAAAATTGCTCAAGTTTTTATAATGAATGAAAAGTAACGTGTCATCGTTGTAATGATGGGTGCAATATTTCATTTATAACTTGGTCCAAGTCAGGAAAAAGTGACAGGTGCAACAAACTGACGGAGATATTCGCGATTGTATTGAGTAGAAGGGTCTGAATGAGTAATGACTAATTTTTCAGTGTATTTTGAGAATAGTGTAAAAATTTCGCCTTACTTTTGTGCTTGTAGTTGCTTAGAGAATTAATCTGATTGCATGCGTCGAGCAACTGTTTGGTAGGATAGACGTGTATACTTAAAATCATAAATCTGTACTTTTAAATGCATTAGCGTACAAAAGTGCAAATCGGGTTTTAGGACTATTTATTTACTTATAAAGATTGGATACAGCATGACCGATGCAAAAAATTCGCCATTATTGACGAGAAATAAAATACATACGTTCATTCAATAGATCCTTATGTGTAAGTGTTTTTGTTTGGTTTTGTAAGTTTTTACAGTTGAAAGATGATTATTGTGTGATCAATAAAATTATTTATTTGCAGACAAAGCAAAGTTATGTACATATGTACGAGTACACACATTCAGATGCTTTTGGTTTTTTGTTAAAATATTGACTAAAAGTGCATAATAATAAGTTGTGTTAAGTTGTGTGATCGAGCAATTCGAGTATTTAGAAGATAAACGCGTGTATGTAAACATAATTATACATGTACAAATACTCTGAGGCAATTGGTATTAAATCATTACTTGCATACCGAGTACATATTTATACTTATGTATATGACTCTACCGGTACGGTAATAACAGTGAGAATCACGGTTTAATAATTTTATGGCAATACAAAATCTACCGCTCAGAAACAAACCGATGTGACTCTACAGGATGTTTCAAATTTTTAACAGTGAAATACATACATATGTACTCGCATGTATTTATGTATGCACATGTATATATATACTTATTTGCATTGTGCATAAGAGAACGAGATGCTAGAATTGGCTTCTCACAGGATATTAAAGGCTAAATTAATTGACATTTAATTATTGAGTCAAGAAAGGTAAGAACCGTGATGGTTCATATGCACTTTTGTCCTTCAATGCATACATATCCTTCATTTCTTAATTCCCGAATTTTCTACCAGATCTCGAACTTAGGTTAGTCTGCATTATCAAACTGTTTTATTGTGCTACGAATGCATAAATACTGCAAGGCAAAATTGCAAACAAGGAGATTCCTGCGTCATCGAATCTAGGTTATTTGCATAAGGCATTCAAACTAGTCATTACGGACGCAACTTGAATGAAAGTACATACGAATTGATGATTTTATGTATTTAGTAATTTCATACAAAACACACTCATCCAAAACTGATTTAGGGTGAGTGTCCTTACTACTAGGGCTCGTAACATGAAAAACCAAATAATGTAGTACAATGTAGTACTATGACATGTACATAAGTTCCCACAGTAAATACTGTACATGTACATATTTACATACTTCATTTAATACTGCTTAGTTTTGTTTGACAAAATATTACTCATGAATTGGCAGATGCATGTTTAATTTGCACAGAAATATATGTATGTTGTCGTGTTAAAATATCGCGAATCGCACATCGCGAATGAGGAATTGTGCCTAAAATTGTCAATTGTGTAAATACATGTACACAATGACTGATTGATTTAATTTAATTTACTTCATTTCTTGTTAGATCGAGGTCTCTCGGGCACGCATTTAAATTCGTTACAATCGATGATAAACTGAAAATGAAAATGCCTGAATAAACCAATGACAATATGACAATTCGTGAGGCAGTTTTTCCTGCGTATTAATCTTAACAAACGTTTGCTAGGTAACAAAGTCGTGGTGTGAGATTTCTCTGTTCAGTACAATGTGCAGAAAATATATGGTACGCAATTCATAATTACCAAATTCTTCATTTGTGTTCCGCATCCCAATAAGGAATATGTGTATGTGCATATTCCTACATAAATGTACATATGTTGTACGTAGATAAGAAAAATATATACATACATATATACTAGCCATGCTTAATTTTTTACGTATACATCATTATACATGTATCTATGCAAATAAATGTGTTCACCGTACACGTAGCAAAAAATATCTGTATCAATCACTTTATATATTAAACGACACATGCGTATGTATATATCATATCTGTAGATATGTATGTAGCCTTTCACCCTCAATTTAATTCCAAGATAGGAAATACTTTGTGCTACAAAGTGGATCGTATGTCCTGCAAGTCTGAAGAGCAAATCTCGTGATTAAGATCGATATGGTTTGTGATAACGTAGATCAGGCCATTTTTTTCTTTCATGGGCAAAAAGTTTTTGCATGCTGATTTTATGTAGAATTTGTTCCCCATAGAAATGCGTTTTGCTAACAAAGAAATTAGAATTAGTGAATGCAAGTAATTTGTATATATTATGTAACTATGATTCTAATATTTCTAATCATCAAACAACTGGTCAAAATTTTAAACTTAAAGCAAGGAAAATATGATGCAGGTACAAAATCAATGTGTAAACTTGAATATGCATGTAAAAGCTTCTAATAATAACTGAAATTATTTTCCTCCTTCATGAAAATATTTCATGGAAATTAGTTTTTTCATAGTAGAAATGCGAGGCTATTCTCTGCGAAATTGATACTGGGAATATTAAATAATTCATGGTTGTTCTACTACAAATATTTCTCAAAAAAAAATTTCAGAGTTTATTAATTTGAAAAACTTTATTTCGCAAAACCACCTACAAAAATAGCTTCCAGCTTCCATTGGAAATAACGGAAACAACGATCATAAAACTTATCCAAAATGGAGTTGCAAGAAATTCGTGGAAATTTAGAAAAAATGATCAAGGAAAATAAAATTGTCGTCTTCTCAAAAAGCTACTGTCCATATGCGTAAGGTTTCCATAAAAAAATTTTATTAAAATTTATCTTATATATAGTTTAATTTTTTAATGTTTTTACAGGTTAAAAGCGAAACAGGTGTGTACTTTTTTATTTATTTTCTGAAACTTTATGTACATATGTCCATAATTTATCAGAGCAAAATTTACTTCAATTCTACAACTTATTTCTGCAGACACTTGACAACTTGACAAAGAATTACCTCGTAATTGAATTAAATGGACATCCTCAAGGTATTTAAAATTCATTACATTTCCATGACATCCAAAGTAATTAACGAAAAATATTTTCTTAGGGAGTGAAATTCAAGAAATCTTGGCTCAGATGACGGGTGCCTCTACCGTTCCTCGTGTCTTTGTGGGAGGAGTCTGCATTGGGGGAGGAGACGACACGGTCCGATTGTATAAAAGCGGAGAGTTAGAAAAAATGATTACAAACTGAATTATTTACATGACAATCAATTTGTAAATTAATGTTTATTAAAAAAAACAAGAATAATCATTATAAAAATAGTTTAACTATGGTAATTATTACTCTCCGCCACCCCCACCCATCCTGGTTGGATCCATACTAGGATAATACACCACTCCCGGTGGTGCCATAACATCTGGTGCTAAATTTCCGGTAAAAAATCCACCCAAACCACTCCCACCAACGGCCCCAGTGAAATCTGGTAATCCTGGCACACCCACAAGTTTACTCCCTCCCGCACCTGTTGGATCGCTATCTTTTTTACCGCCCCCACGACCCCAACGCACTGTTAACCGTCGTCCAAGTAAAATCAATTTATTAAAACTTTTTTCACTCGCTAACTCTGCACTTTCACGCTTTGTAAATTGTACAAATGCACACTGTTGCTTAGCAACCATGGATATACTTCGGATTTCTCCTACATAATGAAAACTTGGAATTAGTTCTGCTTGAAATAGTTAATTACATAAAAATAATTATAACTAACCAAACTGATAGAAATGATCCCTCAAGTCCTGTTCAGTCATAAATTCTCCAGTATTTCCAATGTACAGGGTAGTAATGGATTTATCCTCCGGCGGAGTCAATGTCGGTAGCGCCGTTGCTCTTCGCAACAATTTGTCCGCCACGGGATCATTGGAACCATAGTAACGATCTCGAATATTTTGATCGGACAATGGATCGTCTGGGTCCGTTGGCTTTTCGTGACGGTAAGGACATTCTTCTCCTCTGCTGCATTCACCTAAAAAAAAGTAATATGAATTACATTGCCATGACAACTGAAGGCATTGAAAAATATATTTTATAACTATAAGAATAAAAACGAACCTTTAACCCAAAAGGAGCAAACGTGTGGCCGATTTCTTTTATAATACGGCGTAGTTCGTGCTAATTTCATTAATAAGTCAGACGGCGCCGTTGCCTTGCCAACCTCGCCCAACGCCACCGTGTTGTCCGTTGAGGAGGACTAAAAAATAATACATAAATTGTCATGGTAGCAATTTCAATAAATAATTACAAATAATTTCCTTATTTATGCTTACCTCCACATTTTGAAGATAATATTCCTTATTGACATCGCTCCTGGGCAACGCATCTCGAACTTTGAGAGCATTATCTCGAACTTGAGTCGGCAATCCATACTCCAAATCCAACAAACATGTTTGACAAACGTTCTTCAATTTTGCACATGTTTGACAAACTTCTGTTTTCTTGAAACGCATTTTTGCTCCGGGACACCATCGAAAAATTGTGAAAGGCCGGTTGCAAATTTTACATTCTTGACCAAAACGATCCTTCGTCATTCGGACATAGGGGTTGTCGCCCAAACACGTTTCGCACAACAAGGGGAAGTCCTAATTCATTTAAAAAAAGTTAATTTCCATGTTTAGTTTTATTATAAATTTTTAATTCTTTACTTACCGAGTCTTCCCAATTTTGTCGGTTGTACGTGTTTGTTGTCTTGGACATAGACATCTTGTTTTGTGGGTGAGTGCAACAATGGGGGTGGAGTTACTAATTTATTTGGAAGAAGTGTAGTTTAATTAAATTTTAAATTTCAAATTCGAAGGAAATATTTTTGTCAGTCAATCAACATGCAGGCTTCACTTTTGTTTAACGTTGAAGTTACCGGACAAAGTTTGAGTGCGCAGGGTTTAGTCATTGTTGGTGATTCGTGAGCCTTTTATTTTCTTATGTGTTATGGAAATTTTCATGAGAATTATTTTCAAACAAATTAATTATAATCCAGCTCATTGATCATCCGAATTAGTTAATTTTTTACACAGTCGGAAATCCATGTATAAATAAAATGATATATTATACCATAGAATTTCCCCATTAATAACATAACCACAGAAACAACATAATTATTTCCATGAAAGTGTCCAATTATTTTTAATTAGACAATTAGTCTAATTTAGACTATTTATATTTATAACAATTAACATAGCAACACTTTCACAATCCCTTTTGACATTTATAGCATATTCGCAGTTATTTTGACTTTCACTACATACTTATTTGTCTATTTAGAGAATTTCCAGTAGGGTTAAGTAAATAGCTAAAGATTAAAATGGTTTCTCAGAATAATTAAATATTTCACAATTCCATCAAATAAAGTTGAGAAAAGCTACGCAATGATTCGGATAGTTTAAGGAGCGTTACAAGGAATTACTTAGTCTTATCGACATATTTACTTTTGTACATTTTGGAAGACACATTTTATATTTCAGACTTTTACATTTTACATGAAGAACAAAGTGTTTAATCTGGTTTACTATGAGTAAACCTAAGAAATTAAATTTGTTGAACACGACAAAAAACAGAGGGTATGCATGCGTGGATAATTTTTTAAAACAACTTTCTATGAAAAGTTGCTCTACTTTCAACAACTTTTGAAGAGGTTAGTTTTTGCAAGTTGAGAAGTGCCGAGATGATTTGAAGCATGAATTGTGCAACGAGGTTGGAGTAGTAGATTCGCGAGATGGGGATTTCAACTCGCCATGATAGTCTAGTGGTTAGGACCCCGCGTTGTGGCCGCGGTAACCCAGGTTCGAATCCTGGTCATGGCATGCTATATTTTTGCTCCTTCACCTTTTGAAATTTGGTAAATTCTCTTACGTAGACCTTAACGCGGACCTTCTACTGTATAAATTTCTTTTTGTATTGCTTCGTCAATTTCATTATAATTCGGTCATGATTTCACTGGTTTAATTTTAATTCCATTAATTATAAAAGTAATCAATTAGAAAATCGGAATAAAATTTGTTATTTGAAAATTGTGGAGTATGGATGGATGGATGCGTAACGTTGAGAGGATGAATAAATCATGAAGTATGGATAAAGCTCGAAATATAACCTGCATTGATAAATTTACAATTGTACGACTTTTGCCGGATTCGGATTTATTTAAATTTTTGACTCTTATGAAAAGTTCTGAATGTGCAAAACATTGAGGGAACACGTGTAAACCTTTGTAACCTTCGTAACTGTGTAAGGTTTGCATAAGCTTTACATCGTAAGTGTGTAACTTTTACACATATAAATTTATATGGACATTTGATTTGCAAGCTTTACTAAACTTGCGCACTATAAACGCAAGCTTTTTGCTTGTAAAAAAATGTTATCAATAATTTGAGTTTTTGATATTTGCATTTTCAGTTGAATTCAGGGTTGCTATAGGTTACGCAGCATTCGCGGCAATTTTTAACAAAAAAATATTTGCAAAGTTCACTCATCACTCATGACTCGAGTAAAAAGTGTGTAAACTTGCAGACCTAACGCAGTTACGTAGCTACAACTTGTTCCATGGCTACAACCTTGATATAAATTAAATCCCTCATGGTTTTAAAGTGCGTAAGTCGATTTTCTTTAGAAATGGGTACAAAGAAAAGTTAGTAAGCTTACAAACCTCATGCAGTTACGAAGGTTACAAACGTTGACCTCAGTTCCCTCAGTGAACGTTATACAAGGGACATGTATGTATTATATTTTCAACTTTCTCCATGGAGAAAGTTGTCCGACTCGATGTATTTTATGCATACTGTATTTAATAAATGCATGCCATTAAGGCCGAATACGGTTAGGTATGTGTTTATGATAAGAATTACGACGGGTGATCCGAGGTGGAAAACATTAAAATTTGCCAGCTACAGCCACGAAAAAAATTCAGATACCCAAAGATTCTTAACTTTTTCGTCGCCTCTCAATTTTTAACATAATTAGAACAACTGAATATCACCCTGACGTGCAGCCATACACAAATATTTTACATAATGGATAGATTATTTGACAAAATTAAGAAATTTTTTGAAAGCGACCAAAGCCTAAGAAAGCAAAAATATAGCATGCCATGACCAGGATTCGAACCTGGGTTACCGCGGCCACAACGCGGGGTCCTAACCACTAGACTATCATGGCGAGTTGAAGTGACCACCTCGCAGATCTACTACTCCAACCTCATTACACAATTCATGCTTCAAATCACTTCTACCTGGCAAATTGTTCATTAATAAAAGTTTTGAAAGTAGATCAAGTTTACATTGCATTGTTGGCCGTAGTATGAAAAAGAAACCATGCACGCACTGCACACCTTCAATTTTTTGCCATTTATTTATTAGTTCCACCGATTCCACCTCACTTAATAACACATTGATTGCATGAATGTTGAAGATTAAAGAATTCGGAGATTAAGAATAATTAACAGGTTTCATAATTAATTCAAAGACCCTCGTGTAATTGATGTTATTAGACATATTTTGCATGCGTACAATTTACATACACACGTTCAAAGTAAACCTGCGTACAAATTAAGCATTTTGGAACATTGGGTTTATTTAATGTCGATTTATGTTTTATGGACATAGATATTTACAAATGCATATAAGATGGGAAAATTTCAGATGAAATTCCTTGTAAGTATTACTTTTCCTACGAGATTGATAATATAGGAATAATTTTACTTCTACATTACATTACAGACAATTTTAATCGTGTAAAATTTATACAAGAGCTGATTACAAATATTCCTACATATTTGAAATTTCAGCTTAAATTTCTACACGTGTGACTTCCATGGACATACTGACCACAAGTTGAGCACTGCACGGGGGGACTGCTCGTGTCATCAGACCCCTTGCTTGGCCACACCCACCACGTCGAAATTTTTAGCGACGAACTGGATGCGGTCATGCAGTGGTGAAATACGTTATAAAACGCCATTCCTGCGATAAAAATAAGCTAATTCTTTAAATTCTTAAGTAAGTTAGACTCAAAACTATAACAATTATGAGAAATTAAACTAACATGCGATGTAATGGTTGCAAATGAAAATCAATTTTTTTAGCTGAGAGTTTGCTTGAGTTTTCTTCTTGTCCCCAGCTCCGACAGGACAAACGTTCGAATTGCAATTCATTTTATATGAAAATCATCGCTATGCAATTGAATTTGTTCATGATGAAGTTCAAGCATTGCGCATCCCCGGAGTGGAAATAGTAATTCTAAAACCATTGTTTAAATCGCAATGCGTTGATGATGACGATAGTGAGTGAGTCAGGTTAAGTAAGACAATCTAAAAATAGTATAATGCATTGTTTTGCATTTGTCTGTGTCTGCATGCATCTGTACAATACACAAGTTGCCCGTCTGAATATGTATATAAGAAGGTTAAAAGTTCTACCATGTCCAGTACGTACAGGTTGACAGATTTTTTTATCAACACAATTCACGTCACTGTCTCAAGAAGATCCGTATTTGTAATGAAACTTGCGTACATACATAAATATGTACATACATATGTGCAAATAAGGTTGCTTACGAGCTTAGGAAAAAGCAAAGGTGAAAGGTATTCATAACTTGATGACCTGTTATGTTTCTCTAGTTAATATAATTTCTTTATTTGCAGCTGGGAAATTCCAGGTGAATTCATGTTAAAAGCTTTTACGCAATAAGGTTACATATGTATGTATGACATTGATCGAGGATTTCTTAAATGACGAAATAAAAACCCAGAGTTAATTATAATTGTACATATGTAAATATGTATGACTGTTCTGAACATGAATCGCTTTCTCTCATCCTCAGCCCATACAATAGAATAGGGGTAACATTTTTATTGGGGTCCGAATATTGTATCCTGACTCAAATATCTTTTTTGTTGGATATTTGAGATATGTATCGCAAATACAACTAACAAAAATGTTTTATGCCTTAGTCACTCCAGGAAATGCAATCACTTCGAAAGAACATGCTGTCATGACGTAGAGTACGTGACCCATATTTTTCTCCCCAAAAAATGGCAAACTTGTCACGTGGAAATTTGCATAAGTTCGAGGTGGAAATTTAATACGGAGAAATGCATTTCTAACAGGTTCTCAATTGGATTTTAATGTGGCGACGATTTAAAAAAGACCAAATTGACGATCCAAGTTTATTCACAGGTTGCAAAATTTTGAATCTACCACTACCAGCCATATGTATACACACATCTAATATCTTTTGCAGATCCCTGGTACATTTTAAATAAGGCGGCAACCTTCTTTTTATTAATCCCGATTACGGCAAGCTTCATTTTTGATTTTCTTGGAGGACTTTGTCAGGTGGGATGGCCTGATATTTAATACTATGCAAATATTTTAAATAATTGGTATCGGATTTTTATTTGCAGAAAGATTATAAAAAATTTCAAAGATTTTTCTGGATATTGGTCATCTTCCTGACCCCCGTACATCCGGTATCCTCGTTGCGGGCTCTAATTGCGGAAAATTCTGACCCAGATTTACTTTCAATATTTATGCGACCAAGCATTTCATTTCCAATTCATCTCTACGTGTTATTATATCTCTATGCTATCTTCAAGTATGCAAAGTACTTGAAACATTCGGAAGGAATGATATCGGCATACTCGAATTATGCTGAGTTACAGAGAAACGAGCAATTCAAAGTTTTTGTGATACCGCAAAAATGCTTGACAGGTTACAACCAATTAAGAATTAAATTTAGATCTTGTAATTCATTCTAATGTTTTGTCACAGTTGACAAGGCACCGATTGGCGAAGGAAATTCGGCCGTCGTGTACAAAGGAACTTTTAAGAAGGGCACATTTTTTAACACAGCAATTATTCCGGTAGCAATTAAAGTATTTGCTTCGAATTACGATGATAGCGTTTTAACGGATGAGTTACGCAACATGGGTCGGCTAATGAAAAGTATGGGCAAAAAGAAGCCTCCTAACTTGGTCACCTTTATTGGGGCGTGTTTCCAAACGGAAGGTTATTTAATAGATTCATTAGAAAAACTACCCGACAAATTGTTGGGCTTTAAATATATGGATTCCTTAGCCCCACCTTCAATATTGGGACGAGTGAGCATAGTAATGGAACTCTGTGAAAATGGAAGTTTACTCGAATACCTGCAAAGCATGAAGAGGGTACAAGCCAGTCGACCTTTTTCAATCGTTATGGACGCCTTGATCCAGCAGATTCACACGTGGACTTATCAAATCGCGACAGGGATGGAGTACCTGGCGTCACACAATGTAAAGTATTGTGATTAGGTGATAAATATTAACATTGAGGGTTTTTATTACAAGTTCGTATCGAGACATAATTTTGAAATTTTTTGCGAACTTAACACCAACCTTTTAACATCAACCCAGCGCGAATTCGCAAATGCATTTTAAGCCATTTTTTTGCGAATTTTGATGTTTTCGTAACCTTGCATGCTAACGATGGGAACTCGTAATGAATACTCTCATTATTCGCTAAACTCTAGATCGTGCATTCCGACCTTGCCGCACGTAACGTTTTATTGGACGATAAACTTGTCGCAAAAATCGCGGATTTTGAAATGTCTAGAAAACTGTATGATTACCAGACTCATATGATGACAAACCAGCAGGTATACGTAAAAAATTGTCAAAACTAATAAGGAATTTTCTATGAGGATCTTCATCGTTTAGGCGTTTCCTTGGAAATGGATGGCACCCGAGAGTTTGACCAATTTGGAGTTTTCCACGCAATCCGACATCTTTTCATTTGGTGTGCTTATCTGGGAAGTATTTTCTTTGGGAGATTCGCCATGGCCAGGATGTGAATGGACGTCCAATTTCGCGTCGCAATTAATGGATGGGATGCGTCTCCCAAAGCCAACATTTGCTACGCAAACAATGTAAAACTTTCTCTAACTTATTTATTTCGTGACTCCTTAGACCGTAGAATTTTTTATATAATTGCATCACTTTTTATTAGCCCACAATTTTCCCGTGCCCTGACCCTGACGCCGCAAATGTGCACATGATAAGTTTTTCAATGTTTTTAGATACGACGAAGTAATGCTTCCCTGTTGGCGAACTATGGCGCAAGAGAGACCTTCATTTTCTGATATAAAGCAAATTTTAGCTCCAATTAGAATAAGGCAACGTTTGTCGAATTTGTGAAAAGATATATAATAAGATTTTTGATTAACACAATTCACGTCATTCTTTCAAGTTCTGTAACCATTGATTTACATTAAAACTTAAGAAACTTGCAAAATTTTTGCTTACGAACGTGAGAGGCATTCGCAAGTTTTTTTTATAAGAAAAAACCAAGTTTAACGAAGCTATGATATATAAGAACACCGTCCTGACTTATCGTAAATATGCTAAAAGTATCAAATTTTTCTGCATCACTATACATACACTCCAAGTAGCCTAAAAAATAAATATCCTGATAGTGTTTTACATTATTGCATTTAAGTTTAGATATGGTAATTTATTCGCAGTGTAATATAACACCTTTTTGTACAACTTAAAACTTGATACATACATAATCTCTCAAACATTTTAAGCTTTGGCGTTTCAAGAATAATGTCATTTACAAACTTAAGTTATAAATACATATTAGTTCGAGCAAATTGGCATTACCAAAGCTATAGTTTAGGACTTTGACCCAGGCTTAATGAATATCGGACGTATATAAATAATACCAGAAATAGCTGATGCAATATTTTTATACAGGTATGGGTATAATTAGTTGATTTATACATGCATATCATCGCGTTCCTCCGCCATTAAACTAATAAAACACCGTAAGAGTGAACACCCACCTAATGACGTGGATGAGACGACAGGTGCGACACGGTGACGCACGGTGCTGCTTGAATTAAGTACACAAACCAATTAAAAAAGTAATTACTAAATCATGTTCCTTCCTCTAACATGCATACCTCTGATTGATAAGCCTTCGCGATAAGCGATGGTCGATTCTCCATAAATTGTTCACCTTTAGGATCACTTGGTTCAGTGAATTTACGCATCGCTTATTAGCCGTCCAAATTTAATTTTAATTTGAAAACGTAATTATTCGAAAGAAGAGATGGCATTTTCACGCAATTTGGGCGTGGTGCTAGCCTTAGCAGCAATTTGTACACTCGTTTTTGCAGAGAAAGGTGAAAATCACGACTAAATAATTTATCGCGACATTTTCAACAATTTGACAGAAAATTTTAAAATTTTTCAGATTTCAACAATGCAAATCTGGTAACATTCCTGAACAACTCGGCCCGCTATTTTCGCGATGAATTGATCGACACGCCGATCGAATTTGATGAAGCCACAGAAGTGACGATTAATAATGCGGATTACATTTTGAGTGGAACGATTTCGTAAATAATACCTTTTCAAATTTACGTTTTGAAAGGATTATAGAACATTTTTAATACATAGGCAAGTCCGCTACCCGGGTATTTCTGCAATGCGGGCAAATTATATTGATGGAGATTTGACATATAACAAAATTCATTTGGAGGCCGAGTTCCCATCGGGAATTTACTTTGGTAAGAATTTTTCCCCAAACTCTTCAATAACTTTTTCAAAATATGGTCATTCATATTTCAGGAAATTTTGATTTGAGAGGACACGCTCTCAGGAACCAGTCCAGTTTTGGTGGATCTGGAAACTTTTCCATATCTCCATCGTTCTCTCCAAATATGTGGTTCTCTCACAGCGTCAGGTTCGACGTGGTGGACAACTTCATCAAAGTACGAGATCCATACGCCTACTTGTCTGATACGAGTTTGATCACGGCGAATTTTTCGGGATTATTTAACGGGACTGAAAACATTAGTGAGGCCCTCAAAGCAAAAATTATTACGGATCTTGGAAACTCGTTGAGGGATTCGTTCCGTCGTCAAGTCGAATTGTTTTTAAGAGCGAAACTGACAGCGCATTTTCAAACTGATTTTGACGTAAGTCTCACTTTCCCCGTAAATCTAACAATTATTCAATACAAATTACGCGCGCCTCTAATCTAAAAGAAACTTTCTCACATTGCCCCACACAAAAGCTTAACGTACCCCAAACCCGTTCTTATTAAACTTGTAAATTTAATCTTAATCCTATTTCTTTGCAGCAAGTCTCTCTTCCCGACATTCTAGCAGGAGTGACCCTCCCACCAAGAACGACAACCGTGGGATGTGTGTACTCCTTAAGTGACGCTTTATCCCAGTGGGGACATGAGTTGGTGTTGCGAGAAGGAAACGAGACAGTGATCTCGTCCAACGTCGTTGGTGTGGAATATGGACAAGTAATAATGGAGATCGTCACAAAGAAGACAGTCGTAATTTCCACGGTGTAAAGTTTTGTCTGTGAAATAAAATGTTTGGATTTTAATAAGTATGTACATAATTCGTGTATTAGCAGAAATATATACACAAACATTTCTTAACATATTGTATATGCGTGTATGAATGTATGTTCGTACTATCTAGAATTGCCAAATGCATATACACATACATACTTTACTTTATGAATATATCCATATGTATACATACATAAATACGCTGCATAAGTAGCCTCTAAGTTTATTACAGTATTATGAATGTGCCGAAATAATTCATTATATTAAAATGCATTATATAAAAAATAGAATTTCGTCTTGACACGTACATAGAAATATCCATTATTTTTATTGTACATATACTATGTAGATATGGAGTTACACAAGTCACAGTCACGAATGATCTCCCGTTTTTAATCTCAGAAATAAATATTTAACTTATTTACATACGTAAACATAATTGCATGTTCATCGTCAGTTAAACCTATTGATCGACGATGATATTTATTATCCAACGTATATTTGCTACATACCCATTTATATAGATATGTATGTATTTGCTTGTACAGGATGAATCGGTAACACGTGAACGCGGGCGATCTTGAATTGCTCCGAAACGGGTTGGAGTTTCGGTTCCAAATTTTGAGCATAACGACATGTGATTGTTGACAAGGGCTGAGCAAAAAATTAGCTCTCTAGATTCAAAAATGACCCGACCATTGACCTTAGAGTAAGAGGGTACCATAAAAACACTTTCCAAACTTAATTCTTCGTACACAGACATAAGTAACCACTTCAAAACTCAAGGACAACAAGTTTCGAAAGGCCAGATACATAAGGTACTTAAAAATGAAGGTCAATAACGACAAGCTCGTACCAAAGGAAAACCATCATGCCTCAAACACGAGTCCGAAAAGTGCTAATTAGGCCCGTACTTAAGAAAATTGACCTATTGACCTCTAAGGGCAACTCACCACCCCAGAGAGCAGTGGCACGTCTAACCAAAGTGTCAGAGACTAGTGTGCGTCGAGCAATTAAAATTTTGGGGCAGCCAAAAAGAAGAAAAATCCAAGTCAATCAGCTGACTGGGAAGCATAAAAAAATAGTCGTCTGACCTGCAAAAAAAATTTATGTGAATTACCTGACAAAAGGTAAAAGTGGCTTTTTAGTGTCGTTGGATGAAGAATTATTTTCCTTACAAGATACCAACAGTCAGAGAAAAATTTACTATACAACCAAAGGAGAAAATAATTCCAGAAGATTGGCCATCCCGCACACGGAAAACTTTTGCAACAAGTTCATGGTGGTAGGTGCATTATCTGATCGTGGTGTCCTCCCACTTATCAAAGTTCCACAAAAAGTGAAGGTAACTACGAAGTACTATATTGACTTTGTTTTAAAACCGCTTTTGGAGATTTATGTCTCAAAACTAAATGGCCAGGACACCATAAAAGTGATAGTTCATCACGACGCAGCGTCATCGCACACCGCCCTTTTGACCCAGGATTACGCCAAGGACTTAAAAGCTAGACTCGGGATAACAATCATCCAGGATAGTGAAATACCTGTTAATTCACCCTATGTAAGTCCCATGGATTTTTTCGGCTTTGGATATCTGAAATAAAATCTTTTCTCCGCCACCCAAAAACTTTTGACGGAGTTTGGAAAGTTTTGAGAGACGAGTGGTCAAAAGTTGACCTCGCCATGATCAAATCAGTGTACAAAAGTTGAAATCACCGATGCCGACTTGTAGCTCGAGAAAAGGGCTTTCACATAAAAAATGTTCGGGACCTCCACTCCAAGCCGTTCAACCAGTAATTTAAGGTCAAAAACGTTCACGTGTTACCGATTCAACCTCGGTAGACCGAAAAAGCGATGCAACAATGATCACAACTATAGCGCGAAAGTTTCAGAATTCAAGTCAAGTTTCACCCCTTTGCGTTCCTTAAACACATACGTACATAACACAATTTTAATAATTTCGAATTACTTGTAGTTCTAATCCTAAGAATGTGAATGCATAAAGTGACTGTCTCTCCGATTTAGACTATATTGATTTTAAATTGTTCACATCCAAAAATAAGCACAACAGAGTTTATTCATTTTTCTAATGCGCGCGTTATAGCTCGTGGCAGAACTTTCAAACAAGTTCTAAGCAAAACTTAAGCTTTTTCACGCTGCAGCTCCAAAAATGGAATAATATCTATTCTTAATTTCTACTTAATCTGAATCTGAATTTATTATCCTGAAAACTGTGAAAGCTGGAGATGTGAAAACTCACGATGCCAATATTTGACATTTGCAATATGCTATTCGTCGTCTCTCAACTATTTTGCTTAACGGGCACTACTCTTCCAAACTTCTTTAACGATTACACCCTCCAGTTCTACCTTCTTAACGACGATCCCAGAAAGCCTGTACAACTTTCTCAAGCCGCCCCGTACTTTGACCTGATCCGTCTCAGCAATCCATTCACGCCTTTACGAATAGATGGCTTCTTCTACACTAAGTCTGACCTGTACCGTCTCATTGTACATTTGCCTGGCTCCGTTACCCACACCCGGAAAAAACGTCAAGGTCCTTTAATCACTTTTTTAAACCTGGATATTAACCCGAGCAAAATCGTGTATTTTAAAAAGCTTGCCACTGTCCAACTAAGAATTGCAATCTTAAACGATAAACCAACCTACATATTTGCCCATTCCAGACATCCCGCCTCTTCGAAAAGATTCTATCCGCGTGCATTCCTTAACCTTGGGGGCACATCGAGACTTGTAATTTTCTCCAGTTCGCCCCATCTGGTCCTCTATATACCCTGCATTGCGTGCCAATCTGCCCCGGAGGAGGCAGAGATCACGAATTTTGTAAACCTAGATACCATCTTTACCTCGAGAAATAAAAACGCGTGGAATAACGTTGTCGTAGATTATGATGAATTCACGTGGTGGGGAAAGTTCGAAGGTAAATGTGGCCCTAATTTGGCCCACTACGTGGACATGTATCCACCCAAATTGTGCGCGGTGATGGTACTTGGCGAGAAATTTAATTTCACCTGGATTTCCTTAAAAGAACATGACGAGAACAAGTTAAAATATATGGACCGCGTGATCAGCCAGATTTCGTTTTATCACATATTTTCTGAAAATTTCAACGACGAGGTGTTTGTCCCATTTAAACTGAACTTTAACAACTTTAGGTTTGCAATAGTAACCGAAGTTCCGGCCGTGATGAATAATTTGTACGGAATTTACTTACCGTTTGATAATGTGACGTGGATTTGCATACTATCGGCGTGCCTCGCTACGGGAATGCTGGGACGGCGGGACATAAAACTGGGAAAGATAGCACAGGGGATTGAGGTCACGTTACGTCTCATCAGCTTCCTACTGGGGCAAGGTGGTTCTAGTAGCGTCGCAGGGTTTAGTTCCAGTAGAAACGCGAGGACTCTCATCGTGACTGGCTGGTTTTTTGGGGTGTTCATCCTCATGGGTAATTTGTACCAGGGGTCGATTTTCTCCTATTTGACGGTGAAAATTCCCCCAAGAGTTCCAGAAACGATGGAGGAGCTCCTGGAATCTGGGATTACAATTGTGACTTCATCATACAGCTGGTTTGGGGGAGCGAAATACAAATCTCTCCTTAAGGATGAAATCATACCGGCGCTAGCGTCCAGTTTGAGAGAGAATGAGAAGTGGACGAAACTACTGGAAAAGTTTAGCGGCAAGATTGAATTTATGAATCCGGATTTATTACTTTCCGGGATTCCTGACGCATATTCGAATTTTACCACCTTTCTGACACGTAACAAGTCTAAAGATCTAAACACTTTTGCCGTGATGGATAGGGAAAATGGCTTAGTAATTACTACCAAAGTGCTAAAAATTGTAGCGAAACAGTTAGTCCTGGAAAATCGGGAAGAAACGTTTTTCAACATTGTGGGAATTGCATTCATTTTTCGAAACTATTTGTCTGGAATTATGATTACGGGATTTGATCATTTGTTCGAATCGGGGATATTTTCACGGTGGGAAAAGTTGCAGAAACTGTGGGAAACTTTGTACCATGTGAGAATCCTAGGAAATGTGACGTACAACAGGTTTTTCCTGAAAGAAATGGGCGGTGGGAGGAATCCTGTCGAATTTCATGAGAATCAAAGTGTATCGTTTGGGGCGATTAGATACTTTGTGGTTATTTGTGGGTCTTTGGGAGGAGTTGGGTGGGTAATTTTCTTGGGGGAAATTAGGAAGTATTTTATCAGGATGATACGTGCAGGGTGGAAAAGGTTGACAAAGCTTCAGATAAAATTCGTACAATGACTGCTTAAAGTTTAAAATATTGGATTACAGAAAGAAATAGTACCCTGGCAATTAATGGGTTTCCTAAAATTATATATTGCACATTATTAGACACTTCTGGTAACCATATAATATAACTATATATTGCATATCTACTTCCATAAAGCGTTAGTGTTAAGTCGCTGCCTGCCTGACTCTGTGATCGAGTCCAAGTTACCCCGTAGAGGAGACAAAGAATGAAGCGGAGCAAAAACTGCATGCATGAATTTTCTGCATGAGTCTCACTTCGCCTGCACGTGACTTTCACGTACGTACACTTGCCATCAAACTCAAATTAAATGTTTTAATATATAAACACAGTGTGCAAGTAAATTGAGTGTGCAGTATACATACATCACATCACTCATCAATAGTGGTTATCATGATAAGTGATCTTGATAAACACTATTAATTAATTATTTTAGTGTGAGAAACTCCACCCACAGCGAGTGGCATATCAATTCCAATGTATTTTTGACGCTGAATCCAACGCCAATGGTTTTGACCTCCGAGGCCCCCGTGACCTTCCCGTGACCGTGGGGGGTAAATATGGCTTATTCGTTATGTCGCATATCAATTCGAATGTATTTTTGACGCTGAATCCGAATCCGTCAATAGCTTGGCGTTAATTGTAGAAGTTAACGGGGTTTATGGAACTTAACGGGAGCGTGAAGCGTGGGAATTTAAATAGTTAGCTATGCAGTTACTCCCACGCGACGGGAATTTAAGTAATTAGCTATTCAACTACTCCCACAAGGGGAAATCAAATTGTACTGTGACCAG